ATCAGCCGTTACACTGTTTTTGGAGCCAAATTTTTGTGTGAATTATACATATGATGTAATTTGTGTACCTAGTGGAAAAACTGTGATAATTTCTTAGATTATTGAACATTATACCGGCAACAAATATTTCTTTATCCACAAAGTTCTTTATCAGTCCAGAATTATAGGTCACTTTATTTCATTGTCCAGTGTTTTATTATCTTTGCTGCTAAAATAACCCGGAGCAATTACTTCTCTCTCTCTCTCTCTCTCTCTCTCTCTCTCTCTCTCTCTCTCTCTCTCTCTCTCTCTCTCTCTCTCTCTCTCTCTCACACACACACACACACACCACACACACACACACACACACACACTTGTTGTTCAGTTTCATTTGTAAATATCGGAGCGGCTGTTTTTGAAACAGACACACGGCAGCCGAATATTTAATATTTCTCTTCGTCTCTTAATATTTCAACGCTTAAAGTGTTGTTGTTGAATTTAAGCATTATAAATTAATGAACAACATAGAATATATTTAATTACAATGTTATAATAAGATCAGCTGTAGCAGGCCTATGGTTGAAGAACTCATTGTAATACCTGTGTTACCTCCAGGCTCTCTCTTTTCTCACTCACTCACTCTCTTCTCTCTCTATCGTGAAATAACGTGGGGAAATAGGCCTATGTCTTGGTAAATGGAAACCATACGCAGAATATTAATTTAAATAACGCACTATTTCCAATAATCCGGCGGCCCGTCGTGAATCACTGCTTTGCACGCGGTTTCTCAAGTGCAGATGTTTCAAACGCATTAACAAATATCATTAATAATTATAATTAGAGATCAGAGAATATTCCAGTGCAATCGCGAGATGTCGAGAGTGCCGTGATCTCACACAGAAGCATGTGTGTGTGTGTGTGTGTGTGTGTGTGTGTGTGTGTGTGTGTGAGTGTGTCAGGAGAGCTAGAGATGGAGGTCAGACACTGTAATCTCAGCAAATAAACACACTCGCTGAGACTCTCAAACCTGCGGAATTATAATAACACACACTCAATACATGACTCTGGTGGAAAACATCACTCCACTTCTGTCAAACACTTCTATTAAATTGGTTTCAATGACACATGACCTCTGTCGACGCAAACCTGTGCTGTGATAATTCTGGTGAACAAAATTTCAAACGAGTCGACTTTTAATATTCGCGTTTGTAAATCCAGAGGGAAATTACGGAGATGATTAAAACATGCAATCATCTCTTTGCATTTGTGCATTTATCTCATATCAGCAAGTGTGCTGGGGCCTGCTCTCCTGATGCAAAAATTACAAACATATTTAAAAATGTATCCTATAAATTGAACCGCATAAGAGTTCGTGTTATAGCGCATATAACCGCTTATAATCAATGAGCTTCATGAAACTGTCAGAAATGTTAAGGCTCTGTTCGCTTATGGTTTTATTGACTAATTGCAAATCAAAATGAATTAAAATACAATTTAATGGTGAACGTAAATTTTTTGGAGGCAGAGGCTAAATTATACAAATAAAATAACGCTAAATCAAGAATGCAAGGGTTCGGGTCAGTTGTTTTACTCATTAAAGTTTTCTAAAATTATTCCATCAGTGCGTTATATCGTGGGTAAATGTTTGTGTGATTAATTCATCTGTATTTTGATATTTATAATTTCGGAACAATAAAAAATATAGCCTACGAACTGAACATGACAACGATGTGCAATTAATCATAGACGCATAATTATAACACGGAATAATTCATCATCACATTCATGTAGCCTTTTTTTGTTTTGTTTTTGTTTTTAGATTCGAAGCATCTTGATTTTAGCGATTGCGTTTTACTCATTAATACATTCCGTTTAAGACCGTAGCCTGGATTTAAAATATATATATTTTAAATGTATGTAGCCTAGTTAAAAGTAGGCTAAATTCCTAAAAATGTCATCTCTTCTGAACTAAAATTAAATAGCTTACAAGCATTCCTTGTCTTCAAAAAAACCTTTAGGCTACTAGTAATAAAATAGCCTATCCCACTTTAAAACGGCTATTCAAATACATAAGAAGCAAATAACATATAGCTCAGGGCGAGATAAAGCTATAGCAGAACTCATAAGTGACCACACACTGACAGTGGTCTGAGATGTCACTCATCCTCCGTCAGGCACGCGCGAGTGACATCATGCGGACTGGGGTGTGACGTCACGATCGCTCCACGTACCGGATAGAGGCTCCGGCGCATAAACTTCAACGTCGCTAACGTAACAACCACACATTTGAGGAACTACATATTATAAATGCATGGAGACGATTTAACACACCAGAAGAGGAATCAAACAGGCTCTCGGAGAACTGACACGTGAGTCAATATTCCTCGCTTTTTAACAATGTTTGGAAATAGGCTACGTAGTGCTGTGATATCATTTATAAATGATCTTAGCCTATGTAATAGTTTGTGCTGTTTTCGCTTTGTATAATAGGTTGTTATAACGCGATAAATATAAATGTTGGTCAACATGTGGTTATGCAAAGCAATTCATAAATAAATGAATAAACAAACTATGACACGAATGTAGCAGTATAAGGCGCGTGCTTTGCATAGTCTACAGTGCGCAGGTTAAACCGCGGGAGTCTGCAGCTCGTGCACTGCGGCTCGTGCACTGTCCTGCGGGTGCATGTTGCTGCTTGAACGAGAGAAAGACGGGATTCTGTTTCTTTAGGCCTACATATTTCCCGAGTGAGGTGATCATCATTTTACAAAAGCGTTTTGATTTTAGTATGTTTTAGAGTTTTATTTTGGGCACTGTCACGTTTTCAAAAGCATGGAGAATGTGTGTGTTTGCATGAGTGCGCGAGCTCGAGTGTTTTCAAAAATAACATCTTAGCATTATTGGAGTAGCCTATAGTTCTGAAGTGAATTAGGCTTCACTTAACCATCTGACGTATTTGCGCATTGCAATAAATAAATGCTTATTATTCAGTGTCATTAAAACATTAAAATCAATTGTGGCGCATTAATTCTTCGCGACCGTTCTTCTTTTTCTTATTCTTCTTTATTAATAATAATTATAATAATGATGATGATGATAATAGGCTAATAATAATAATAATAACAGCTTTCCAGCTGCATACATTTGTTTGTAATACATAGTTAAAAATATTATAATAATATCAGCGTTTATTACAGGGTTCCTTAAAGTTTTCCAAATGCACTGGCCTCCTTAAAATATTAAATTATATATAGTTTCATATAAAAATATTAATTAGCCTATAATTTATTTCTTTGTCGAATAATATTCGGGTTATTTAGTCCATCGGTTAGTAGCCTAAACTGCAGTTTATTCCCTGAATTCACAAGAAAGGCCCAAACCTGCGAGGCTGAACCGTAAATGCGATATTCGTTTTAACTTTAATTTAGAGAACATGTAAATGCTTGTTTTGTCTTTAATTTGCACGCATCTTTAGACATCTTTGTTTTGCTTCAGGTCTGACACAGATGTTAATGCTGTGAGCGCAAACAAACAGAAGAATCTTACAGCTAAAATATGCAAATATATTCTAATCTGCTCATAACATCTCTGATTGATAGTGTGATCAGACATGTGGTTGTGTGGTTGATCCACACTTTTAAATGCATAACTATTCTATTCCACGCGACTATCTTCAGTGCTCGTTAACATAAAACTATTTATTTATTTGGCATTTATTTGCTTTAGTTAAATTAAAATAAGCCAATTTCGTGAAATGAATCTCTATACCGAGGGCACCAATATTACTATTATTTTCTGTTATCCAGTAGGCCTACAAACGCATTGTCATAGAATTACAGATTCTATAATTCTCCTGCAAGCCAGCGGCTGGAATATTTAAGTCTTCGTCAACGATGGTGTTTTTGGTATTTTCATTGATAGATTATTTGAATACACGTGAATGCGTTGGAATGAAGTGCTTGTGCAACACTTAATGTATCCAGGGTAATTCCTACTAGAGTATAGCGCGAACAATCATGGGTTAATATAACAGAAGAAACGCGCATTCTGCTGTCAGATAAACTGCTATTATTTGTTAAATGTCTGTGGAAGAAAAGGTAGCCTGATAGACCTGACTAAAGGCTTTCTCCGTAAATTAGGTTATAATGGTAATAATAATGCAATAGGCTAATAATGATTATAATAAAGCACTCCTGATGAGTAGGCTTGTTTTTTTAAAATAAGAATAATTTCCTGCAGTGTAGCCTATGAATTGTGGAATTTTCTAATTCATTACTTAGAGAAAGTTGTACCGTGAACATTTAGAAAAGGCGCTTTTCCTATTTCCCGCAGGTTATGCATCATCTTTATATTCTCACCAACAGCCGGCGCCACTAACTTCAATAACCCTTTACAGAACAATCCCACCGGCAGCGAGATGCTCCGCGACTGACGCCAAACTGTCACAATAAGCCCGTATTATATTGCATATTATTTGGTAATTTTAGGTTGTGTTAAGCTACGTCATGGTTTGGGCGAAAGTGGTAGGCTAATCATTTTTTTTTTTTTGTAGAAAATAATAATATGAATGCATAAATCCTAAAAAATAATTTAATAACAGCGTGTTCATGAACATCAGAGTCTTTTTCTTCTGAAGAGGTTTGCTGGTTCAAAATAACAAAAGTCCAACTACACATTTTTTTAATGAAAAAAAATAAAAATTGACTTTGCTCCAATTACTGATATTAAACTGCACGTCAATAAAAGTAACTGGTAATTTCCTCGTGCACAGTTAAGCTTCAAGAATATCCTTTATGTAAAAATAATTGGCGAATGTGGGTTGTTCTGAGGGCTGCAGTCTAACTGCTAAAAAGCGCGGTAGAACTGATGGATTTTATGGATAATATGTTTTTTGTTTGTTTGAAATGTCTGGACATTGGTATATCAGCTGTTTGTTGAAGTAACAGCCTCTTGCTGTTCATGGCGCTGCAGACTGCGTCCAAAACACGGGTTCTAAAACACGATAATGCCAGAAGCTCGGCGGAGAAGTTTTGAAGGAAAAAATCAACTTGTATGAAAAATGCTTTTCCTCTGTGGGTGGGACTGAAGTGAGCAGAGGATGGGTGGGTCCTGCTGTTGGACACTCACTCGTTCACTCCGATCATCTACTCTTCAGGAATATAGCCGATCTGCGGGAGTTTGGAGGACAATATCGCAGGAGATCGCGGCTGTTCACGGGCTTATTCGTTATAACATCGCTTAGCGAGTCCGCTGACGCTTCACACCGCCGAAGAGGTTTAATAACACATGATTGTTTTAAAGGAGGACTGAATGTGGATATGGCCTCATCTTTCCATCTGCCGAGAAGCAACAGCACCAGAGAAACCCTCGAGAACACGAGCAGCGAGTCTTCAGATAATGAAACCGCAGGTAAACACACACACATCTGCATCTATATCCTCCACACAGCGAACACACACACACTCGCGAGAAGCCTTTTGGACCAAACGCATACATTTAAAATATGTTTGCCTTCCTTACCTAACACCTGCAAAATGTTTTGTTTTAGTACACGTCATTTGTTAAAACAGTTTAGCTGTTTTTCCAGCCCAATTTAGCAGAAAACGGGCAGTGCTTGATGCACATTGACCTTTTGCTAGTTTGCAAACTTTAAAAACGAAATAGAAATTCACGTTTAGAATTAGCTTAAAGATATGGCGTCCTTAAAACTAGCTAGGCCTATCCGTTTTGATCATATAAAAAACGCGGTTTAAATTCCCACTGTTGTAAATTTTACCATTAAATGCGTTTTTATGACAGTGTTGTATAAATGCAAGCATAAATGTAGTGCTGTAAACAACATGACCTAGGCCTGATTTTAAAACATTTCCACTGGATAGGCCTATAACTTCTATTTGAATATTTCAAATACAAAAAAATAAAATAAAATTACAATTTAAACTTAGCTGTACGTTGGTATGCAAATAGTTTCAGTTCCATAGACGCATTTTAATAAGGCTTGTTTGCATATTTGTGGATTGACGAGCACTGTTCAACAGAATCATTACATTATTCCCTTTTGTCCGACTCCTTCCACGCGCTGCTGACTGAGCACTAGATTTCACCAGATTTCAAAATTATTCTCCCCAGAAAAGGAGAGGTCCGTCGAGCAGAAAAGCGACGATGGAAACTCGGATGAGTCCAAGAAAAAGAAGCAGAGACGGCAGAGGACTCACTTCACCAGCCAGCAGCTCCAGGAGCTCGAGGCCACTTTCCAGAGGAACCGCTACCCGGACATGAGCACCCGGGAGGAGATCGCGGTGTGGACCAACCTCACCGAGGCGCGGGTCCGGGTACGAGAACACACACACACACACCACACACACACCACACACACAATCACAAAACATTAAACGTAAAATCACTGAATAAATAAATCGTTAATCAAGTCTTAATAGTTTTAAAAAGTGTTTATTTTTTTGTCAATTGTATTCTCAGTCATAGGATATATTAATAGGTACATTTACATTTTTTAACAAACGCATGCTAAGGGTTGAATATTAGGGGTTGAATACAATAACGCAGGCGAATATTTAGGCTAAAGGATTAAAATCTCTAAATCTCTCTTGAGAAAACATAAATTCTTCCTGAGTTTCGTTCAGCGATATTTAGAAATATTTCCACATTTACAGTTTTGATAAGGGGATTTAGAATTAAAACGTTCATCATATGACAGACATTTCACGGCTTTCATTAATGTTTTATTAGCCCTACATTATTTGAATTTTTACATGCCATTATTTTAATGCTTATGAAAATATAATTTTGTTGATATTTAAAATGATCAATTAAGTAGGGCTATATTCAGATAACAAATGCGAATACTCACAATACATCAAGCAAGAAGAGTTATTGTTGGGCTATCTGCTTCCAGTGCATCGTTAGATCTGTTTAATATCATTGGTTGCGCTTGAGTAAATGTAATGCGTTCCTCCTCTAGGTTTGGTTCAAGAATCGAAGGGCGAAATGGAGAAAGAGGGAACGGAACCAGCAGATGGACCTGTGTAAGAACACTTACCTGCCGCAGTTCAGCGGATTAATGCAACCCTATGATGACGTGTATCCGGCCTACACCTACAACAACTGGACCAACAAAGGACTGGCCCCAAACCCACTGTCCACGAAGAACTTTACCTTCTTTAATTCCATGAGTCCCCTCACGTCCCAGTCCATGTTCTCCGCCCCGACCTCGATCTCGACCATGAGTATGGCGTCCGGGATGGGACACTCCGCCGTGCCTGGCATGCCGACGACCGGCCTCAACAACATCGGCCTGAATAACTCCGCGATCAGTCCCGCGATGAGCTCGTCCACATGCCCGTATGGACCTCCGGGCTCTCCGTACAGCGTGTACAGGGACACGTGCAACTCCAGCCTGGCGACGTTAAGACTCAAATCTAAGCAACACCCGTCGTTTGGATACAGCGGTCTTCAGAGTCCCGGCTCGAGTCTGAACGCGTGCCAGTACAACAGTTGACCAGTTAAACTGGCCTAACCCTAGCAGTTGACCAGTTAAACTGACCTAATCCGGACAGTTGACCAGTTAAACTGCAATGAACGGATACCTGGAGAATTGACAACCATGCTGGATTAGATGCGTTTGGCATTTTGCAGTGGAATATGCGGATTGTCTGTGTTTACGTAAACTTGCACAACAATTTAAATCCATTATTTGGATTGCAACGTTTTGAAGACAAGTAAAACTCATACATTGTACATATATATATAAAACGTGGAACAAACCTGAAAATGATGGTATCTCCGAGCGGGAACAGTGAACACATTAGCGCGGGAAAGGCCGCAGTAGATTATAGTCTTCAGTTGTGTTTGAGTCCCGTTCTCTTAATTGTATTAATTGTCTTGCAGAGGTTTTGTTGTCCTCGTGCTTCTCATCGACAGTCTGGATTCTGTCCTCGTTGTTTCGTTGTGTCGATAGATTTACCGCATGCTTTCTCCGAGTGGGAATAAAATGTAAAAAATTATATGAATGTGTAGACAAAAAACAAAGCTATAACTTTATGTTGTACTCATGTTGATGGAAAATTGTGCTTATGTTTATGGTAATGTTTGAATAAACCTCAAAACAAAGAATTTCTAAAATAATTATAATGATCAATGTGGGCAATAGCTTGATTAAAGGTAACAAACTTGGCAGCGTTTACATTAAGGCAAACCTGGCCTTCATTAGCGTTTAATGTACACTTATAATTGAATAATATTGTTTATAGAATTGATATCATTCATATCTAACGAAATAAGCCGAGATAAATTACCCTGTGTATCTAAACTATTTTTGTTTTATATTCACAAAGCTACACTCTAAACAATGCTGGGTTCTATTAACCCACATTCGGGTAAAATATGGACAAACTCAAATGATGGGTTAAAATGTAATTTCAAATATTAACCCAACTTCAACTTAATTTTTTTTAATCGCACTTTTAACTCAGCATTTGGGTTTGTCTATATTTGACCCAAATTTGGGTTGAAACAACCCAGCATTTTTTAGCAGTGTATTTTCCCCTGTTTTACTTGCAGGTTTCAGTTCCGCGCAAGGATGCGGAACTGAAATATTTTGACAATATCTTCCATTTTCCTTATTTTTTTTCTTCTCCATCACATTGCTTGATTACACTATGATGATTTCCAATTAGGCTATATCCAAATCTACTTTTAGGATGAAAGAGAGAAAGGCAAACTTGAAAATCAATTCCTTATCACAGTTTGCCACTTAAGTGACTGTTTTTATCGGCATGTGTGTGTTTAGGTGCATTTAGATGATATGAAGGAGAAGGTCTGTCGTAACTGATGTTTTCCCTAATTCTGCTGATCCCTTTCCACTGATAATAACGCCTTTAATTCCCCCAAAGGTCGAGGCCCGTGTTAATGGTCACTTCCTCAGGTTTAGACTAACAGAATGAGTTCACAATGCCGACATGCCTCTCAAGGACGCGCTAAACTCATTCATTCCCCAATCCAAACAAGAGCCTGTCTGGAAGAAAGTGAACAAACCAGCCGAGGAGGACAAAGACAGAACCGAGAATCTGGCGAACACACACAGCGAAACTCGTGTAATCGCGTGCAAATGTAACGAGCAAAAACGAGTTATTAGGCCTATAATAACTCACATATTACAATAATTCCTAAAAGTAGGAGAATTATTTACTTTAAACTCGAGGAACAATAAAATAACACTGCAAGATGTGTTTGAACATATTCTGACGAAAGTAAATTCAAGTTATTCATTTTCTCCCTTCGAATTGTCCTGTAAATTCTAAATTAGAGTTATGATTTAAATATCATAACGAATGCAAAGTGATTAAAAATCGTGAATCGAACAAAATTAAGTATTTCCCGTAATTGTTTCGAGGTTTATTGCCATTTTAATTAATTTTAAGCATAAAAGGCTGCCGCTTTAATTATGAAATGATGTGTGCCGTATTAGTTTATTTAGTTAATTTATCTCAATAGCTGATTAATCAATCACTGATATGAAGTCAAGCACAGACTGCTATTCCAATCGCTTATGATAAGGAGACAATGCATGTCACTTCAACATGTTTATTTAATTATTCAAAATCCATCCTCATCAGCTCTTAAGTAATACACCTTCTATAAGCTATGTCCTAGGGGTTATAATAACCGAGTGCATAATGGTTATATTTAGTGGTATTATGCTCATTTATTGCCTTCACAGAACTATTGAAAATACTTAGAATAGTTCAAAGTAAAACAACAAAATTGTATGTGTTGTATCAACATTGTATCAACTATATTGATGTGAAAATGTCTTCTCTTAAATATATTTTACATGACGTGGATTCGTGGAACATCCGATTTTAACATTAATGTTACCTATTTAAAAAATAGATTAAAATATTAAAACAACAATAACAAAACTATTAGTCACTGTAAAAAATATTTAATCGACTAATCTAAAATGTAAAATCTAAATTACCTGTTTTTTATTTATTGAATCGACCTGACTGCAACACGGGCTCTAAAGTGGGCGTCAGATCGGGAGAAACAGCTACGCAATTGGTTTTTTTTTTATCTTTTACAATATAATAATAACAATAATGTGATATTTTCTTTGATGCATATGTCCAACTCTTTACACGAAATTAATTAATCATTTCTGTTTTGGAAAATAGAAAGATTCTCGACCTTTTAAAAAACGTTTTTCCCCGTTTCCTTTACCCAGTTCGTGCATCATTGAGCTATAGAAAACATACAACACATTTATGGCAATGAAACACAATATTTTGCTTGAAATATTGCATTTAATATTTAAACGACGTGTATGTTTAGGCCTAATCATAATCCATCGCTGTAAACATCAGAAGATTGTTATGAAGTACAATCTGTACTTTGTAATGCGAGATATTATGCAATAATTCTGTCACAACAAACATAAAGGTTTGAAGATAGAAACGTCGATAAAACAGAAAAAATAACATTAATTTAAAAGGCATGTAGTAAAAAAAACACACATTAAAAATTGCAACGCGGAAAACTGAAATCACACGAAATGTAGCTACAAAAAGCAATAATAAGTGAATACCCGGACTCGACAATATCCAATGTTCTTTTTAAAACAATATTTAGATTCAACCTTTTAGATAACAGCATGAGATATTATCCGTAATAACCCCGTGTGAGAGACAAATATAACATATAGGCTATATTTGCTAAAGACATTAAAAAACTAGCACAAATCAATTAAAACATACAGCTGAGCAGAAAGATTATTAAAAAAACATAAATATAAAAATATATATAAACCACAAAGAAGAAATGTAGGCAACGCATAATGATTTACACAACTTAAAGACACACAATTTAAAATACAGACATATGTAAGTAACGCTGCAGAAAAGCAGTCTCGCCATGAAGGCGTTTTATAGACTCACAAACCCGCTATTATCATGTCTTGAGGGAATGATTAACCGAGCCGAAGGAGAAAGAGTTACTGACTCCGAGTGAGTTTCATCAGTCCACAATAATGACAGAGAAACGATAATATCTTCTGTTCTGCTGAGAAAACTGTAAAGATTGGATAATTAATTACATTCCAAATGCAGAACATGCATTTCTGAAGTTGTATTTTAGTGCGATTAGGAAATTTGTAAATGGAGAACATTGAGATGCTGGGCCTGTCCGGACATAATACACACTACAGGACTGATAAAGATAGCATCACTTGCGCTATACGACTCAAACACTAGCCTATACGAACTTTCATGAAATCGGGCAGTGGAATTAAAAACCCATAATTCAGGAGATCTGGACCAATCGATTAAAAGAGAACATTTATGGAAAAGTCAAATAGGCAATTGGAGGATAAACAATAAACCCAAATAGCAGGCGGCAATGACGAGGCGAAGCGCGGGAACTGCGGGTTCGTTAAACCGGCGTCACTGATGAGCTCGATCCGGATTGGATGCAGAGTCAGTGAGGATAGACACACTGAAGGACTGAGTTCAGTGTTAATTCAATAAACTATCGTAATAAACTAAATTGCGATGTAGTTGCGTCCGTCACGAACAGTTTGACACATTCGGGATTCGGGTTTATCAGCGCAGATCTCTAACACCAATGTGGAAATGATCACTGTAAAGTCTTGTTTTTGTAGGCTATATTGTTGTTTGTGCCAGCTAGAAACTTTAATTGATTTTCAAGTCAAATATATGAAAAGTGGTCATAAAATCAACTCTTAAATTTCCTCACAGCCAAGGGTCAAAGGTCACCTGAGGCACACCTGGACCAGAATCAGAGAAGCACGCAGGAACACACATCAGTCCAGTAGGGACCGGGTTAAACTCGCTGGCACGATTTGAATATCAGGTTCTGGTCTCCAGGATCAGGGCATTCATCATCTTACGGGTCACCCTGATCCAGAGACAGTTATACAGAGGTGAAGCGATCATGTCACAGTGAGAACCACACACACACACACACCCTTCTGTATGCAGTTCCCTGTAAACAATCTTAAGGCACATGGTGATGGACAAAATATGAGATGGGAGAGAAATTTTATATTTTAATGCTTTTGCGTTCTCGCACACATTTCGTATTTTCCCCAAAAACGCCATTCATTTCATATAAACTCGAAAGCTTTGAGAATGAACACAAAGTTTATGGGGGAATGCAAAAACATTTAAATATATCATTTCAAGTCTCATGGACGCTGAAGATATGCACATTTAAAATAACTTTATGATTATTTGTGTTGCGTTCGTGCTGTATTTAATGATCAAAGCAAATTTATGAAATTCGTTATGTATCAGAGCAAACAAAATAAATGCTGAATAATGGTTAAAGGACATTTTATGATTTTAAAGTGTAGTCTTGTTTAAATAATGTAGCTAATCTCTGAGACTGATAAATCACACAAACAGCATAACATTTTATAGTTACACTTTAATTGAGAAGTAAACTGTTAAATTGCACTTAATTAACATATTTAATCATGAACTTGATTATCCATAATGCTCAGTACATTTGCCAAAATGTCTAACGAGAAAAAAATCTTGAAATCTTTTAAAATATATATTTATTAATTCCAAATGCGGTCACAAGAGTGATGTGAACCACATGATCACAGGATTGATGAATATGTAAATCATGAGGATTGTGTGTGTGTTCATCAGACATTTATTACTAATACTTATTTTTGCATGTATAATATATAATTATTCTAATAACCTATTTTACATAAACACACACGAATGTGAGTATATGTAAAAAGCATAATTCTGCGAACCCCCTAATGTGTGTGTGAACTAGACGTGTGTGTAGAGCTCTGATAGGGAACCAGTGTTTTATTAATAACAATATTCAGCAGATTATTGATCGACTGCACTGACTCTGGGTCTGAATAAACACTCTTCTGTAGAGATGAACTCATCTCATGATTGATGATGTCACACAGATAATGAAGAGAAGTGGATAATGACGACACTACTGTAGAGAATTAATCATCACTCTCCTGTTTATCCTACTTTATAAAGAAAAGAAATGCACATTTTTCATGTGTAAAAATGCACCTAAACAAATGGCCAGATATTAAACGAGTATGAAATTAATCGACACTCTTTTTAATATGCTTTTAACAGATGTTAAAATTATGTTAAAGCACAACGGTGTGAATTAAGCTCTCCTCTTTTGGGAATACATAAAGCATGTGTAATATGTTGTAGATAAGCGTCTACAGGGACAGAGCCACCTTATCGATGAATTTGGCCAGCCGGATGTCCTTCTTCGACAGTCCTCCGCAGTCGTGTGTGGATAACGTGATCTGGACCTGCAAGACAGTATCCCATCACTACATCACTACACAGCTTATAAACAGCCCTACTGTGAGCTACGAGCTTGTTCAGCCACAGTATTAGCTTCTGTTGAAGCCGTCAGACTTCTTTATTTTTAAAATAACCGTTTAACAGCGACTTCCTGGAGAACAACTACATTACCCACGATGCCGTAGCAAACTTTCCACCAATCAGAGTCGAAACAAGAAAAAAGATCTCGTTAGCTCCGCCCACTCCCATGAGGCTTATATCCCGACACACTCAAAACACTAAAATGTTTGTGTGTATATATACGTATTTGCACTAAACTTCAAATATGAGTAGTTTTATATTTCTCCAGCGTTTTTAACCCTCTGGTGCTTTTCTGTCATTTTTGAAACATTTTACCTTTTGATTTTTTAGAATTTTAAAAATTTGACAAAAACATCATGGTCATGATTGGAACAGGTTAAATGGTCCTGAAAACAACGGTCTCGCTTGTGCTCCTGGCGTCTATGAGAGAGTTTCCTCTAGTGGAGGAGTGTGGAACTGCAGCCGAACACACACTCGCTGAGGTCAGCTCACATGCGGAACACAACTTTAGATTCATTACTCGGATTTTCTTGCAGTTTAAGAGTAAAACATGATTTTGAACATATTATTTTTCTGCATTTTTCATAACAATAAACTTATATTCTGTAACTTTTTTCACGTCAGCAATAATCTGCCGAGCATCGTCTTTGAGAAGAGATCAAACTTCAGTCTGTTGCTTCTAAAGCGTTCTAGATTCACCACAGTTTAAGTTGGACATTTCATTTTCAGGTCTGTGTGTATCTGTATGTGTGTGTATCTGTATGGCTGTGTCTGTGTGTCTGTGTACATGTTTTTCTATCCCGGTGGGGACTTAAACCTGAATGCACACAGACTCATGGGGACTCGTGTCAGTGTGGGCCTAAATTGAGTCCCCATGGCTAAACACACTTATAAATCATACGGAATGATTTTTTTTTTTTTTGAAAATGTAAAAATGCAGAATGTTTCCTGTGATGGGCAGGTTTAGGGGTAGGGTTAGTGTAAGGGGATAAAATATACAGTTTGTACAGTATAAAAACCATTATGTCTATGGGTGTGTGTGTGTGGCCTCTCCTGTCCTTCAAACACAGAGTATTCATGGCAAACACGGAAGAAAACACTATGAGCCGCCGCTGGACGCTCAGCAGTACCTTATTATAAACGTTGAACCACTCGGGGTGATGGCTCATCTTCTCAGCCTGAAGAGCCACGCGACTCATGAACCCGAAGGCCTGAGGAAGAGGAGAAGAGTTATGAAGATCAGAGGAGAAGAGTTATGAAGATCAGAAGAGGAGTAGAGTTATGAAGATCAGAAGAGAAGAGTTATGAAGATCAGAGGAGGAGGAGAGTTATGAAGATCAGAGGAGGAGTAGAGTTATGAAGATCAGAGGAGGAGTAGAGTTATGAAGATCAGAGGAGGAGGAGAGTTATGAAGATCAGAGGAGGAGTAGAGTTATGAAGATCAGAGGAGGAGCAGAGTTATGAAGATCAGAGGAGGAGTAGAGTTATGAAGATCAGAGGAGGAGAGTTATGAAGATCAGAGGAGTAGAGTTATGAAGATCAGAGGAGGAGGAGAGTTATGAAGATCAGAGAAGGAGTAGAGTTATGAAGATCAGAGGAGGAGAGTTATGAAGATCAGAGGAGGAGAGTTATGAAGATCAGAGGAGGAGGAGAGTTATGAAGATCAGAGGAGGAGAGTTATGAAGATCAGAGGAGGAGAGTTATGAAGATCAGAGGAGGAGGAGAGTTATGAAGATCAGAGGAGGAGAGTTATGAAGATCAGAGGAGGAGAGTTATGAAGATCAGAGGAGGAGTAGAGTTATGAAGATCAGAGGAGGAGTAGAGTTATGAAGATCAGAGGTGGAGAGTTATGAAGATCAGAGGAGGAGAGTTATGAAGATCAGAGGAGGAGGAGAGTTATGAAGATCAGAGGAGGAGCAGAGTTATGAAGATCAGAGGAGGAGAAGAGTTATGAAGATCAGAGGAGGAGCAGAGTTATGAAGATCAGAGGAGGAGAGTTATGAAGATCAGAGGAGGAGGAGAGTTATGAAGATCAGAGGAGGAGCAGAGTTATGAAGATCAGAGGAGGAGAGTTATGAAGATCAGAGGAGGAGTAGAGTTATGAAGATCAGAGGAGGAGAGTTATGAAGATCAGAGGAGGAGGAGAGTTATGAAGATCAGAGGAGGAGCAGAGTTATGAAGATCAGAGGAGGAGAGTTATGAAGATCAGAGGAGGAGGAGAGTTATGAAGATCAGAGGAGTAGAGTTATGAAGATCAGAGGAGGAGGAGAGTTATGAAGATCAGAGGAGGAGAGTTATGAAGATCAGAGGAGAAGAGTTATGAAGATCAGAGGAGAAGAGTTATGAAGAACAGAGGAGAAGAGTTATGAAGATCAGAGGAGGAGAGTTATGAAGATCAGAGGACGAATAGAGTTATGAAGATCAGAGGAGGAGTAGAGTTATGAAGATCAGAGGAGGAGAGTTATGAAGATCAGAGGAGGAGGAGATTTATGAAGATCAGAGGAGGAGATTTATGAAGATCAGAGGAGGAGAGTTATGAAGAACAGAGGAGAAGAGTTATGAAGATCAGAGGAGGAGAGTTATGAAGATCAGAGGACGAATAGAGTTATGAAGATCAGAGGAGGAGGAGAGTTATGAAGATCAGAGGAGGAGGAGAGTTATGAAGATCAGAGGAGGAGCAGAGTTATGAAGATCAGAGGAGGAGGAGAGTTATGAAGATCAGAGGAGGAGGAGAGTTATGAAGATCAGAGGAGGAGAGTTATGAAGATCAGAGGAGTAGAGTTATGAAGATCAGAGGAGGAGCAGAGTTATGAAGATCAGAGGAGGAGTAGAGTTATGAAGATCAGAGGAGGAGGAGAGTTATGAAGATCAGAGGAGGAGCAGAGTTATGAAGATCAGAGGAGGAGGAGAGTTATGAAGATCAGAGGAGGAGGAGAGTTATGAAGATCAGAGGAGGAGGAGAGTTATGAAGATCAGAGGAGGAGAGTTATGAAGATCAGAGGAGGAGGAGAGTTATGAAGATCAGAGGAGGAGGAGAGTTATGAAGATCAGAGGAGTAGAGTTATGAAGATCAGAGGAGAAGAGTTATGAAGATCAGAGGAGGAGTAGAGTTATGAAGATCAGAGGAGGAGAGTTATGAAGATCAGAGGAGTAGAGTTATGAAGATCAGAGGAGGAGCAGAGTTATGAAGATCAGAAGAGGAGTAGAGTTATGAAGATCAGAAGAGGAGCAGAGTTATGAAGATCAGAAGAGGAGTAGAGTTATGAAGATCAGAAGAGGAGTAGAGTTATGAAGATCAGAGGAGGAGTAGAGTTATGAAGATCAGAGGAGGAGGAGAGTTATGAAGATCAGAGGAGGAGAGTTATGAAGATCAGAGGAGGAGCAGAGTTATGAAGATCAGAAGAGGAGTAGAGTTATGAAGATCAGAGGAGGAGCAGAGTTATGAAGATCAGAAGAGGAGTAGAGTTATGAAGATCAGAGGAGGAGGAGAGTTATGAAGATCAGAGGAGGAGAGTTAGAAACAGTGATCTTCCTCTCAATGATCAATAACACATAACGCTGGATATAATAATAATAATGATGATCAGAACTCAATTTCTGCTGCCACTCGCTAACAGTCTAAAGTTTGAAATTTTTTATAAGAAGTTTCTTCTGCTCATCAAAGCTGCATTTATCAAGAATACAGTAAAAACAGAACAAATATTATTCCAGTCTAAATCAGCTGTTTTCTATGTGAATATATAGTAAAGTGTGATTTATTCCTGTGATCCTGAGATCCTTCAGAAATCACTCTAATATGATGATTTGATGCTCAAGAAACATTTATGCAACTTTTGACTGGTAGTGTGTGTTTTCAATAACTTGTTTATAAGGCACACGTGGTTCAATGGGTGTAATCCTGAACATATTTAACAGAGGAATGGACTCTGGTTTGGGAAAAGAGAGTTCTCTCCAGTGTAAAGTTAAGGAAGTCCAAACGATCTCAGATCTCGGAGTTGAGCCGGCCTGTGATTGGAGGATGACAACGTTTCTGCCTCCTCCAATCAGAAGCAAGATAAACCCCTATGGAAAAAAACACACTGGCTATTTCAGAGCAATTTCCCAATGCAATCTCAATTAAGCCTTTAAATACTTCCTTTAGCTAATTAAGCCAACTGAACCGCCATTGTGCGGCCAAACCTCTCGTAATCAAACAGGAGTGTGTGTGTGTGTGTGTGAGAGAGAGGGAGAGGGAGACGGTCCTCCAACCTGTGATGTCACACTGCTGTTTTAGCGTCCTGTTATCCATTTAAAGTGATTGACAAATCCTGCAACTCGACTCCGTCAGCAGTTTAATCGCGCCGTCTGCTTTTGCTCAACTTTCATCAGCAATATTGGCAATTATTCAACAGCATGATAATGATAATGATCTCCGCAACATTTCCGCTCTGACATTCATTCTGTCAGACAAAATACTAGTCAATATATATATAATATGACAACACAATAATCTTTCTGAATCTGATGCAGATCTCCACATCTGAACCGAATCACACACACACAGAGCGCTGTGTTGTGGAGCGTCACACACACGGCAAGAGGTTGGAGGTCAAGGTCGGGTCTTTTGTCAGTGTGTATTGTGTGCTCACACCTCCTCTGCCGGTAATCAGATTTGACATGTTACAGGCCTCAGATAATCAGACGCGTCACACACACACACCACTTTAGTGTTATTACACCGTGATTGTCATCTAACGCTGGAGGAGAGTGTGTGTGTGGTGCAAACACATGTTTCATACCTGATGGTCATCATGAGTGAGATTACAGACTCTCCTGATGGAGGAGCGCCTCGATACACGACAGCCGCCGCTCTTACTCTGAGGAAAACACTCATACACCACTGACCAACACCGATCACACACACACACACACACACACACACACACACACACACACACCATCTCCTCTATTCCACAGCCATCACTCTTGTTTGAGGAACAGGACTTTACTGTGACCCCGGACACACACACACACACACACACACACTTTTGGAAGTTGATGAGTGTTTATTCGTTTAGTGTGAGCATTAGTTACCGCTTGTTCACTTTGAGAACAAAGTAGGCTATAATTTGCACGGTTGCTGTAAATCGCGTTGATTAAATCTAACGAAGCTTATTATGTCGAATGCTTTGCCCCCTTAGTTGATCAGAACAAAAGTGGATGTTATTTACTTGTTCAGAAGACATTTTCCAGTGAAAATTCTTATGTTGGTCAAACTTTCAGAAAGTGAATCTGTGATTGTGTATGACAGTATCCACACAGCGGCACTCGCCTCAAGACACTGAGTTCATCCGCGCTGTTTCATGCCGATTTACAACCTACGTAAATTCCGCGAATAACTGCAATTGCAGATTTCGAACAGAGATGGCGACAAAGAGGAAACGCTGCGGACTGCATCTTTAACCTCATGGTGACCCGTATGAATTTACTGTTATGATGGATGAGCTTTCTTTGGGCTTCAGAATCCCATCCTCCATTCACTGCCATTATACATCTGGGAAGAGCAGGATATGTTCTAATATAACTCTGATTGTATTCGTCTGAAAGTTGAAACTCATTTACGCCTAGGAAGGCTTGAGTGAGAGTAAATCATGGACTAATTCACATTTTTTGGGTGAATAACTCTTGGATTAGACCTCAGTTCAGTTCTATAAGTGTGCCTTAGAAACACACGTTACTGATGTGCATCGGGAGACTGACTTATTTTGAGATCTGCAGTGCGAGTTGCTTTCAGCTCAAGCATGTGTTTTACTCTGGGATTAGTTTAACCCTTTCTAGCCAAGAGAGTCTGATCGCTTCAGCAACCATTATTCTGAATCCCATCAAAACATCATCATCCACAGACTGGTACCAGTAATACTGCCAACAGATGGACGCAGATGAATCAGATTAATAGAGTAATAGTTAACCAGCTGGACATTTCTTTCCCGATATCTGACAATATGTGGCGTTACTCATTCAGTCAGTCACAGAACTCAATCCACAGTCTCCATCACCTGCTCTGGACTAACTCCAGGGACAACCAGCTACGTGCAAAACAGAGAAGCAGTGAGATGGAAAAATGGAAAAATGTGAGGTCACTATTACAAGGAGAGGCAAACAAGGAAACAGAGATCGATGGGATAGTTAGTGGTTTTCTGAGGCACATGAAACATTTTAGCCAATCTGATTGTTTGTGAAAGAAATGATTTTGATCAGAAGTTGAGTTTCAGCACAGAGCGGCTCTGCTCTCTCTCAGACTAATGAGGACTGACACGGGCGAGAGACACGGCATTCACAGGGGGAAGGGAGAGAGAGAGGGAGGGGTTCAACACACACGCCTGTTCATATGCCAGAAGAGCGAGTTACTGGACGAAACTGATGCTTTTACTCAACAAAGACGCAAACAAATCCATTTCAGATACATACTGAACTTGTATAAATAAATGATCACAAATCTGTTTTCAACACAGATAATAATCATAAATGTTTCTTGAGTATCAGATCATCATATTAGAGTGATTTCTGTGAGAGGATCATGCGACACTGATGACTGCAGTGAGGATGCGGAAAACACCGCTTTGATCTCAGGATTAAATTACACTTTTGTTTTTTTTCCCTCAATTTGGTGAACTGAATGTGCATTTCTCTACTATAAGCCGTCTCTCCAAAGGTGTTTCAGAGAATTTGGCAGTACATCCAACCGGCCTCACAACCGCAGATCCCAGCCCAGGACCTCCACATCCAGCATCTTCACCTCCAGGATCGTCTGAGACCAGCCACCCGGACAGCGGCTGAAGTTTTCCAGAGAGAAGACCAAAGAGTTTCTGCACAAACTGTCAGGGAAGTGTCTCAGGGAAGCTCATCTGCACGTTCGTCGTCCTCACCGGCACCTGACTGCAGTTCGTCATCGTAACCAACTTCAGTGGGCAAATGCTTTTTTTTATTGATGGCATTTTGAATGCGCAGAGATCCCGTGACGAGATCCTGAGGCCCATTATTGTGCCATTCATCCACGACCATCGCCTCATGTTGCAGCACGATAACACACGGCCCATGCTGGAGGATCAGTACACGACTCCTGGAAGCTGAAAACATCCCAGTTCTTGCACGGCCAGCATACGCACCGGACATGTCCCCGCTGAGCGTGTTTGGGATGCTCTGGATCGGCGAATACGACAGCGTGTTCCAGGTCTGGCCAATATAAGGAAGGCCGGCACTCGTCTCACATCTCTCACGGAAGAGCGGAAGCATAAAAAGAGGAGAGACGACGCTGAAGATCGAGAGACGTCTGACAGGTCTCAAACTGTGCGTCTCAGCACTCACGCCACCGGCCTCGCGCCGCTCTCTCCTGCTCGCCACAAACGCTGTTTCTGTATTCTCAATAAAAGGCTAATTATTTTCATTTTTATTTTGTTGATTTATTTGAAACTTAATAGATATCATATAAAAATATCTAGTATTGAATCGTATTGAATCGAATCGTATCGTAAGTATGGATAATAATCGAATCGTTGGCTTAAGAAATCGTTATTGTATCGAATCGTCATTAAGGCTCCGATTTACACCCTTAGTATTTTCACATAGAAAACAGCTGTTTTACATTAGAATAATATTTCACTGTTTATATAGGAACAGAAGGAGGAACAGAGGAACTGATGGAGGAACAGAAGGAGGAACAGAGGAACTGATGGAGGAACAGAAGGAGGAACTGAGGGAGAAACTGACAGAGGAACTGATGGAGGAAGAGAGGGAGGAACTGAGAAGGAACTGAGGGAGGAACTGAGAGAGGAACTGGTGGAGGAAGAGAGGAAGGAACTGAGGGAGGAACTGAGAGAGATCAAGTGTTCTCAGACCTGGTTGAATGTTTTGAAGTGCAGCTCCTTGTAAATCGCGTCCCGCTCGTCCAGCTCCACCCATCCAGTGGCCTTCAGCTCCAGCAGAACCTGCTCACGCTCGGCTGGAGAGAGCCAGTCTGAGGCCTACAGGGACACACAACTGTTCATTAAACACACACACAGTCACTGTCACTGTCACACTCTCTCTCTCTCTCTCACACACACACACACAGTCTGCAGTAATGGAGGTTCTCGCACAGATTGATACTGGTTTCTACATTTATATGGTTGGTGTAATAAAGCATCACATTAAACTCTTCCCAGTTATTCTCTAATAAGCGTCACAATCGTTACAGTTATGAACATATTTCTTGGATATCAAACCAAACTATTGAGCTCAACATATACTTCCTTTATTTTCTGAGCATTTTAGTTATATTTGGTTTAACATGAGTGTAATAGTAGTTGATTTATACGTGGAAAAATGAAGCCATACCATTTCTTAGAAAGTACAATAATTATTACACAGTATATTTTTTAAGTTAATAAAGTCATAGTCTATTGAGTTCATAAAGGCACTGATTGAGTGAACAAAGAGCATCATCACATAACTATATCTGTAAACATATCATCACATAAACATTAATAACTGGTGATTCTTCTATAACGCGCGTCCAGGCTTCAATATTGTGGATTTTGTTCGTCAGTAAAGGGTGTTTGCGCCACCTGTCGGTCATAACCGGTCATAACAGAGCCACGGCGCTCGAGATCCTCTGCAGAACAAGATCATGCGCACGCGCGCTCGTGTGTGTGTGTGTCTGTGTGTGTGTGTGTGTGTGTGTGTGTGTGTGAGAGAGAGAGAGAGAGAGAGAGAGAGAGAGAGAGAGAGAGAGAGAGAGAGAGAGAGAGAGAGAGAGAGAGAGAGAGAGAGAGAGAGAGAGAGACTGATCTTCTTGATCCGCTAGATGGCGCTCGACTCCAGTGGCTAGTTACGGTGGCCGAGATGTGCAAAACAATCACAGTAATGAAAACACAAAAACAAACGACACTTGCTGTTGGCTTGACTGTCGGTGACGTGTTAATGATTATTTCGAGAATGGGTTAAATCTGACTCACACAGAAGTGTCTCCCTTTCTTTGGGGAACCAAATGTAGCCTTTATCTGATTAGCTGCCAAATAGCAGGACTAGTAACGTCACATAGACTAAAAAAAATACGAACGCGACTCACACACTGGAAGCTCGTTTGTGTTTTTAGTCAACAGCATTTGATTGGTCGACGCGCTGCCGACGTCACTGTAGTAAAAGAGCGCTCGTCTCGTCGCGTTCCCAGTTATTGGTCAAAATGAACACTTCTTACCATTCTCCCTGTACGGCTCTCCGCAGACAGAGAACAGCGGGCTAGTTTAGTGAACACACTCGGCCATCGGCGGCTGGAGGTCAGAGTAAACATTAACCAGCTCATGGCCGCCCTGTGACAGAAAGCAGCGCGGGAAACAGCGGAGAGAGCTGCCCCGACACCGCCTGAGCAGAATAGCGCCGACGATGAGTATGGTGGCCGTGAGGAGTGTAGGTTCCCTCAGTGTTCAACACTAGAGGAGGCGCTCTAGTAAGTGAACATGTTTCTGCGGCTCCAGCGGTCCTCCCTGGCCCGGTCTCTGTCAGTTAAAGGGACAGTTCGCCCAAAAAAATAAATTCTGTCACCTTTACTCCTCCTCAAGCTGTTCTAAATCTTCTTCGCTGAACACAGAAAGATATTATGGAGTAATAAATGATTAAATCAATCAAAACTAATTACATCTGCACAATCTAGAGCTGCTGCAAAGCCTAAACAATCTCTGTGTAGTCTCCTGTTATCACTGTAAAGCTGCTGTGAAACAATCTATAATGTTAAATGCGCTATATAAATGAAGCTAGAAGACCTGACTTTAATACTGTTTGTAATCAAACAGACTTAATTTCATAGTAGGAAAAAGTATGGCTGTCACTCAAACCACTGCTGCTTTAGAGTGGGAATCTGCACAGAACTGCTGGTCTAGGAACAGTTTTCTCTGGTATAACAGTGTATTGGTGGATTTGCTATTGGTTTATGGCAAATTTGGGGTTTGCGATGTTAAAGTAGTTGTTCACTTTTAAAAAAGTGAAAATAATTAAATAATTTACTCACCCCCATGTCATCCAAGATGTCCATGTCTTTCTTTCTTCAGTCGAAAAGAAATTAAGGTTTTTGATGAAAACATTCCAGGATTTTCTCCATGTAATGGACTTCAATGGGAACCAAACAGTTCAAGGTCCAAATGAGAGTTTCAGTGCAAACTGTTCAAATGTCTTTAAACGACACCAGACGATGAATAAGGGTCTTATCAAGCGAAACGATCGCTCATTTAATAAATAAATAACAAAGTTTACGTTTTATAAACTTATTTAAGTTATTTATTTTATTTCATTATTTAAGAATATTCTCCGATAAATTCACAGTCCTAAAATGAGTTTACATTCAACACACATTTGAGAATAATTTATGAGAACACATTATGATATATACACATACTGCTCCGTGGCAGCGGTGGACTGGAGAACAGGAGCGCTTCTTCCACAACACCCAGAAACCAGCGGATGGAGAGCCAAGGCACGCAATAACACAAGCCACAGTCTTTCCCTTCACACACTTCCTTTATTCTGCAAAGCAGGCACTCACACACACACACACACACACACTCACACACTCTAGTCCTGGTGCTCGTGGTCCTGCCCCGGGATGAGCCAGCGGATGCTGTCGCTGCACAGGATGGCGTAGAGAGTGAAGCCAGAGATGAAGAGCACGGAGAACACGAAGAGCCAGTCGATGCTCCTGACGGGAGCCGCCGGGAGAGGACCCACACGGTCGTCCTCCTCGACCGCCTGATCCGGGCTCGCCCCGAAACCTGCGGAACACAGCCAATCATGAGTCACGCTTCAGCAGGAGCTACATCACCAGTCTGGATATATATATTATACATTTTCCAAACTATCGGTATCGGCAGTTATAATGGCCGATAAATGAATATTTCAAAAATAAAATAAAATGGACGAAACACGCTTGAACCATGTCATGAGTGTTGGAGTTGTATAGTTTGTCCACCAGAGGGCGCTCTACACCGTTCCTGTTGGCAACACTCGTTGAGTTGGTCACGATACATACATTGCTTGAATAACAATTAAAAGATCATCCCCATCAGTTCTCGTAACTCAAATAAGCATGACAACATTTGTGACTATCATGTCCATGTCCTGCTGTTAAATAAGCCGAGAGTGAAGCGGAATTAGCTGGACAGTGTAGTCGACTGACTGTTCCTTTAACTTTTGACAACGTGACTGAAGTATTTCTGTAATACCGTGTGACAGTTACAGCAATGAGACGCATCATCTCTCCTCGGCCTGTTATATTGAAAATGGATGTATTACAATTTGCAGTATGACGTTATCCATTGCTAAATTATGGCTCATCATAGACTAGCTAACCACAAAGCTAGCTAATGCCACTATCATCCGTCTGTGCTGTTGTGACAATAAAAGAAACAAGTTTCTTTTAAGATATTATTTTAGTTAAAACTCATAAATAACTACAAAAAAGTAATGTCAGGGAAATCTGTTAATGTTTTCTGGCACGTTTCTGAAAAAGTAAAAAAAAAACGGCCGATATATCGGAATATTGAATTTTAAAACCAACAAATATTTGTATTGGTGTCGGCCTTCAAAATCCTTTATCAGTCAGGCTCTAGTAAAATCTACATCACAGATCTAGTTACAGAAGTTAATCAGTGAAGAAGTGTGTGTGTTCTCAGTCTTCTGTTGTGTGATTAGTGTTACTATGGAGACGGAGGAATATGAGCGCTGTCCCTTTAAGAGCGGCGGGTCCAGTACACGACACACACGAGGACAGAACACACAGTCTCTCGCTCAAACGCTTATAGTCATGTTGAAAAGCTCACAGAGGAATCAACAGCGTCCGACCCGCAGCCCGGAGTGAACGACACACACCTGTCTGGTTGGCGATGAAGGACGCCAGCGTCTCCAGCGTTCGCTCCGTCTGGTTGAACCGGGCCATTGGTTTGGCGCCCTGGAACAGGAGGATATTGGGGACGGCCACGGTGCCGAAGCGCGTGGAGAGGCTGAGGAGAGAGACACACTGATGAGGACACACTCGCGGGTCACGTGACTCGACACAATCACTCATGGGTCACGTGACTCGACACAATCACTCGCAGGTCACGTGACTCGACACAATCACTCGCAGGTCACGTGACTCGACACAATCACTCATGGGTCACGTGAGACCTGCTGTGCTGGGAGGCGTCAAGCGCGAGGAAGTGCATGCTGGGAAACACTCGAGGCAGGGCGTTGAAGTGCGGCGCGAGGCTGGCGGAGAACTGGCACCACGGCGTGTAGAACAGCACCAGCGAACACTCGGAGCCGTTGGCATTCAGGAAGTCCATCAGGTCCTGTAGGAGAAGACACACATTACTGAGCTGACCACCTGTGTGTGTGTGTGTGTGTGTGTGTGTTTCTGTTTATATTACATTATTTGTCCCCACAAGTATAGTAAACCTGAACATCAGCTGCATTGTGGGGTCCAGCCAGCGGTCCCCGTGAGGAAAACAGTGTATAAATCAGACTAAGTAATGTTTTTATAAAAATGCAGAATGTGTCCTGTGAGGGGCAGGTTTAGGTTTAGGGTAACGGGATAGAATATACAGTTAGTACAGTAGAAAAACCATTACGCCTATGGAGAGTCCCCACAAAGATGTGTGCACCTGTTTGTGTGTGTGTGTGTGTGTGTGTGTGTGTGAGAGTGTGACGCACCTGAGACGCGTTGAGCACCTGCACCGCGAAGCGCTGGATCCCGCTGGTGTTCCTCAGGTCGCAGGTCACCTTAAAGGTCTTGGCGGCCTCGGTGAAGTTCTGGCTCTGGCTGTGTGTTTCCCCGCTGTCTCGGGCCTCCTCCGGCTGGTCCTCCTCCGCACACGGCTCTCCCAGCACGGCCTCCTGCAGGTCTCTGGGGATCAGCTGCTGTATCCCAGCGGGAGAGGGGTCCGTTCCCATCATCGCGTCCGCCATCTCGGCCGTGTTAAAGCGCCTCTGAGGCGGCTCGGGGTCCTCCACCACATCTGCGGGAGAACACACGTCAATCACCGCATCACCTCACCTCACACGGGCTAACTGGCCGCAGCTCGTCACAGACACGGTATAAACCGTATTAGTGAGCTCATACCTCCGCAGGACAGCCGCACGAGCCCGAAGACGAAGAGCGACAGCGCGAACCGCATCTCGAGTCCAGCGCGACTGACGCTAGTGTTGATGTTGTGGTTCTGTGAACTCGGGAAAGATTCTACTTCCGGTTCACGACACTTCTACTCGCTTTTTGATAAAGCTTTATTACTGTGGCTGTATTACAGGAAATACGTACGTCAATCACAAGCAAATACTGTCGATTGATATTATTTTTTTAATACAAATAAACAAGCAGTTTAATTCCAAAGCCGAACTCGAGTAGATTTTGTGTTATTGTAGAAACTATAAAAAAACCAAAAACGTATAATTGTTTAATTCTCTAAATTACTTTCTGACATACAAAAGAAAATCCGCATCAGTTGTTGGAACGTATCTATAAATTAAATGTATTATCCGGTAAACGAAGAGCACTGTGATTAGTTCATCCTCAGAAGCGCGGGGGAAAGTAACATAAAACACGTGACTACGTCGGACAAACAATAATAATAAACAGTATTATTTAGACACATGTTAGAGGCAACTAATATTTTTCCATTTTTCTTATGTCAACTACCCAAAATACTGATGTCAGTTAGTCTATTATCTTAAACGTTATTATACGTTACTTCTATCCACTCCGTTTCGAGCAACAGATTAAGGTTTTGTTAAAGTTGATATAAATATGATGAATTTAAAGGCTTGTAACCGAAATGCTTCGTATTGCCTTGTCATGTATAACTACATATTGCTCGAAATAAACAAACAAATAAATAAATAAATATGAGCCTATTTTATAATTTGCTTATATTTTCTTTACATTCGCACTTTTTTCGTAAAAAAAAATAAAAAATAGGCTACTTCAATAAAATAAAATTCCATTATTCTACTTTAAATCAAAATAAAAATCAAGAGTTCCTCGATTGTAGAACATTTTAATAAAACATGTACACAAACATTCGTATTCTAACTGTATCACAAAGTGTGGAAAATGAAAGAAAAATTAAGAAAAGCCCACGTCACTGATTGTGTGAATGTAAATATTAAACACAAAGCTCTTCTCTTCACTGCTACTATAGTCACTATCACTCTTAGAAGAAAAGGTTCTATCTAGAACCTTAAAAGGTTCTAAAGTGCTACGTATTTGGAACCCCTAAAAAGCAATGCATGTGAATGATCACAAAATTCAAGATATGGGGGTTAAAAATTCAATTAATCAATTTTACACGAAGAGTGCCGTTTCAGTTTTTATCCTCGAAAAATGAGCATGACTAAAAAGTGATATTAAGTTACTACAACAGTTTAATAAATAATAATTGAATTACAACTACAAAATGTTGCAGAATAATGTCATATATGAATGAATAATAGCCTATAAAGAACCTTTGTGCCGAAAGGGTTCTTTCTTGTCATTATCATCATTTTTTTTTTTTTTGCATAAAAGGCCCTTTGCAGTTGAGTAAAGAACCCTATGCTTCATATATCGAACCCTTTTCTCTAAGAGTGTACTCATCTGAGTCATGTGATACTGAACCAATAAGAACATGTTTACATCACTGCTGCATTCCCACACACCAACACATGAACCATCAGAGCCGGAATCATAAACACAATACAAAAGTAACTATTACAAGACGTGTAATGAACGACAGGTGTGATTAAAGAGTGCATGTTTCATGTGTTTCTTCTGGAATCATGCTGTTGGAGGTCTTTGGTGGAGTGCTGGAATGATGAAAATATTGCACTCGTCATTATGGTCTAACTATCTAACTCAAGCTTATGAAAGAAGCTCACTAACAACCCGACATGACATGCGGTGGCGTTCAGCGTGACCAGAGTGTGGCGGAGATGAGCTGCTCGGGGCCCGGGGGGGCGTCCCCTGACGGCAGGAGCGCCGCTGGCGGGGGGGTCTTCTGCTGCCGCACCGGGAAGCTGCCGAGGAGGAACTGGGGAGCTTGTAACAACAGTTTTGGTGTTCTACACCAAAAGACAAAACAGACAAAACACAATCAGAGGCTTAACATTCAAAGGTTTTCAAACAGTCCCTGATAAACCCCCGGCTCTGTTCTTCATAAGGAGTTGAATATGCGTGATCAGTGATTAGACTGTGAGTGAACATGCTCAGGCCGGGGTTTTGATGAATATGTAAATATGTGCTGCTGCGCTTTCCTTTCAATCACATAAACACAACAAAAATGAGAAAACACCAGTTCAGACAGCATCTGATCACAGTGATGTGGAAATGTTTGTCACATTATTAATACAGCACTTTCTACAGTAGATTGCTTTAAAGTAGCAGCTTTACAGAGTTAAACGCAGAGCCGGACAGTATCGGAGTACATTTACTTGAGTACAGTACTTAAGTACAATTTTGAGGGATCTGTACTTTACTCGAGTATCATTTTTGGGGAGTACTCATGACTTTACTCAAGTATATTTGAGAGGGAAGTATTGTACTCTTTACTCCAATACATTTCTATCTATAACCGTGAGTAAAAAGTAACTATTTCTAAAAAAAAAAAAAATGGAAATAAGAAAAATCTCGGAAACCCTCAAAATTGTTGTTTCCCTCTCAAACGTGATTGGATTGTGCAGCTGCCACTGATTGGGACAACCTATCAGCAATCACCTTCAGTTTTCCGCCAAAGTCAACTCCATGGTCAGATTTAGATAAGAGACCAAACCATGGACGAAACCAATGGATGAAGACGCTGCAGGTCCATCCCGGGAATGTGCCAGCCCGTGGCCCCACCTCGCCAGACTATTTCAATTTTCTGAATTTTCTGAAATTTTCTTAAATGTTAAATAAAGCAACATGATAAAAAGATGAATATGACTTGATTTTACTTTCAATTACTTTTGCATTCTCCAAGGTATTAACTTTAACATTTTTCATAACTCCAAGTAGGACGTTTCTGTTCATAAATGTAAGCACTGTGGCAGTAGTAATGCAATATTTAGAAAATGTACTCTTGATACTCAAGTACTTTTAAAAACAAGTACTTTAGTACTTTTACTCAAGTAGACATCTGACTGTAGTACTTTTACTTGTACTTGAGTAAAATTTAGCAAGGGGTATCTGTACTTTTACTCAAGTAATAAAGCTGTGTACTCTGTCCGCCTCTGGTTAAACGTGAAAACAGTGTCAATCAACGCAGATATCGCTCATGTTCAAGTTGGTCGTGTGAATTCGCCACACTGACCAATAGAGAGGTGCTGGGTAAATATGACTGCACCTTAACGTGAGATTAAGTATTAATGGTTTATCCATCACTGTTATCATCTAGATACTGGAGTGCCTCAGGGCTCAGTGCTGGGACCGCTTCTCTTCTCCATCTACATGTCATCACTAGGATCTGTAACTCAGAAACTCAGACTGACCCCTGTGATCTGAATACTGCGATGAAACTCTCTTTAGGCTTATTACTCATTACCGATTAATGTTTGCGTGAGGGATGAGGATGCATTACAGTACAGAAGGAAAGGTTGACTTTACTCTTTAGCCGCCTCCTCCTTCAGCGTAGCGTCGGGTCTGTGCATGACGCTGTAGGGGAACGCCGCTCCGCTGCAGGAACCGTAGCTTAGCTTACCCAGCCGAGACGGGCTCTTGATGCTGCCGGGCGGCCGGCCGGGACTCACCTTATAGCCCGCGGCCTTGGTGGTGCCCAGGGGCCGGCCCGGACTGGTCTTAAACCCGGCGGCTTTAGTGGTGCCCAGCGGTCTGCCCGTGCTGGTTCTGTAACCGGCGGATTTGGTGGTTCCCGCCGGCCGGCCGCGTTTCCCAGACCTCCCGGACGCTCCCTTCTTTTTAGAGTCCCCGCTTCTGTGGTTTCCGGCGGGCCCCTGCGGCAGACGCGGCTCCTCGCGGCACGAGGGGGACTTGAGGACCGGCGGTGGCGGCAGGTACGCGAAGCACATCTGCCGAGAGCGCTGCGGGGGGGAAGACTGGTAAAACTTGGTGGGGCACAAATCAAAGTGGCTCGGCGAGAGCCTCCCGTCCTCCGCTAAACACGAGGGCCGTCCGTCCACGCAGTATTCGCTGCTGCTGGACACCTGACGCATCATCTTCTGTTGACAGATGGGACATATGTGTGTGTGACAGAGGCTTTGAGTCTTATTTTGTGTGGCTAAAAAGACAGGAAACAGGAAGCTAGCGGGCGTATCAAAGGAGTGGGATGGACTCTCGTTTGATTGGTCAGAACTTTACAGAGTGCGAGATGAGTCGTCAATGTTTCTTAAGGCCCATTCACACCAAGATCTCTAACGTTAACGGATGATATCGTTCTGTTGATTCTCAGTTTTGCCGTCTTTCGCTTTAAAGGCGACATATTACGCCTCTTTTCATTAGATGTAATATAAATCTTTGGTGTCTCCAGAATGTGTCTGTGAGATTTCAGCTCAAAATACCAGATCATTTATTATAGCTTGTCAAATTTGTCCCTTTATAGGTGTGAGCAAAAACACGTCGTTTGTGTGTGTCCCTTTAAATGCAAATGAGCTTTAGCCCCGCCTCCGTCCAGAAGAGGGCGGCGCCTTTATAACAACACAGGCCGATCTCACTGATCCAGGAACAATGATTCTGAATGTGACTCCAAAGATATTATTATTCTATGCCGTTATCGTTATTATAGTTATGGTGTGGACGATTATTAAAAGGTAATTGTTATCGTTATCATTCTTGGCGTGAACGGACCTTTACAATCTATTTCTCATTGATATAAATGGTTAAATGGTCAGAGCTCACAGACATTGATTGACTCTCATGTTGATTTCATGGGGTCTTCAAGTGTTTGCTTGAAACTCTTACAACAACAGAACTCAAACATCTTCATAAATGTGTGAGTGAATGAATGCATATAGCTTCTCTTTTATAATAGTTAATAAAGACAGATCATGCACCAGTCAGGGCTATATTAGCATGCATAGCTTTAAATATGACATGTTACATTATAAATGCACACAGCTGTCATCACAGGACAAAGCCTCTATTGTTGTCATCTATATTACTAATAACAGTGACAAAGTCAAAGATACATTTGATTTGATGAAATACAAATTTCAGTTCATGCAAACTTACAGAAACACCATTTGTTTGTAAAGTGATGATGAATGACTGTACCTCGCGTTAATGTCGACAGCGGAACGGAAAGGGTTAAATGTGACATTTCTGTCCCATTTTGAGTGAATTTGGGTGAATTTTGACTGATTAGGATCGAAGCCCAGCGGACAAAATCAAAGAGATTGACGTTCACCTTGGTGTTCAGAAAACGTGTCAAAGATTCCTTCCTAATTTTGAGAGATGCTTTAGAAACGAGCGTCAGCCATTGATATTAAATATTAAGAAATCAAACGGGAACGCGCATGCGCGCTGAGTGTGCGCGCAGTGGATGGATCTGCATCGAGTTTATTCTTCAGCTCGATGGAGATAAATAAAGCTGAATCTGCTTTAACTCTTCAGTGTGTTTTCACTTCAGCGCTTATAAGTGTGTGTTATTCAGATGCTCAAACAGGAACCAGAGACACGTGGTACACGCTACTTTCCTCAACGCTGATCAGGACAGACCAATCACAGTCGCTGATGACTCACGGGTCCGAGCATCGAGTATTAGTGTTAATACACAAGAGTATTAGTTTTGATAGACAGGTGTCAGTCCTTCAACAACCAATCAACCGTGCACATCATTAGTGTGTTAATAATGTTGAATCAGGATCAGTTCCTCCTGCAGCATGTCTTCTCTTCTGATGACGAGGGCGGGGCTTTACCTGTCACTCACAGGAGATCAGCCAATAGCAAACCACTAACGTCCTCATAAGTGACATGGTACATAAATTTGCTAACTTAGAAGCATCATGATAATCCCATCTATCATTACGGTCTGATAATTATTTTCTATGTTCTTTTGGAGATTATACATGATGCAATCATGAATTCAGGCTAACTAGCTAATTTCTCTGAAACGGTTCATTTTTATGGATTTCTTCGCCTAACTCTCAGTTATTACTGTATGAGATGCATGAGGTGAACCACAGAACCGTGATCCTTAAACATCGAAACGATAACTCTCTTTCTGCAAATGACCAATGGAAAAGTGAAGTCCTGATAGAACAAACGGAGATGGAACGAGGAAATACACAAGAAAAAAAAACATTTTATTTCCAAATTAAGTTCACAATTACATGGGAGTTTTCTAAAATATTCAACATGAGCGACGCAAACAACAGGTACAAACTTCCAGAGATCCAAACCTGGCGTTCGCCCGGCTGCCCAGCGCAGTGCTCTACAGGACCTTGTACCGGCCCTTGCTGGTCGGCTGGTAGGAGTTTTGCTGAAACACACACACACACACACACACACACACAGTGAGTGAACACACTCCTCCTCAGGTGTAAGATTGATCATGAGCTGGAGAGCAGATGTGGTGTGTGTTCAGGCAGAGAGGTTATACGCTGGGATGTAACGGTGTGTGTGACCGCTGTAACCGAGACCCGTGTGTGTACTTGTGCGTGTTTGTGTTATATCTCCGACTGTATAAATATTAGCACAGGTGTGTGTATGTTTATTATTTCACACCTATTTCCTTTAATAACTCTATATTCCACTCGTAACACACAACAGTTCCTCTCAGGCCCTTAAACACACAAATATCCCCATTAAACGGCCAGTTTTAATCCCAGGGGCGTTTCACTGTAAAATCAGGCACTCTTTGTTCATCGGCGTTCATATCATTCATACACACACACACACACACACACACACACATACTGTATATCCCAATCCCAACACTGTGCGCACGCACACACACACACACACACACACACACACCACTCATTTACTGAGAGATGAGCCTCACATTTGGAGAACAGCCTGTTTAGATTTATGGCTTTCTCACAGTTTTAGAGTTAAACATGTTTCATAAAATATACATCATTTTCATGAAACTATTTACAGTTTTTGCTTTATTTTTTAAATATTTATTTTAGCATTAATGTGCCAAGAGTGTTCATTAAACCGAGACCAAAGAGAGACAGTCTGTGCTCCTTTATCACCGTGTGTGTCCTCTGTGGACCTGTGTGTGTGTACACACCAGTTACACGAGTTACACACCAGTTACACACACAAGTTACACAGGATCTACACAGGAGTTAAACCATGAGTAACTGGTGTGTAAACCGTGTGTAACTGGTGTGTAACTCGTGTGTAACCCGTGTGTGTAACTGGTGTGTAGCTCATATGTAATCCGTGTGTGTAACTTGTGTGTAACCCGTGTGTGTAACTGGTGTGTAACCCGTGTGTAGCCGGTGTGTGTCTGATGCAGGAGTGTGTAGTGCAGCATGTGGGGATGTACCAGGCGTATGAGCTCCTCCTTGATGAGGCGTGTGATCTCGGCTTTGGCCTTCTGCACGGCCAGCTCGTTCGCACCTGTAAACACACACACACACACACCCTCAGGTTTAGTCACGCGGCAGCAGAAGGCTCAGGTGTGTGTGTGAAGCGGCACGTACTCTCGATGGCCAGGTAGATCTTGCGCTCGCCCTCTTTGGGCTCTTTGCCCGGGGGGAAGTACGTCCCTCGTATGGTGATGGCAGCCTCCGAGTACTCTCCGATTCGCTGGAGCGCTTCCTTCGACGTGACCTTCCAGCGGGCCGTCTGTGGACACACATCAGCGTTTAACACACACACACACAGAGCAGCTCAGAGATCCACTGGTGGACGATCACACGTTGATCTGATTGGTTATAAGGTTGTTTGTGACGTCAGAAACACCAGCGATTTCACACCGTGTTTTTTAGGTCAAGTATATTAATATAATACGTCTTATAATGCGTCTTAGTGGGAAAACATCCACGTTTGGTAGAGCTGATCAAGGGGATTACTGATTGGTTCATTCATTTGAATATCCCCAAGCCAAAGGCAACAGTGGCAAGGTACCGAAAAACTCCATCAGGCGACCCAATGGGGTCCTAAACTCCATGTCCTGCGTGTGTGTGTCCTGCAGGTGTGTGTGTGTGTGTCCTGCAGGTGTGTGTAGGTGTGTGTGTGTCCTGCAGGTGTGTGTGTGTGTGTGTCCTGCAGTGCGTCACCTGAGGGAAGTCGTTGATCTCCAGCTCCTCCTCGTATCTCTTGACGGTCTCGCTGTTGTCGTTGGCCTGCCGCTCCTCCTCCAGCTTCTCCACCGGCGTGTAGTTCAGCTTAGCGTTGATCTTCTCCGCCTGCTGCTCTGCGATGGTCTTAGCGGAGACCGAGGGCGCGATCATCGTCCCGCCGCGCAGGATAGCGTTCGTGGCCTGCTGCATCACGTCCTGAGGTCGCACACACACACACACACACAGCTCAGCGTCATGAACACAGCGGTTTATCTGAGGATATTCAGATATATCAAAAGGTAATACGAATATCTGAGACTCGTATCTGAGGGAACGAACTATCCAACTGGCTAAGAGCTTAACTAGTACATGACCAGATAACTTACATGACTAGATCAAGCAGACAAAACATGGGAACCTGTAGCCGATATTATATTACGCTGGTATAGTAATCTCTATTAATCTACAGTATAATTACATTGTTTGATATAATATGGTTTTATTTGATATTATGTAAATATGAACTTTTATTTTATATTGGTTTATGTATTATTATCATATGTTACTTGTATTTATATTGTAAGTTGATATTGTGTCCAGTTTGGCCCTGTAAATAAAGGAGTATTATTTTTTTTGACTAAGTGTGTGCGGTTTCGTTTTCGTAAGTACCGTTTAAAAAATACAGAGTAGGTACTGGCATCGGATAAAACCCAACCGATACCCAACACTATCTGTAACCAAATGAAAAGCCATTTCCTTTACAGCAAACACACTTTGTGTAATTCCTAAAAGGATGTATTTTCTGCTGTGTGTGTGTGTGTGTGTGTGTGTGTGTCACCTGTGCCTCGGCGCCCAGGTTCTTCTGCACCTGTATCCTGAGCGCCAGCTTCTTGGCCATCTCCAGCTTCTGTATGTTTCCAGCAGAGGGAGCGCTGGGGGCGGAGGCCGAGCTGACCGAGCCGCTCACTCCCACAGCGGGGCCGCCGGAGGAGCCCGGGGCCGAGAAGTCCTTCACACGCTTCTTAGAGTTAAACATGCTCTCGATCTGCTCGTCGATCTGAGGACACACACACACGGGGCTTCAGTCACTGAACACTGAGTGTGTGTGTGTGTGTGTGTGTGTGAGAGAGACTCACGTCGAGAGCCGCGTCGTCGTCGTCAGAGTCGTGAAGGCCGAGCGCAGCCTTCTGCAGCTTCTTCCTCTCGTTGGCCAGCGCGTGCTCCGTCTCGTCGAACTTGAAGCCCTTCCCGGAGAACCCGCTGCTGCTCTTGATACTCTTGCCCTCCTGCGGGAACACACACACACACACACACATGAATGACAAGAACGTAAGAGACAGGACATTGGGGAAAGTATGGTGAATGTCTTGTGTGTGTGTGTGTGTGTGTGTGTGTGTGTCTCACGGCCTTCTGCTGCTCCTTGAAGCCGGTCCACAGCTGCTCCAGCTCGGGGGGTACGGGTGTGGAGGACAGCTCCAGCGCTTTCAGGATATCCCCAGAGTAGCGCACCTGGTCTGCAGTGATGAAGGTGTACGCGTATCCCTGCAACACACACACACGTCAGACACACGCCTCTCTCTGGTCACACACTCCTGTGGTGACGCGTGCGCTCACCTTGTTGCCGGCTCTCCCGGTGCGTCCGGCGCGGTGCACGTAGTCCTCGTAGTGGTTGGGGCAGTTGTAGTTGACCACCAGGATGAGGTGCTTGACGTCGAGGCCCCGCGCGGCGACAGAGGTGGCCACCAGCAGACGGCACGCCCCGTTCTTGAAGTCGTTGATGATGCTGTCCCGGTCGTACTGGTCAATGCCTGGATAACCACACACACTCGAGTCAGCTTCATCTATACAGCGCTTACACAACACACACCGTTTCACAGCAGCTTTACAGTGACGACAGGAGACTACAGTAACGGAGAGGGTTTAGGCTTTACACATAGACTGTAAAAAATATGGACAAAGCGTCTGTGACGTCACCCATAGACTCTCTGAAGAACGGGTTTGAGGCTGTTTATGGGCGGTGCCATACTGGAAAATCTTGGGAAATACAAAATACAAAAGTTTCAGAAAGGATACAGAGGTGGTATGATGCGTTGTGTCAGATCATGGACGAGACATCAAATTCACTCGGCGCAGCCCGTTATCAGCTGTCAATCAAAGTTAACCGCCCTTATTTGTCATATGTTTTATATCTAAAGATGATCTAAACTAACGAGTTAGAAAAAAATTCACCCCCTCACAGTTATCAGGCACGCAGAACATATTGAAGAGTAAAATAAACGTCAAACATATGAATTTATGCTGTGAAAACGGACATTATAACATGACGTCTATGGATATTTGCTCCCTTTTGGGATTTATCGCACTTCCGGGTAGGCTTCATCTTTCAGATTAGAATGTTGCTGCTTGGCTTTACAGCAGATCTAGAATAAAGTTATTGTCCAGCTAAAGTTAGTTTAGTTTAGATTGATTCACTCACACGTAAACTTCAAAAACGCAGATCCGTGAATATGCTACAGCGTGCACATGCGCATCACGTGACCAGCCTATAGGGATGCCCGTTTGAACAGACGCAGAGAAAGCAGGATTATAGGATGACGAGACAGTCTTTTCTACAACACTTTATTCAACAGGAGAACAGCTCCTTCAGGCAGACGCGGTTCTTTCAGTTTCAGTTTTCAATCCGATAAGTGTAGACAGACGTCCTCGATCGCATTAGAACAGGAATAAACCACATCAAGGTTTCATTGGGCTCAAGCTGAGTCAGCTCGGTTAAGGCGTTTATATGAAGACTTTAGTACGATTGATCCGGCAATGCGATGACTAAGCGATTATCTGGCTGCATGTACGGGTAGATGTGAGTGATGACCTCTGACCTCCGTGCAGGGACATGCAGGGGTACGAGGCCTTCATCAGGTCCTTCAGGAGACCGTCGGCGTGCTCCTGCTTGTCCACGAAGATGATGACCGATCCCTTCTCCTGATAGTGACCCAGAATCTCCAGAAGCTTCAGGAACTTCTTCTCCTCCTCGATGACGATCTGTGAAACACACACACACACACACACACACACATGCTGAACACTGAGTGTAACATTGACAGTAACACTGAGTAACACTGAGTAACACACTAGTAAAACTGAGTAACTGAGTAACATGCTAGTAACACACTACTAACACGCGAGTAACACCGAGTAACACTAAGTAACACACTAGTAACTGAGTAACACGCTAGTAACACACTAGTAACACACTAGTAAAACTGAGTAACTGAGTAACATGCTAGTAACACACTAGTAACACTGAGTAACTCACTAGTAACACGCGAGTAACACTGAGTAACATGCGAGTAACACACTAGTAACACTGAGTAACACTGAGTAACATGCGAGTAACACTGAGTAACACACTAGTAACACACTAGTAACATGCGAGTAACACTGAGTAACACACTAGTAAAACTGAGTAACATGCTAGTAACACACTAGTAACAATAAGTAACATGCTAGTATCTCTGAATGACGTGAATAACACACTAGTAACACTGAGTAACACACTAGTAACACTCAGTAACATGCTAGTAACACACTAGTAACACTGAGTAACATGCTAGTATCTCTGAATGATGTGAATAACACACTAGTAACACTGAGTAACACACTAGTAACACTGAGTAACCGAGTAACACTGAGTAACATGCTAGTATCTCTGAGTGACGTGAATAACACGCTAGTAACACTGAGTAACACACTAGTAACACTGAGTAACCGAGTAACACTGAGTAACATGCTAGTATCTCTGAATGATGTGAATAACACACTAGTAACACTGAGTAACACACTAGTAACACTGAGTAACCGAGTAACACTGAGTAACATGCTAGTAACTCTGAGTGACGTGAATAACACGCTAGTAACACTGAGTAACACACTAGTAACACTGAGTAACATGCTAGTAACTCTGAGTGACGTGAATAACACGCTAGTAACACTGAGTAACACACTAGCAACTGAGTAACACGCTAGTAACACTGAGTAACACACTAGCAACTGAGTAACACGCTAGTAACACTGATAATAATTCGACTAATAATCAACTCTTGTTTGTAGTTACTCTAGTGTACTGTACGGTCTATTCTGCGCTTGTCATTCGTTCCTCATCTGTGCTGTATTTTTGGAGACGCATTATTCTGTTTCGCCTCAGTGTTGGCGCACTGGACTCGGGTTCGAGACCGACTCGGCTGGTAGGATTGGGGGCGGAGCAATGAAGAAGGGGTGTGTTGACAAGTGTGTGTTTGTTTGGGTTGATTTCATTTTCCAAAAACTCCTGATCCCACTTTTAATATCCGCATTTGTTTGAAGCATTCGAGTCCTCTTACCCATAACTCCAAGCTAGCGTAAGCCAGGACTCACCACGTGCTGCTCGACGTCGGAGCACACCACGCTCCTGCCGCCCACCTGCACCTCGATGGGCTTGGACAGGATCCTGCGCGCCAACGCCTCCATCGAGCGCGGGAACGTGGCGGAGAACATCACAGTCTGGCGGTCCGGCCTCACGTTATCCACGATCCGCATCACCTGAAACACCACAGATCCCAGATCAGGCACTCTGAGACTGCAGACTCGTGCTCACAGAGCAAAGCACTCTGGGATTTAGGACACAGAGGCGAGTAGGGCTGGTATCTGCAGGGGAGACCCAAACGCATCCACTGAACACCGTACGAGCGTCTCAGACACACGTCACTAAAACACCAATCACTGCTGCAGCTCTCATAAATATATCAGTGAAGACCGCAGTTTTATCTTACATTTGATTCCCTTGTTCAATTCCCGTAGGATTTCTTAATTCTAGAGCAACCCGAAAAACTGAATTTGGATCTCTGTTCTATTGGGTTGCTTTTGTTCTTAGTTTTTACTGACTTTACTTGTGTTCAATAGTTGCTTGACTTCAAGTATCATTCTGTGGCATCAAAACTGAGAATAGGAAAATTTCATTGGTATCTAAAATTTTGGTATCGTAAAAAACATATTTCCATAAAAAAAGCTATACCAAGATATACACTGTTACACATCGATCAGCAGAAGTTCCCGCAGTTTGACATGATGTGTTTAGCGCAGTGAAACCTACTCAGAGAGCAGTATAGAGCCAGTGTTTCTGAAAGGTGCTGGTAGACCTGATGATCTTTGCATTCAGAATCGGTCAGATAGATTTTCCTGATCCTTCACTAAATGCCCAATTTCACATGCGTTTGGTGTATTTCTAAAATAGAAAAAAATGTATTTCTGTAAAATAGAAATACTGTAAAATGTTCTGCGTAGTATTTGGTATTTTACTTTGATCCATTTCAACTGAAGTAATTTTGTATTTTTATTTTAATAACATTTTCATGTATTTATGCCCATCTCTGTAGTAACAAGTGACAAAAATGACAAACAATTTAAACAACTGTCCATTGCATACTCAATATATGTAAATAAGGTCACGATTCCTCGATGAAATTAACTTCATCATCCCTGACGATTTAAATCATCCTCAATTAACCAGAAAAACACTGCAAACAGACATGAATCCATAAACCGCATTATTAGACCATATTCTGAGGCAGCACAACATATAAAACATCCTAATATAGCATAGTTGTGTATCCCCGAGGCTGCGGTCGATAAATGTGTGTGTGCTGCCGTGTGTTCAGTGTATTAGCAGTGTTGTTCAGTAAACCACATGACTACCTGCTTTCCATACTTTGCTCCAATTATTACTGTTTAAGTCATTTTAAAAGGCAATTGTTCACTTGGGTCTCTATTTATTACCACAAAACAAAAGAAACGCTTCAATTACCAAAATTAGGTTAGTGACAGCTCTAACACACACACACACACACACACACACACACACACACTGACCTGCGGCTCGAAGCCCATGTCGAACATGCGGTCGGCCTCGTCCATCACCACATACGTGGCTCTGCGCAGGTTCGTCACGCGACCTACAGCACAACACACATCAGCAGATCAACACAAGCAGCGCACGCTAACGCTAGCAGGAGTACAGACACTACAGTCACAGCACCCCTGGTGGGCAGGAGCGGCGGCGGAGGAGGCGTACCGGATCAGGACACGTGACCTGTAAAACTCACAAGAGCCACATCATACATTAATGAGGAGCCGCACCTATGAAGAAGCATATTACAGGTTACCTCGCATGTGTGGAAGCCACACACACACACACACACACGGCTCCGACTGCACTGCATTCTGGGGGTTTGGAGATCTGCCTACCTGTGGCCCTTCTCTATCAGTGTGAGGCTCGTTCAGCAGTACGCGTGTGTGACGCTAGTGTGAGGCTTTAGATCACACATGAAGAAGAAAGCCAAATATTATCTGTCAGGGATGCATGCTGGGTAATCCACTGATCTGCAGAGGGTCAAAACGACAATACTGCCCTGAGACTTGAAGCCAAATTACAGGAGGTCCAAACGGCTTTCTAAAGATGGCAGCATGGCTTCAGTTTTACACAGATCGCTGGTTTATTGGGTAAATCTGATGACTTCAGCTATTACTGTAGCATGATCTGCCAACAGTGACCGGAAATGGGGAACAGCACTTACTGTGATTCCTCCCCAAGTTTGCATGCAAAAAAGTTATTATGGATCAACGCTATATCGGGCACCATATCGGCATCAGCTCAGTAAGACAGTTTGGTCTGTATATTAGAGGCAGGGTCAGTTAGAGAGAGCAGAAAACTGTCCACCAGAGAAACCGTTCCTGTCCTCGTCCCAAACGAGCGAGTCTACTTGGTCGGAAAGCGGCTATAGCTTTAACAGCGAGACTTCTGTCAGGCTCTCACCTATATAAAACTGTGGATTTACATTTATCAGCCATATATTGAACTGGGATTGAGCCCAGAACAAGCCCTTGAGCAGCACACACACACACAGGTCACATGACACTCACCGCTGTTGGCTCCGAGCATGTCGATCATCCGGCCGGGAGTGCAGACGATGATTTCTGCTCCTCGCTTCAGCTCTGCGATCTGAGGACACAGCGCTGAGTTAGAGTGTGTGTCGTGACCGGTGTGTGTGTGTGTGGTTTAGGGTGAACACACACCTGCTCGCTGATGCCCGTGCCGCCGTACACACACACCACACGCAGACCCAGAGACTTGGAGAACTTCTTGCACTCTTTGGTGATCTGGAGAGCCAGCTCTCGGGTGGGGGTCATGATGACCGCTGTGTGTGTGTGTGTGTGTGTGTGTGTGAGAGAGAGAGAGGTTTACGGTTAGGACAGGTTTAGAAACAGTAGTAAGAGCATAAACGTGCATCAGATCAGATGATTGATTTAAATGTGATGAGCAAACACTTATATGACAGTATTTCACAGGATAACCCGAGGAGCACAGCTGTGTGTGTGTGTGTGTGAGAGAGAGAGAGAGGTTTACGGTTAGGACAGGTTTAGAAACAGTAGTAAGAGCATAAACGTGCATCAGATCAGATGATTGATTTAAATGTGATGAGCAAACACTTATATGACAGTATTTCACAGGATAACCCGAGGAGCACAGCTGTGTGTGTGTGTGTGTGTGTGTGTGAGAGAGAGAGAGAGGTTTACGGTTAGGACAGGTTTAGAAACAGTACAGAGTAAGAGCATAAACGTGCATCAGATCAGATGATTGATTTAAATGTGATGAGCAAACACTTATATGGCAGTATTTCACAGGATAACCCGAGGAGCACAGCTGTGTGTGTGTGTGTGTGTGTGTCGCACCGATAGGCCCCTCCCCCTCCCCCAGTGCCCGCTGGTCCAGGATGTGTCTGAACATGGGCAGGAGGAAGGCGATGGTCTTGCCGCTGCCGGTCTTGGCGATGCCGATGAGGTCTCGGCCCGACATGATGGCCGGGATGGCCTGCGCCTGGATCGGGGTCGGCTTCTCGTAGCTGTGCCTGGGGGTCACAAGAGGCAGGAGGTCACATGATGCTGTGGCTTTTCATCCCGCTCGTGTGTTACGGGGAACGTGTGTGTGTGTGTGTGACTCACTTCTTCAGCGCGTTCATCACTTTCATGGAGATGCCACACTGCACCCAGGACTTGATGGGCTTCGGGCAGCCTTTGCCCTTCACGACGATGCCCTCCAGCTCCAGGCGGTACTCGTTCACCTCTGGGGAGGAAACGCATCATCAGCTCGCTGAGCATCATGGGTAACAGCACATCACTGTAGAACCGGCTCTGATGGATCTCGAACATTTGAGTCCTCGACATCATCATCATCATCATTATTATTATGTAGCGACATTTTCATCCAAGTGTTCCCTACGCTATCATCAGAGAAACCATCAATTCAGAAAGTGTTCTCCACATCAAAAGGGTCATGACATGTTTGTGTGCCACGCGAGCCGGACGCCAGGCTAACACACCGCCTGCTAGTGTCTAACGCTGGGATGTCCTGACCAGCTGCTTAAACTGGACCGACGCTCTTTCACTGTCTTCTGTTTGCTTTTGACGTGACGCTCACATTCAGTGGCGGCAAATGTCAGCCGTTGAGAGACTGAAAACCAGTGGGCGGAGCCTATTAGTGCAGTGGGTGGAGTCTATTAGTGCAGTGGGCAGGGCCTATGGTGTGATCTATAACTATTGGACGATGTCTTACACAGCCCATGTATTTCCCCGTGTGATGTCACAGATCCCACAATCTCAAACGAGCCGTGTTAACGAGCCGGATTAAATAAACGCTCAGGAAGTTAAGCTCTGGGATAGGACAGCTATAACAGTTTGCCTCCTCATGTCATGACCCCGTGACCCCCAGAAGGAGCCAGGAGCAGCGCTGCTGAAGAGTGATGTCAGGTCAGTGTGGTGTGTGTGTGAGTGTGTGGCGCTGACCTTCGGGGCTCATCCGGGCCAGCTCCGGCACTTCCACGTAGAAGTTCTTGCGGAAGGGTTCATACTCGATCTTCTGATGATCCACCGGCTCCAGAACCTTCCTCTGTTTCGTCTGGAAGCCCGTGAGGGCCGTCTGCAGGTCCACCACCTCTTCCTCTGACGAATACTACACAGAGAGAGACACAGAGAGAGACAGAGAGAGAGAGAGAGAGAGACAGAGAGAGAGAGAGAGACACACATGAAATTGAGAACTGCTTTCTTTTTTTAGATGTAATTATCTTATTTGCAACAATTATATCTGGTGTCTGATTAGTGTTTGGTTTGACTGTACATGTTATGAGTGTGTGAGAGAAATGAGGCATGTAGCGGTGTGTGTGTGTGTGAGAGACAGTGGTGGAGGAAGTACTGAATCTCAGTACTTAAGTAAAAGTACAAATACCCAGATAAATATTTACTTTAGTAAAAGTAGAAGTAACACAATGACAACCATACTTAAGTAAAAAGTAAAAAGTACTTTATTTTAAATGTACTTTAAGTATTAAAAGTAAAAGTACTTGCATAACAATTTATTATCTTAATGTCAATTTTCTAATGATTAATAAAACATTTAATTCTAACTCATTCAACCTAATAGCCTACTCCTATAATGATGTTCAATAATGATGGAAAAAAATGTCACCATTTCTGAAACAAGCTTGCAATTAGACAATATCATGCTTATCCTTACTATTGGCAGTAAACGCAATTCTTTCATGGTGTAATTCTGAACCTCTTGGCTTGCCATAATCCTAACCAAACCAAACGTATATTACACACGGTGTGTTTCCTATGCACGTAAAAACAAATTTTCGCGTATGAGTTGCACGATCAACACACTGCGTGTGAGACGCATTTAGTGTGACCGGGTTGATATACTGTATCTATGGCAACCAAACGTCACTGGTGAGACAAACGTGCAACGAACGGACGGTCAGATTAAGTTTTGGCAGGGGAAAAACTGATCAGGAAATGTAACGAAAATGTAACAGAAGTTGTAGAAATGTAGTGGAGTAGAAAGTAGAATAATTGCTGCAAAATGTAACGAAGTAAAAGTAAAAAGTAGGCACTATCATGGGCGAGGCTAGCCCATTTTTAGGGGTGCTTCAGCACCCCTAAAGAGGAGCTCAGCACCCCTAAAACTTGGAGCAAGAAATGTTGTTATTCTAAAAATTTTGTTCGTCTTTGACACGGTTAAATAATGTCCAAAACATACTCAGTAGTTTGTGGTTTAAAATGAAAATGAAAGCATTAATCTTCTTCTAATGTTACTTGTACCTGCACCGGCTCAGCACGGTCGTCATCCAGCGCGAAACACACGCAGAGTTATGAGAATCCGAGCCGTTAGGTAGTTTTGTGAATCAACTGAGACGCTCCAGAGCTGTATCTCACACTTCTTTCCTTTCAGTTGTTCCGATTCCGAAACCATATCGGTGAGTACTGGAGTCAGTATCCTGAATCATTGGTACACCTATAATAAGTGTTTATTTTGGGACTGTTTTAGTCTAGCGGGTCACCTCCGCTGTGGAGTAACGTTAGCGGAGTGGCAATCGGGAGAGACGGGAGTTTTCCCGGTGAGCCGGTAGTGTTTTGAGGCCGCGAGGGCCGGTCTGATAAAATTTATTTATTGCAAGTTCGCCATGAGCCCAAGCAAGGGGAAGAAAAACAATGTTTTTTTTTTTTGTTACATTTTCGATAACGGAGCGTATATTTGCAGTAAGTGCCTGTCTTTCTAGTAAATAGATGCTTGTCAAGGAGTAACTACAGTGGCGTAGGTCGTAGGGCGTGAGTGAAGTGTATTAAAGCAGTTTTAGATGCGCTCGACCTGAGTTCGAATCTGCCTTTTGCCGAACTCTCTCTTCTCCCTTTTCCCAACACATATGAGATGTAAAATGTATAACCTAACATAAAGGGCTCTAGTGTTATATTTTGCCAACGAACTAAAATCGAATCCATGATATGGCTTTGTCCCTTTATAAAACAGCACAAGACTTTAAGAATAGGCATCCATTTTTGCTGGGTGATTTAAAGAAAAGTGTGCACTTTGCTCACGCGATCAGCATGATTATATCTGGTGTTTTCTCCTAAATAAAAGCTCAAGGGTTTATTTCTTGCAAGTGTAGAAATATGACAAAAGTATTTTAATTTTCCTATAGTGTAATGTTGACTAAAATATACTTTTGAAATATCAATTTTCACTTATATAGTACATTTATTGGCTATATGGATTTTACATCATAGGAATAATTATATAAATCATTATTACATTATTATAATAATTGTTTAGGATCCTAAAACACCATTGATAATGTAATGTAGACTGAGACTCAACTAAAAAGATGTTTGAGCCCTCTTTATTGTCCTGGTACAAATCAATGCTTTTTCTTTGTTCAATGAGCAGTTCATGGGTTGAAGCTCTTAATTTTAAACTCTCAAAGAGCACGAGATTGATGCATTTAACCTTAAAATCTACAAAATTTTCTAGCGGGGGAGCATGCCCCCGAACCCCCCTAGAGGAACAGAGGCCACCCAACATAGTTTTACAAATTTGTTAATATCTTTTAGGTTGCCTATTTTTACTGTTGGCTGGGGAACTACCAATGAAAATTAGCTATTTTAGCTAACTCAGGTAAATTTTCATTGTTCTAATGTTGATTAATGTGTATACTGTCCCCCTTACAAATACATAAATAAATAAAGAAGAGAGAGAGGGAGCGTATATGGGTGTAAAATGTGGGTGGTGGCAGTTGGGCTCATTGGGTGCTCAGCACCCCTAAAGCTCTGACCCTAGAATCGCCCCTGGGCACTATTTATTCTACTTAAGTAAAGTAAAGATACGTGAAAAATGTACTTAAGTAAAGTAACGAAGTATTTGTACTTCGTTACATTCCACCACTGGTGAGAGATGACGCGCAGGTGGAGTGTCAGGTAGGGTTGGGTACCGAAACTCGGTACCAATAGGGAACCGGTTCTGACGTAAACGGTAGTAACCAGACCGAATAAGAATGAACATTTCGGTGCCTGATTTCGATTCCTGAGTCTGTGTGTCATGAGGCGCACACACACAGTCTCTCGCTCTCTCCCTCTCTGACGTGCGCACTACGGTTTATTGAAGCACAGTCTGATCTGTCTCGGACGCGCACTCTTGCTCGCTCGCTCTATATTCGGGGAGATTGAACTAATTTGCGGCATCTTGGAGCCGTTATCAATATTTGGGAGACTCCCGAACGTCTGCTGAGGAGATTAAACACACGTGAAATGTTTGGCTGCATTTCACATGTAAAATTACGCGTCACTCATAATAACGATTGTCTATGGATATAGAATCACCATTCGCTCACGTGGTCATCATATATTAGCGCGCGCATCATCTGCTCCTCAGAGTTCTCTGCCGGAAAAGGAAGCTTGTCAGCAGTGTCTCGTTCCCTATTCAGAGAACATGTGTTACACAGAGACGTTCTCTTTCATATGTTTACTCAAAGCTAAGACGCAGTGGGAACGAAATATCCAACTGGCTAAGAGCTTAACTAGTAAATAACCAGATAACTTACATTACTAGCTCAAGCAGACAAAACTTGGGATCCTGTAGCCGATATTATATTACCCTGGTATAGTAATCTCTATTAATCTACAGTATAATTACTTTGTTTGACATAATATGGTTTTATTTGATATTATGTAAATATGAACTTTTATTTTATATTGGTTTATGTATTATTATCATATGTTGCTTGTATTTATGTTGTAAGTTGATATTGTGTCCAGTTTGGCCCTGTAAATAAAGAAGTATTATTTTTTGACAAAGTGTGTGCGGTTTCGTTTTCTTGAGTACCGTTTCGAGAACCGTTTAAAAAATACCGAGTAGGTACTGGCATCGGATAAAACCCAACCGATACCCAACCCTAGTGTCAGGTGTACCTCCATGGCGTCCTGGTCGTTCTCCATCAGCTCGCCCTTCTTCTTGGAGGTGTTCGGCATCTTCCTCGTCTTCATCACGGTCATCACTTTAGTCACGGACATGCCTCCTTTCTGCTGACACACACGCAGAGCAGCGCCGTTACTCAGAGCTCTCACACACACACACACACACTCACGCACACACAGGAGAGATGCTCCTCAGACCACGAGGCTCTACCCTGCGGAGCCACAGATGGCAGTGTTGGCCACAGGAAGTACCTTGTCGTTCCCGCCCTTCATGGTGCCCATGTTGAACTTCTTGACCTCCTCCTTGACCTCCTCCATGTAGGCGTCGAGCGGGTCCAGCTCCTCTCCGGCCTCCTCCTCCGGCACCTCCTCCAGCTCCACCGCCGGCTCCTTCTCCTGCTCCTCGCCGTCCGGGTCGGGCTCCACCGGGGCGAGGGTCTCCTCCTCGTCATCTACACACACACACACACACACACACACACACACAAACAACATTAAAAGCTGGATTTCCATCAGCGCAGGACTTTAGTGCTGCTCTCCGCCAGAGAATGTCTAATTGAAGAGAATCGGCACTGGCTGGTTACTTCCGGGTTCTGGACTGGCTGCAGTAACGCGTCTCTGTCCATGCGGGGGCGCTCGCAGTCGAGTGCAGAATGAATGGGAGTCAATGGGGTTTCACCCCCAGAAATACACTTTTCTCAGGATGTAATGTTTTGTCAAGTAATTTGAAAGTTGCATTCAAAAGGGAGGGCTAAGATAATACACTCAGCTGAAAATTGCATTTTTAAGTTTACTTATCCGTTCTAAAAATCCGTTCAAAAATGTGATGTCACACAATAGCAGAATGCTAGCGTACTCCGGCCAACAACAGCCTAACCTGTAAGAAACCGAAAGGACATAAGTACTCGTTCATTCGACTTTTGGCCTATAATCTATATTGAACTTGCGGAATCAACAATAAAATCTATGTTAATTTAACGACAAGCAGGTGAAAGAGACACATTTAGCCGTTTAGCCCCATAGACTCCCATTCATTCTGCTCTCGCCCGTGATCACCTCCAGTGGAAATCTAATGAACTGCAACCAGGATGATCCACAACGGGGCTAATAGGAAGTGCCGAGGCTCTCCGTTAGACGGGCTCTGGCTCCGCCTCTGCTGCAGCCCCCGCCACACATCATTTAACGCGTTCAACACTGTTGAAAACTGCATTACCCATGATGCCACTGAGGAATCTTAACCAATCAGAGAACCACGTCGAGCAAATCACACACTCTCATAAAGCACAACCGATGACATCACTCTCCCTGCGCTCTCTAAACAGCGTGTGTGTGTGTTCATGTTTATATTACATTGTGCAGTCCACAAGTATAGTAAACCTGAACATCAGCTGCATTGTGGGGTCCAGCCAGCAGTCCCCGTGAGGAAAACAGTGTATAAATCAGACTAAGTAATGTTTTTATAAAAATGTAAAAATGCAGAATGTGTCCTGTGAGGGGCAGCGTAACGGGATAGAATATACAGTGTGTGTGTGTGTGTGTGTGCTGACCGTCATCATCCTCCAGGCTCCACTTCTTGCCCTGCTTCATCTCCTCCAGCTCCTTCTTGATCTCCCCGATGTTCTCCATGGCCTTCTTCCTCTGCTCCTCCCTCCACTTCTCCACGCGCTCCTTCCTCTTCCTCATCTCCTCCTCCAGTGTGTTCTGGTCAAAGTCTTGCTGCGGAGAGAGTGTGTTAGAGCTCACACTCACACACACACACACACACACACTCACGTCCTCCGGCCTCTCCTCCTCCTTCTCCTCCTTCAGCTTCTTCTTGTCGGCGCTCGGCTCTCCGTTCTCCGGCTTCTCCTTGCTGGAACACACAGCACACTTCAGCTAGCGCTAGCGTTACACACGTCTCGGACGCTAATCACAGCGCTGCGCATTTGCAAAACTAGGAGCGACACTGCCTGTATTAATACATACTTATAGACGTCATGAAATAATGATAATTAACATTTATAATTACATGTTCTTCATAGTTCAATGACTTTCTAGGAACTCACAAATAGCAACTTGGAGAACATGTGTGTGTGTGTGTGTGTGTGTGTGTGTGTGTGTGTGTGTGCTGTATAATTCTGTATACATACGACATTTATATACATTTTACTGTAAAGAAATGAACGCTTTGTGAGTTAAAGAATTCACATATCCGTGTCTTATTTCGATACGATACCGCAGACAGATATCGATATTTGACAACTTTCCGTTCCACAGGGAAACCGGCAGAGATATTGATAACATTACCTCATCATTTTTGATCATTTGGGTCATTTTGTTGCAATAGCTTACACACACACACACACACACACACACACACACACAGAGGCTTTACTTGAAACTTTGAAGAAGAAGAATAAAATATGAAAAAATAAACTAATGGGAAATTAAACCACAAGAGAACAGTAGAATAAAGAGACGAGTGAATAAAGAGGGCTTTAGTGTGTCAGTCGGGGAGAAGTACAGTCAAATAACACTGGACAGTTCAACTGTAAACATCACACACACACACACACACACACATATCTAGAGCAGGTTTGTAGCGGTACGAGTGATGATGGAAAGCGTTTGGATGTGCAGCTCGTCCCTCACGCCGCCACTGCCAGTTCATCTCTCTGAGACTATCTACAGCTTTGCGTTCAGGTGTGTGTGTGTGTGTGTGTGTCACTGACCTCCTCCCTCTGCTCCTGCTCTTGCTCCTGCTCCTCCTGCGCTCTCGGCTGGTGCGTCTCCTGTCCCGACTCCTGGAGCGCCTGTGAAGAGACGGGCCGTGAGCACATGACAGAGAGTGTGTGTGTGTGAGAGTGTGTGTGTGTCCTGACCTCGGCCTCTTGCGGTCTCGGGAGCGTGACCTCCTCCTCTCTCGGCTGCGTGTGCGCTCTCTCCTGCTGCGGGCCCGTGAGCCGGCCGGATCCTCCTTCTTCGAGCGCTTGGAGTCGGGCGAGCGGCTCTTGGACCGGCTGGCGGACCTCGCCCTCGAGCTGGAGCGCTTCCGGTAGTGCCTGACAGAGACACGGGTGAGACAGAGGAGGAACTCCACAGGTTAATAACTCTACACAGCTTCTGTATGCACTGTATCACGCATTTACTGTTCTTCAAAAGATCAATAATGTACATTTGAATAAATCATTCAAACTTCTGCATATTAATGAACTAAAATAATTATGTAATTATAAAGTTAGTAATAAAATTTTAGTATTATTATGTAAATTTCCTTGTGTGTAATTTGAGTTCTCATATAGAAATCAGCTGACGTTAACCTTCACTATAATAATGTACACAAACAGACTTCCGGCAGTTTACAGCAGAAACGCACCATTATTACTGTACCTCATATATACATATACACTACAGTATATTATATACACACATATACATACATTTCATACACAAATGAATCAATACTGAATCGCAGTTGGAATTGAATCACAACCTTGTGAATCGAAATCGAACCGAATCGTGAAATTGTGACATTATGGACAATGTCCAGATAAATCACTTATAATAAACATGGCAAATTCTACAAAAATAAATAAAACGTCTCATGTTTCATGGTGACTTTAAAGCATTTTAAAGAAACCACTCAAAGATTTGTTTATGTTCCAACTGAAAACGGTAGAACTTCAGATTTATTATACTGGCTCCACACATACACAAAGTTAAAAAGACTGAAAAACACCTCTATTGAAATATTAATAAAATAATAATATATTAAAATAATGTATTACTAAATAATAACAACTATTATTAATTATAATTATTATTTACCACAGAGGTAAGCATATATCTGTAAATTAGACATAAAAGAAAAATACAGTTGTGTTTTGTGGAAGTGGACTGCGTGGTGATGACGTAATGAATTAAACTATATTTAATTGCGAAGTAAACAACATAACGGCGCTATATACTATAGCAGATATATTCACACAGACACGCTAACCTCCTCTGCTGCACTCGAGAAACCATTTATTGCAAACATTAGTGAGTAAGTTAGTTAGTTTGTGAGTTAGTTAACGTTAGTGAGTTAGTCGTGTAAGCAGCTCAAACGTAGAGTTCACGTCTTATGATTATAATAGTTTGATTCGCAGCGCAGCGGTATGAACAACACCTGCATTATAAACGCGTGTAAATCACACTGGAAATATTACTAAAACAGTTAAGCCTGAAAATGAAACGAAATTGAATAAACATAGAAAGATTTACCGTGACTCTCGTCCCATGGTGTCGCTTTAGTGAATCCAAACACACAAACACTTCCGGCTGCATGATGACCACTTCCGCTCTTTACTTTTATTAAAGGGACAGGTTCCAGTTGATCCAAAAACGATGACAAAACCATTCCCTTTATGGATTCGTTTAAATTAGACAATTTTTACCGCAAATAAAAATACAAATTAAACCAATAATAAAATATTTAAGTAAATAAAAACATTTATTGGGAATAAGTCACCAAAAACATCCAGATGTACATTACCGAGTATCATTCTGCTGAACTCTAGAGTTTGAGATGCTGCTGCGAGGATCGGGATCTCCTTCAAACGTGTGTGTGTGTGTGTATGTGTGTGTGTGTCATGTTGTTTTCGTGATTTGGTAAAAATCCAGTGCTGCACGTCGCTCAAACACTCGCATGATGACGTAGAGTGTCACGTGTTCGGACGCGTTGGTGTGCCTCCGTCCATCACATATTCTCATGAGGAATATTAATCTGTTACTTCTTTTAGGTTTATTTATAAATGCAAATTTGGAGGAAATACGCCTTTGTTTTTAATTTTAAGATTAGAAATTCAACAATACCTAAACACAATGTTGTCTCTAAAAATAAGAAGTGTTTCAGTTTGTAAAGATTTTCACTTTTTTAACTTTAAAGTTTGTCACTGTTTCTTCATATATGTGTCTTTTTTTATTTACTCAATGCACCTCCTTGACCATAGTAATTCTTTAAAAAATAAAAAAGTAAAAATCAGTTTTGTGATTCGATTCATTGTGCAGAAATACTCATTGCCGATAAAATAAAATAAGATGGAAACAGCGTTCAGAGGTTCCCTGTGCCATTATTACTTCATCTGAATGTAAAGCTCCTTTAAAATGACATTCTCCTCTGATACACAGTTGTGTTCAAAACAATAGCAGTGAGTAAACCTCAAAATCCTTATAATAACTTGTATTTCAATACACACAAATGCATTGGGAACACACTGCACATTCTACTCAAAATCAAACCATAACGAAAAATGTATTAAATATGTTATTACTTTATAGCAAGGAGAAGAAAAGGGAACATTAGGCTGTTGAAATGAATAGCAGTGTCTGCGTTTATCTACTGTGAACTGAACAATGGTTGGACCAATGGAGTTTTCTTGTGATCACTGAACTAGTGTTTAGTTGTTTACTGCTTGTACACTGCCTGTGTATGTTCAGGACACAGCTCCTGCATTTCTGGGGTTCGCCTCGAAAGACTAAAGTCACCCCACAAGTGTCCGCCTGTCGGTCAGGAACCGAGGTGCTGCTCGCTGATGCTGTGTTTGGGGTCGCTGTCTGTGATTACAGAGCTCTCCCTTTCCTCCCAAAAAAACTTGGAAAATAACTGCAAACTTAGAGCAGAAGACTTGCCCTGACGTGTTAAATGTCACTGAATCAAATGAAATATAAACAGATGAATAAATATAATAAAATGTCTTTGAATCATGTTAGGAAGCCTTTAAAATAATTTAATTTAAAAGTACATAATTCTATTATGTTGAAGTTACATGAACAAATTATGTTTGTTTAACGTAATCCAGTTATGTGGAACCTGTTGACAATTTAAAATGAAATAAAGCCAACATATAATTTTTTTGAGTGTTGGTGCTTCTGCGTTCCCACAGTGAAATACCGAATGATTGTTAGAAAGAGAACTGAGCAATCGCACACACAGCAGTCAGAAGGACACGTTTATGTTTATTGGTATAATCAAAGACATTATTACAGCTCACAACTTGCCTCATTTTAGTGTGAAAAACACAGATTTACATTAGAATATCAGTTTTGCAGGATTATGTAAACATGAACAGAAACAACTCAATAACGGTGATCATCTGTCCCATGATGAAAGAACATTATTTACAGTTAATCAATAGATCATGCAGATCTATGGTAAACTCATGTTTATGAGCAGCATAATAATACTAAAGTCTCTCGAAATCATAAAACACATCAGCAACGCTGAACAACGGCAAATCAGAGAATGTGCTTTTCTTCAGAAACACTTAGAAAACAGAAATCTGACATAAACCTGCTGGTCCAACATCACATTCAACTGAAACAGCGATGATATAAGAGGATGCAAAGAAAACAGGCTTCAAGTTCTCATGATTTTAGCGTAAAATATGAATCTGTTAAACTCTGCTGGGTCGGACGAGATCTTCACTAGTCTCGCAGCGGTCAACATAACTCTCCACGAACTGAGGAAAACTACAGGAGATGAAGAGGACGGGCAGGACACGTGACGGATGGAGCTCAGGCTTGCAGAAAATGTGTGTTTCACAGCTGTGATGGCCACAGGAGAGAAAGAGGAGTGTGTGTGTGTGTGTGTCTCAGGAGCCGTCAGAGCCGCACAGCAGCAGCAGCTCGTGACACATGACGAAGCTGAAGAAGTACACACACAGGTCCGAGAACACGAGGCTCATCTTCCTGTAGGTGTCCATAGAGCGGCTGATGAGCTCCGAGGGGATCCCCGACAGCAGGAGAGCAGCGGTCAACACCGTCGCCTGGCTCTTCTTCTCCACCTGGGGGTCAGACCCGGGAAACATCAACTATAGTTAGGGTTAGGGATTAACCTCAACTATAGTAACCCACCTGGGGGTCAGACCGGGGAAACCTCAACTATTATTAAATATTATTAAATATTATTTGAATGTATGAATTGGCAAGACAAAACAAATTATCCAAATGATCATCTTTCACTCTATGATGGTTCAGTTTAGCAGTTAATCCGGGACCACAATGGAAATAAACCCTAGGGCTTTATTGTGTTATCCTGACTTTGTTTCGTTTCTTTTAATGTATGGTGCAAAGATGTGTCATAATTTAGACAAAAGGGTCAAATAAAATCAATCAATCAGCGAATCACTTGCGTGCCGAACCGTAGGGCTGCTGATCAAAAAGATCACCATCAATGGCGATCCGTAATGTTCAGTCTAATATATTGTAGTTTAATAGCATAATTAACCTCAGTTTATTCCACATGTTATTATCATCACACAACTTATCATTCAACTTACATTATCAGTTCCAAAGCAGAGACAAACCTTTGGGAAGTATTTGTGCAATCCCATGAAGCCCAGCTCCAGAGTGAGGAACGGAGCGAATATGGACTGTGGAGACAGAAGACACAGGTCACGTCTCCTTCACTTTTACCAGCACAGAGTTTCACAGTGAGAACAGGACATTACAGTCACAGAGACTGATTAGGCTTTACAGCAGATCTAGAATAAAGTTCCTGTCCAGATAAAGTTAGTTTAGATTGATACACATCCACTGCAAAGATCATTAGTTATTTAAGGCTTTTTTTCTTTGCATGATTGTGTTTATAGGGTGCAATATAACATGTCTTCGTGGTTTTTCTTTTTTTTTAAAGTCTTATTTTTCATAACTTCACCTTTATTGTCAGCCGCGCTCTCCTCTGTCCTCGAACGAGCGGTTCACTTCCTGAGTCTATGAAAACACTCCCTCAGAAACAGGCAGTGGGCTCCGATTGGTTCGTTTGGGCGGGTGTGTTGTGATTGGCTAAACTGTAGCTCAGTTGTCCGGAAGGTTAACGCCCATTACCTTTACTGGCAAGAGCTGCATGTGTTGCTCATGTCAGATCAGGATAATCCTGTTTCTTTGGATCAAAGTTATCCAAATCCCACTGACAAGTTTTGAACAACACAAACTGAAGGTTTGATCCAGATTAAAACTAGGACTGGATTCCCTGATCTAATCTGATTTCAGATTCCTTCTTTCCCTTTTGAAAAACCCATTATCGAGATCTGATCCAATCCGATAACCAAAATCCGGTCATCTTCCCTTTGAACAACTGGGCCCTGATGATAGCCTACAGCTTGGATAACGTGCACGCGTTACGATTCAAAAACTTTATTGTTCGTCAGACGAAACAAAAGCATTTCATTTTCACATGTGTGTAAGTTAGGGCTATTATTCCATGTATTACTTATAAGTTGCTCAAGCAAGTGGTCAAATATTTACTATATTAAAATCACAAATAATTTAAATTAAAACTTAAAATTGACAAAAGCAGCCGACTTGCCTTTGCTCCGCGACACTCACCAGATACTGGCAGACGAAGATGCGCACGAACACTGCGAGAGCGACGCTGGCGGCGAGGCGGAACAGGCCGAACGGGTCCAGCTCCTCGGGCTCGGTGCCGGTGCGGTCCGGAGCCGGCTTCTCTCCGGCCAGATGCCCACGCAGCTTCATGGCGTCGTCGAGCCGGGACAGGTACTTCCTCAGACCCCTGCGAGGAGAGGACGGCAGCTCTCGGAACGAGTCCTCTTCTCCCGCCGCCTCGCTGGCGCTCCTGTCGGACTCGGCCGGGTGCGGAGACGGCCTCTTAGCGGAGCCGGAACAGGGCTCGTGCCGCTCCAGGTCCAGGTGGAACCGCGGCTCCAGGACGCTTCGGGCTGCTTTACAAACACAAGACATAAATTCATTTATATTCATTTCATCATATCATGGGGTGGTGATGGCGCAGTGGGTGAGACACATGCCTTTGGTGTGAGAGACTCGAGTTCGACTCCACTGTGAGACACCAATGTGTCCCTGAGCAAGACCCTTGACCCCTAGCTGCTCCAGAGATGTGTGCGACCTCTGACATATATAGCAATTGTAAGTCGCTTTGGATAAAAGCGTCAGCTAAATGAATAAAATAAATTAGAGCTGTCTTGATAACCACGATATCCTAACACCACAATACTGACAAGCTTCTATTTGAGAGTCGCATGCCCTGAAATTGCAGCTATTTGTAATATGATGTGAACAGCATAAAGCGGATCTAGTTAACTCCTTCAGGACGGTGTCTCAACAACGCTGGCTCTGGCTACTTTAAAGGTGACATATTATGCCTCTTTTTCATTAGATGTAATTTAAATCTCTGGTGTCCCCAGAATGTGTCTGTGAAATTTAAGCTCAAAATCCCCTCAGATCATTTATTATAGATTGTCAAATTTGCTGCTTTTTGGGTGTGAGCAAAAACACAGTTTTGTGTGTGTCCCTTTAAATGCAAATGAGCTGCAGTTAAGAAGAGGGCGGAGTTTCAGAGAATCAGGAAACACCAGCACCAGCAGCAGCATCACTTTCTGAATGTTAGCGTTAACATTTGTGTAGTTGTTGTGTCAGTCACCAAGTGATAGTTTAGTTTTTCAGGTCACAGATTTCTTACTTGAGAGACCATTAACTTTACCTGATATTTATATATTTGAAGTATTGCTAAATGTAAAATTCAGAAGAACTGTTTGAGATCCTGCCCTATTCTGCGCCTCACGTCGGATTGATCATGTGATGCTGTGGACGATCATCAGGTGCAGCTCGTTAAGTTAACCCCTGCTGGACAATGACTCATATGGGGACGTGTTGTGTGTGTTATAGCAGAACCCACGTCTGTCCGCGCTGCTGTCCTCAGACTGGCTGAAGCCCACGATCTTCTTCATGCGATCCTCGGAGTTCTGCATCAACTTCCGCCTCCGGATCTCCGCGCGCCTCTGAGCGGCCGTGCGCGCGCCCTCGCTCTCCTCACACACCTCCATCACGCAGATATCGACGATATTACCGCAGTTATTACTGATAATAATCCGCCAGCAGACCCTCTCTCTGTCTGTGTGAGAGTGAGTGTGTTATTACTGACGGGGCGGAGTCTCGCGCAGCATCATGACGTCACGCACAACACGTCTCCGATGAATGACGAACCCGTTTCAAAATAAAAGCCAGAGCTCACGAAACTTCTGCTCAAATCATGTTTTTTTGTCTTCAAAACTACAAAATTCACCCAAACATTATGGCTTAGTAGTGGAAAGTAATTATTCAATGTTACAAATATACTTGTCTTTACATTTCTATTCACACTTCACAAAACCAAAGTAGTGTGTATTTGTGAAGATTATCTACACTTTCTTTCTTTCTTTCCTCCCTTCTCACAACTTCATCTTAATCTATTTTTCTCCATACACACCGAGAATACATAAATAACAAACATATTTACCTATATTTGTATAATTATATAAATTAACCAAGATCACATATTCAATGACCTTCATCATTATCGTACTTTGTCAAAACTATACTTTTGTACCGCTTTTTGAAATTAAGTTATGCTTGGACATTGAGCACTGAACTTAGCCTGGTCCACAACTCCACTCCACAAATAGAAATACAAAAAAGTTTTAATGTCGTACGGACACAAGGCTCACTCCTAAAATAATATATATATAATTTAATCGCAAATAATTCTTAAATATATACATGCATGTGTGTGTATTTATATATACAAAATAATTATATACAGCACACACAAATATATTATGTAAGCAACTTTTATTTTGGATGCGATTAATCGCAATTAATTTTTGCACAGCCCTAATATATATATATAAATCCTAAAATTATTCCTCCCTTCTCTATTCAAAAACAGTTTTTGAATATTGCCAGGAAGTAAGTTGTTTTTTTTTTACCTTATACATTATTTATGCTGGAACCAGGTCAGTAAAATTTAATGTCCTTGATTTTAACAATAGTGTATGTGTATGTTCTCGGTTACAGCTGTTATGAATTATCCTCATGGCTCTTTTTGCAACATAGATTCAAATTTGCATTACAAATGATCCAAATAATATTTCAGGTCTTTATAGAAAAGAGTACATAAGGGTTTTACCAAAGGACTTTCGTGTTACAGAAAAAATAAATAAATAAAAAACTTATAGGATTATGAGCATCACTTGATTTGATTGGATGGTCGAGGTTTGCTATTGGCTGCTTTGATGTGATTGACAGATTGCTCCGCCCACTGGACACAAACTGTGTGTGTGATCAAACCCCTGATTCAACATCACTGCAGATCTGCACCCATAAACCACTTATAATAAACAACAATATACTATATATGTATTAAAATAAGGATTGTTCATTTTATGTTGAAGCATGACCCGTAAAGAAAGCCAGCCGTGTTCAGTAGAGCTCATGCGAGGCCTCGTCTTTAATGATCGGCTCATTCCTTCAGAGATCACATGTACAAAATTACAGAGAATTTACAAATCATCGCTCAAACACACACAGTTATCGTCATGAGTGCTGACGTGAGCTGAACGACTGAGGAAACCAGAGGATTTCTTTATCCAATAAAAAAATATCCCTCTGAATGATGACAAGCACACATGATGAAGAGCAGCCACCCGTCCGTCCTCGTCTCCTCATCATCACACACACTGATCCGCTGTGGAGATATGATCAATCTCTGGATTATATGTCAAGCTGTAGATCACATTCCTGTCATTCTGCCCAAAGCGTTCAGATTTAAACATTCATAAAAATCTCTTCATGGGGAAAATAATAAAGTCCCAGTTTATTCCTCACCTTCATCATCATCATCATCATCTGAATAAAGTTTTTTCACTAAAATTAACAATCTCTGACTATAATATAGGTGTATCAATATACATGTTTGAAGATGGAGTGGCCCGTGTAACACACACTTGCGCCGGCCCCGCTGACAGCACACGCTCAACTATTGCCTTCATAAATTAAAACATGACTGAGGACGACACACACACACACACCTGGACCTGGACCTGGACAGATGAGTGTGTGAGGATGAGTGATGAAGCTCTACATCTGAATAGCACTCATTATAAAGGTTGTAAGAAAGTCATAAGAATTTTTTTTCCTACATTTTCACTTATTTTTGTAGTAAAAGGCAATAAATTAGAAAAGGCTGAGCGCTGGGACGCCTGTGAGCGGACACACACACACGCGCGCGCCGGACCCGCTGTAGTGTCACACACACGTCACTTGCTGATCTGCTGCTGCAGGTGCAGGAGGAACTCGTAGTAGGACAGCGCAGACTCGCTGAGGTCTTCAATCAGGTACTGTAGGAACTCAGCCTTGCGCGGACTCTCGTCTCTGAAAGAGAAACACACGGGTCAGCGTCGCGGTGTGTGTGTGTGTGTGTGAGACGGGTCATGCAGTTTAACTCGGATTACTCAAAGATTGGCATGATGTACAGTATGAACAGCTTTATGACGCATTATAACACAAAGGCTTTAAGACACTAATTTAGATGCAGAAGCAAAATATCATCCTTTACTTCTGGCTTTATAAGCCGTTCCATTCATATATTTAATCGCCAAGTGCAGAATCAGTAGCCGCGGTTCCACTGCCGGGCCGTGCTAGTGCGTGGCAGGGCTAGTCGCGTTTCCACGGTCACTTCCGGGGCTTCATCGGGGCTTAAAAAATGTAAAAAATAAATAAATCGCTGGTTGAAATGGAGAATCGCCTGTACTGGTCTGTCGAGGATACCAAAGCCCTTCTGAGCATTTGGGCAGAAGAAAGGTTACGACCTATGGGTACGACGTCACGGCGTGTGAAGAAACGAGGATGTTACAAAATACATCGATGCTGAACTTTCTAAGCTAAACATTCAGCGAGTAACGCTTCAAGTTCAGGAAATAATAAAAGAGTTGCGGGCGCAGTATTGTACAAGACGATTAAAATTGTTTCGACCCTGCGTTCCGCTTGCTCGCCTGCTGGTGGCGTAGTTGCTCTGAGAGCGTGGGAGATCGCACACACCTGCGACCTGATTATCTTTGATTATGAAGAGGATCAAACATCTCCTCTTCACTTCATCCATTGGACTGACGGCCTCTGGCGAAGTCATTTGAACCTTATGATTTACAGCCCATACCAGCCTTCTTTTACTCCCCAACCGGATTATGATTTTCCCCTTTTGATTTGAAACCCTCTAGACTTTGTTATTTCAGTTGATTATGATGATTTTTGAGGTCATTTTGGTGTACTTGTTTACTTTATGTACGGCCGAAACGAACTGGCCGTAACAAAATGCACAGTGGACCAAGTGGAGTTCAGAGACGGATTTTTCCATGGTTCGACTTGATGGACGGTGTGCTCTGTTAGTGGAGACTCGCGAGACAATCGGGACACTATTGCAGCCACGGCCGGTGAGGTAATATATATGTTATCTTCCTAACTTAAAAAATAAATTAATTCATAATACCCACTGGGTTGTATGACGTTTGATCCAGAAAGGCGTGTTAGGGGCGGGGTTTAGGGCAGCGTTGTGGGGCTACTGGCCCGGCTCGGCTCCGTTAGCTCTAGCCCGGCCCTAGCCCGGCAGTGGAAATGCGGCTAATGTCTGTCAATCAATATTCATCAGCAGCCTTGACTTGCAGCATTTACAGACCTCAATACAAGTGAGCCATACCACTTTAATCAAGAATATTAACAAACATCAGTTCCTACTCTTATGAATGTTATGCTCATCAAAGCTTGACTCGTTTCATACTAATAATCTCTTTAGTCATTAGAAATGGGACTCATCAAATGGTAATCAGTGTGCAAGTTACTGTGCAAATGCCACGTAACATTATATACACACTTATGATGCATTTGTGTGTGTGTGTGTGTCTGACCTGATTACGTGCAGGACGGGGTGGAACGGCCGGCGTTCTCTCAGCCAGTCGATCAGAGCTCGGAGTCGGGATGATTCTGCAGTGTCCAACTCTGGCAGCTGATCCTAAAAAACACAACAGTGTCAGTCACATGACCTCAGAGTTACAGGCCAGGTGAGAGCGTCAGGTGGTGCAAGCGTCATGTGGAGCGAGCGGTGCGAGCGTCAGGTGGAGTTAGCGTCAGGTGGTGCGAGAGTCAGGCAGTTAGAGCGTCAGGCGGTGCGAGCGTCAGGCGGTGGGAGCGTCAGGCGGTGCGAGCGTCAGGAGGTGCGTGCCTCAGGCGGTGCGAGCGTCAGGCGGTGGGAGCGTCAGGCGGTGCGAGCGTCAGGAGGTGCGTGCCTCAGGCGGTGCGAGCGTCAGGCGGTGCGAGCGTCAGGCGGTGCGAGCGTCAGGCGGTGCGAGCGTCAGGCGGTGGGAGCGTCAGGCGGTGGGAGCGTCAGGCGGTGCGAGCGTCAGGCGGTGCGAGCGTCAGGCGGTGCGAGCGTCAGGCGGTGCGTGCCTCAGGCGGTGCGTGCCTCAGGCGGTGCGAGCTTCAGGCGGTGCGAGCGTCAGGCGGTGGAGCGTCAGGGAGTGGGAGCGTCAGGCGGTGCGAGCGTCAGGCGGTGCGAGCGTCAGGCGGTGTGAGCGTCAGGCGGTGCGAGCGTCAGGCGGTGCGAGCGTCAGGCGGTGGGAGCGTCAGGCGGTGGGAGCGTCAGGCGGTGCGAGCGTCAGGCGGTGCGAGCGTCAGGCGGTGCGAGCGTCAGGCGGTGCGAGCGTCAGGCGGTGCGAGCGTCAGGCGGTGCGAGCGTCAGGAGGTGCGTGCCTCAGGCGGTGCGAGCGTCAGGCGGTGCGAGCGTCAGGCGGTGCGAGCGTCAGGCGGTGCGTGCCTCAGGCGGTGCGAGCTTCAGGCAGTTAGAGCGTCAGGCGGTGCGAGCGTCAGGAGGTGCGTGCCTCAGGCGGTGCGAGCGTCAGGCGGTGCGAGCGTCAGGCGGTGCGAGCGTCAGGCGGTGCGAGCGTCAGGCGGTGGGAGCGTCAGGCGGTGCGAGCGTCAGGCGGTGCGAGCGTCAGGCGGTGCGTGCCTCAGGCGGTGCGAGCTTCAGGCAGTTAGAGCGTCAGGCGGTGCGAGCGTCAGGAGGTGCGTGCCTCAGGCGGTGCGAGCGTCAGGCGGTGCGAGCGTCAGGCGGTGCGAGCGTCAGGCGGTGCGAGCGTCAGGCGGTGGGAGCGTCAGGCGGTGGGAGCGTCAGGCGGTGCGAGCGTCAGGCGGTGCGAGTGTCAGGCGGTGCGAGCGTCAGGCGGTGCGAGCGTCAGGCGGTGCGTGCCTCAGGCGGTGCGAGCTTCAGGCGGTGCGAGCGTCAGGCGGTGCGAGCGTCAGGGAGTGGGAGCGTCAGGCGGTGCGAGCGTCAGGCGGTGCGAGCGTCAGGCGGTGCGAGCGTCAGCGGTGCGAGCGTCAGGCGGTGCGAGCGTCAGGCGGTGCGAGCGTCAGGCGGTGCGAGCGTCAGGCGGTGCGTGCCTCAGGCGGTGCGAGCTTCAGGCGGTGCGAGCGTCAGGCGGTGCGAGCGTCAGGCGGTGCGTGCCTCAGGCGGTGCGAGCTTCAGGCGGTGCGAGCGTCAGGCGGTGCGAGCGTCAGGGAGTGGGAGCGTCAGGCGGTGCGAGCGTCAGGCGGTGCGAGCGTCAGGCGGTGCGAGCGTCAGGCGGTGCGAGCGTCAGGCGGTGCGAGCGTCAGGCGGTGCGAGCGTCAGGGAGTGGGAGCGTCAGGCGGAGAGAGCGTCAGGCGGTGCGAGCGTCAGGCGGTGCGAGCGTCAGGTGGTGCGAGTGTCTTGTACCATGTTGAGAGGAACAGCAGCGTAGCTCTCCACTCCTAACACTTGCGTGAGGAAAACTGGGTTACAGTTCCTTCCAATCCAGAGATACAGGACCTGAAAGAGACAAGCGGAGAGTGTGAGAGCCGCATTAACAGATGCTGAACTGACTCATATTGTTTAAGTCTTCGTCTTGCTGGTAGAACAATTGTTTTGTACACTGTAATGGATTATAAAACAATTAAACGGGATAGATTTTTTAGCACTCTCTTTTCAAATCAAGATTTCATTATTTATGTGATGGACATTGAGGCTAGCAGCCGCTCACTGGAACTCTTTCTTCACAGCACTTTATCATAATGAAAATTATAATAATTAATGTTATTACTCACTGTGCCACAGTCCATGAGGAAGGCAGCGTCTCTGCTCAGCTTCTCCACAGACAGCTGGAGCGCTCTGGGCTGAGGGATTGTGCGCTCACTGATGTTCAGCGCCCCCTGTGTGTGAGAACACACATCACATCATCATACAGGACACATCTGAACACACACACACACCATCATCATCATACAGGACACATCTGAACACACAGACGCTATGTGCTGAACCTTTATACGCTCTATGCACGAACCCTGCTCACGTCTGTCCGAAAGAAATGATTCGCTAGTCGGATTTCACACGATATGAGAGAATACTCACCCTCAGTTGTTGATATAGCTTGAAATATATAATTTAAAGCCCTTCTCTCTTTTACTCTAATGTGTGACAGCTAACGGCCTCAGTGTTGTCAACATCACTCACGTTAACCGCTGAAAATTTTTGTAAACAGCGAGTGTAATTTGACACTCTCTCTACCTAACGCAAAACCGGTTTCTGACGTAGCACCGGATATAACTGGGCGTGCTAAGACAAACCCGGAAGCGATGGTGTATAGAGCCTATTGAAGCTGTGACATCACTCCTCGTGTCTCACCGGCGTCTGTGAACTCGCCACTGTCCCACACACTGACTCAAGTTCAACTGGTTTCAAAAGTTCTGTTATATAGTGTATTGAAAACTCATCAATTAAATATTTACCATTGTATATTCTACATAATTGGATGTTTTTAAATAAACACTGACAAAAAAATACACAACTGTTACGGCTGGATAATATGACGATATATATATCACTGATACGAGTGATCACATGGAGTTAGACCTATATTGTATTTGTATATAAAGCGTTCACAGGCTAATTTGCTTTATGTATTTCCCCGTTGGTGAAATCAGGCTCATATAAACGCGAGGAAACACTATTGATATCCTCTGGATCTGTGTGAGTTGCAAGGATCACTATATCGAGTCCAAGCTTTAGTTTAAACTGATAATCGTTTGTTTTACAGGCCTTCCTGCAGTTTCTCCTGTTAAGGAGTGTGAGGGAGTGTGTTCTCTGCTGGTGACCCACTGACCTCATCACTGAGCTGGTCCACGCGGTACAGGCCCGGGTGCACCATGAGCATGAGGAACGGCAGCGGCTGACTCTTCAGCTGGAACATGGAGAACACGCGCTCGTCCAGCCGCGTGCTAGCGCTGGTGCGGAACGCTCTCTGCAAGAGGAGAGAGGGGCGTCAGTGAGTGTGTGTGTGACGGAGCTGAGTGCCGGGGGCCGGGGTGTGTGTGTGTGACATACGTGCTTCAGCAGGGCCAGGATGTAGAGCGGGAGCAGCCGCAGGCACGCGGGAGCTAGCAGGCCCGGCTGCTGGACGCTCAGCACGGAGGAGCGGAACGAGGACAGCGAGTCGATCGCTGCGTTGATCAGGGCGTCCCGCGCGTCCCCCAGGCTAGCCGTCACGGAGCGGTCCACAGCTGGACGACAGCAGAACACACATCACTGCAGAACACTGTGTGTGTGTGTGTGTGAGTGAGTGAGTGAGTGAGTGAGTGAGTGAGTGAGTGAGTGAGTGAGTGAGTGTATGTGAGTGAGTGAGTGTGTACCCATGCTAGCCAGGAGAGCAGTGATGGCCTGAACATCGGCTCCAGCGAAGATGTCGCTCAGAGAGTTGACCACCGGCAGACACAGTGTGTGCACTCGGATCCTGCGCTCGCCTGCAAGAGCACAGAGACACACGAGTCACATGACCTGGTGATCACATGGCAGCAGACCATATAACCTCAGACCACGAGTGATCACATGACCTCAGACACATGACTGTGGGTGATCACATGACCTCAGACCACAGGTGATCATATTATGACTTTAGACACATGACCACAGCAGACACTTGAACAAGACCACATGACCACGGGTAATCACATGACCTCAGACACATGAGCCCTGACCTTTGCTGGAGGTGTATAGCAGCGCGGCCTGGAAGGACACGGCCTGCAGGTCCAGCAGGTTCTCCTCGATGCTCATCTGCACAGCGAAGCCCGCGTCCGGGTTCACGTTCGCCAGGGACAGCAGGTCCGTGGAGCGCACGAAGAAGTTCCCGTGGAACGTGTGTATGGACAGGCCTGAGGACACAGATGACACAGCGTCAGCAACCAGGACACTGGGAAGGTGTGTTTCGTCAGGTTTGATGCGACGTGCGCACACAAACACACAGTCGCATACGGACTCTCACAGTTGCACACGCATGCACACACTCTCTCTCTCTCTCTCACACATACACACACTCTCTCACATACACACACACACCTTTGGTGCAGCGTATCCTCATGACAGCCTCGAAGCCGATCTTGCGGGTCAGGTACCTCTTCAGGTCGCGTTGAAAGCGCTCGGTCTGGGCCGGGCTGTGCTTACGGTGGTACGACGGGTAATAATACACACTTCCTGCAGAGTACCTGGATATGCAGCCTGCAGGAACACACACATCAACATCACTTGCAGGAAAGCTCTTGTACACATCATAAGAGATCTCACCGGACCGCGTGATGTCTGCTCTCGGCACAGTTTACCTCTATAGATCCCCCAGGCTCACACCTGACCCTACACACTCTCTAACCCTGATCGCTTACACTCTCCCAGTGACAGCGGCTCCTCGAGTCAGGAATGCTGGATGTGGACCCAGAAATGCTGGACCCAGAGAGGACAGGTCGCAGAGGCTAGACTGACCTAGAGAGGACAGGTCGCAGAGGCTAGACTGACCCAGAGAGGACAGGTCGCAGAGGCTAGACTGACCTAGAGAGGACAGGTCACAGAGGCTAGACTGACCTAGAGAGGACAGGTCACAGAGGCTAGACTGACCTAGAGAGGACAGGTCGCAGAGGCTAGACTGACCTAGAGAGGACAGGTCGCAGAGGCTAGACTGACCCAGAGAGGACAGGTCGCAGAGGCTAGACTGACCTAGAGAGGACAGGTCACAGAGGCTAGACTGACCTAGAGAGGACAGGTCGCAGAGGCTAAACTGACCTAGAGAAGACAGGTCACAGAGGCTAGACTGACATAGAGAGGACAGGTCGCAGAGGCTAAACTGACCCAGAGAAAACAGGTCGGAGAGGCTAGACTGACCTAGAGAGGACAGGTCGCAGAGGCTAGACTGACATAGAGAGGACAGGTCACAGAGGCTAGACTGACATAGAGAGGACAGGTCACAGAGGCTAGACTGACCCAGAGAGGACAGGTCACAGAGGCTAGACTGACCTAGAGAGGACAGGTCACAGAGGCTAGACTGACCCAGAGAGGACAGGTCACAGAGGCTAGACTGACATAGAGAGGACAGGTCGCAGAGGCTAGACTGACCTAGAGAAGACAGGTCAGAGAGGCTAGACTGACCTAGAGAGGACAGGTCGCAGAGGCTAGACTGACCCAGAGAGGACAGGTCGCAGAGGCTAGACTGACCTAGAGAGGACAGGTCGCAGAGGCTAGACTGACATAGAGAGGACAGGTCACAGAGGCTAGACTGACATAGAGAGGACAGGTCGCAGAGGCTAGACTGACCCAGAGAGGACAGGTCACAGAGGCTAGACTGACATAGAGAGGACAGGTCACAGAGGCTAGACTGACCTAGAGAAGACAGGTCAGAGAGGCTAGACTGACCCAGAGAGGACAGGTCACAGAGGCTAGACTGACATAGAGAGGACAGGTCACAGAGGCTAAACTGACCCAGAGAGGACAGGTCACAGAGGCTAGACTGACCTAGAGAGGACAGGTCAGAGAGGCTAGACTGACCTAGAGAGGACAGGTCACAGAGGCTAGACTGACCTAGAGAGGACAGGTCAGAGAGGCTAGACTGACCTAGAGAGGACAGGTCACAGAGGCTAGACTGACCTAGAGAGGACAGGTCAGAGAGGCTAGACTGACCCAGAGAGGACAGGTCACAGAGGCTAGACTGACCCAGAGAGGACAGGTCACAGAGGCTAGACTGACATAGAGAGGACAGGTCGCAGAGGCTAGACTGACCTAGAGAGGACAGGTCAGAGAGGCTAGACTGACCTAGAGAGGACAGGTCACAGAGGCTAGACTGACCTAGAGAGGACAGGTCAGAGAGGCTAGACTGACCCAGAGAGGACAGGTCACAGAGGCTAGACTGACATAGAGAGGACAGGTCGCAGAGGCTAGACTGACCTAGAGAGGACAGGTCACAGAGGCTAGACTGACATAGAGAGGACAGGTCGCAGAGGCTAGACTGACCTAGAGAGGACAGGTCGCAGAGGCTAGACTGACATAGAGAGGACAGGTCGCAGAGGCTAGACTGACCCAGAGAGGACAGGTCACAGAGGCTAGACTGACCTAGAGAGGACAGGTCACAGAGGCTAGACTGACCCAGAGAGGACAGGTCGCAGAGGCTAGACTGACCTAGAGAGGACAGGTCGCAGAGGCTAGACTGACCTAGAGAGGACAGGTCATAGAGGTGAGACTGACCAAGAGAGGACAGGTCACAGAGGCTAGACTGACCCAGAGAGGACAGGTCGCAGAGGCTAGACTGACCTAGAGAGGACAGGTCGCAGAGGCTAGACTGACCTAGAGAGGACAGGTCATAGAGGTGAGACTGACCTAGAGAGGACAGGTCACAGAGGCTAAACTGACCCAGAGAGGACAGGTCACAGAGGCTAAACTGACCCAGAGAGGACAGGTCACAGAGGCTAGACTGACCCAGAGAGGACAGGTCACAGAGGCTAGACTGACCTAGAGAGGACAGGTCACAGAGGCTAGACTGACCCAGAGAGGACAGGTCAAAGAGGCTAGACTGACCTAGAGAGGACAGGTCGCAGAGGCTAGACTGACCTAGAGAGGACAGGTCGCAGAGGCTAAACTGACCCAGAGAGGACAGGTCACAGAGGCTAGACTGACCCAGAGAGGACAGGTCACAGAGGCTAGACTGACCCAGAGAGGACAGGTCGCAGAGACTAGACAGACCTAGAGAGGACAGGTCATAGAGGTGAGACTGACCTAGAGAGGACAGGTCACAGAGGCTAAACTGACCCAGAGAGGACAGGTCACAGAGGCTAAACTGACCCAGAGAGGACAGGTCACAGAGGCTAAACTGACCCAGAGAGGACAGGTCACAGAGGCTAGACTGACCCAGAGAGGACAGGTCACAGAGGCTAGACTGACCCAGAGAGGACAGGTCACAGAGGCTAGACTGACCCAGAGAGGACAGGTCGCAGAGACTAGACTGACCTAGAGAGGACAGGTCATAGAGGTGAGACTGACCTAGAGAGGACAGGTCACAGAGGCTAAACTGACCCAGAGAGGACAGGTCGGAAAGGCTAGACTGACCCAGAGAGGACAGGTCGCAGAGACTAGACTGACCCAGAGAGGACAGGTCGCAGAGACTAGACTGACCCAGAGAGGACAGGTCACAGAGGCTAGACTGACCCAGAGAGGACAGGTCGCAGAGACTAGACTGACCCAGAGAGGACAGGTCGCAGAGACTAGACTGACCTAGAGAGGACAGGTCGCAGAGGCTAGACTGACCTAGAGAGGACAGGTCATAGAGGCTAGACTGACCTAGAGAGGACAGGTCACAGAGGCTAGACTGACCTAGAGAGGACAGGTCACAGAGGCTAGACTGACCTAGAGAGGACAGGTCGCAGAGGCTAGACTGACCCAGAGAGGACAGGTCACAGAGGCTAGACTGACCTAGAGAGGACAGGTCGCAGAGGCTAGACTGACCCAGAGAGGACAGGTCACAGAGGCTAGACTGACCCAGAGAGGACAGGTCGCAGAGACTAGACAGACCTAGAGAGGACAGGTCATAGAGGTGAGACTGACCTAGAGAGGACAGGTCACAGAGGCTAAACTGACCCAGAGAGGACAGGTCACAGAGGCTAAACTGACCCAGAGAGGACAGGTCACAGAGGCTAAACTGACCCAGAGAGGACAGGTCACAGAGGCTAGACTGACCCAGAGAGGACAGGTCACAGAGGCTAGACTGACCCAGAGAGGACAGGTCACAGAGGCTAGACTGACCCAGAGAGGACAGGTCGCAGAGACTAGACTGACCTAGAGAGGACAGGTCATAGAGGTGAGACTGACCTAGAGAGGACAGGTCACAGAGGCTAAACTGACCCAGAGAGGACAGGTCGGAAAGGCTAGACTGACCCAGAGAGGACAGGTCGCAGAGACTAGACTGACCCAGAGAGGACAGGTCGCAGAGACTAGACTGACCCAGAGAGGACAGGTCACAGAGGCTAGACTGACCCAGAGAGGACAGATCGCAGAGACTAGACTGACCCAGAGAGGACAGATTGCAGAGACTAGACTGACCTAGAGAGGACAGGTCGCAGAGACTAGACTGACCTAGAGAGGACAGGTCACAGAGGCTAGACTGACCCAGAGAGGACAGGTCGCAGAGACTAGACTGACCCAGAGAGGACAGGTCGCAGAGACTAGACTGACCCAGAGAGGACAGGTCACAGAGGCTAGACTGACCCAGAGAGGACAGGTCGCAGAGACTAGACTGACCCAGAGAGGACAGGTCGCAGAGGCTAGACTGACCTAGAGAGGACAGGTCGCAGAGGCTAGACTGACCTAGAGAGGACAGGTCATAGAGGCTAGACTGACCTAGAGAGGACAGGTCACAGAGGCTAGACTGACCCAGAGAGGACAGGTCACAGAGGCTAGACTGACCTAGAGAGGACAGGTCACAGAGGCTAGACTGACCCAGAGAGGACAGGTCGCAGAGACTAGACTGACCTAGAGAGGACAGGTCACAGAGGCTAGACTGACCCAGAGAGGACAGGTCGCAGAGACTAGACAGACCTAGAGAGGACAGGTCATAGAGGTGAGACTGACCTAGAGAGGACAGGTCACAGAGGCTAAACTGACCCAGAGAGGACAGGTCACAGAGGCTAAACTGACCCAGAGAGGACAGGTCACAGAGGCTAAACTGACCCAGAGAGGACAGGTCACAGAGGCTAGACTGACCCAGAGAGGACAGGTCACAGAGGCTAGACTGACCCAGAGAGGACAGGTCACAGAGGCTAGACTGACCCAGAGAGGACAGGTCGCAGAGACTAGACTGACCTAGAGAGGACAGGTCATAGAGGTGAGACTGACCTAGAGAGGACAGGTCACAGAGGCTAAACTGACCCAGAGAGGACAGGTCGGAAAGGCTAGACTGACCCAGAGAGGACAGGTCGCAGAGACTAGACTGACCCAGAGAGGACAGGTCGCAGAGACTAGACTGACCCAGAGAGGACAGGTCACAGAGGCTAGACTGACCCAGAGAGGACAGGTCGCAGAGACTAGACTGACCCAGAGAGGACAGGTCGCAGAGACTAGACTGACCTAGAGAGGACAGGTCGCAGAGGCTAGACTGACCTAGAGAGGACAGGTCATAGAGGTGAGACTGACCTAGAGAGGACAGGTCACAGTACTGCGCGCTGAGCAGGAACAGGTCCACCGCCACATGATGGCCGGAGCAGTCCAGAGCCAACTTCTTGTAGAAGTCCGTCGCCGGGTTAAGATGCTGGACCTCCTGCAGTGACCAACAACAGCTTTAACTTTTCCTTTGAGGACTCAAACTTCTTGTTCAGTGTCCAAAACGGAGTTACATTAGCATATAGTATTGGACATGATAAAACTTTTATACAAGTAATGGTTGCAGTTTATAGCATGTGCATTTAGAGTGTACTTGCCTAAGAAATACTAAGTACTATAAGCTGACTACATGGGTTAAAGAAGCTCCATTCGTCGCAAAAACACTTGAACGAGTTGTTTTCAACCAGACCTCCTTTCTTACACAGAACAACCTATTGGATAACAATCAGTCTGGTTTCAAAAGCGGACACTCAACCGAGACTGCCCTGCTCTCAGTAATTGAGGCTCTGAGTCTGGCAAGAGCAGCTTCCGAATCCTCAGTTCTCATCCTGCTGGATCTGCTGCCCTTGACACAGTTAACCACTAGATCCTCCTGTCAATCCTGAAGATGAAGGGCATCTCGGGAACTGCACTCCAATGGTTCGAGTCTTACCTCTCAGGTAGGTCTTTAGGGTGTTGTGGAGAGGTGTAGCATCTAAGACCCAACATCTAGCTACGGGGGTGCCTCAGGGCTCAGTGCTTGGACCACTCCTCTTCTCCACCTACATGGCATCACTAAGATCTGTGATTCAGAAACATGGCTTTTCCTATCATTGCTACGCCGATGAGACACAACTCTACCTCTCATTCCAGCCTGATGATCCGACAGTCTCTGCTCATATCTCGGCCTGTCTGACGAACATCTCTGGCTGCATGAAGGACTACCACCTTCAACTAAACCTTGCGAAGACAGAGCTACTTGTGATCCCGGCCAACCCAACACTTCATCACAACTTCTTTATTCAGCTGGGCTCATAATCCATAACTCCTTCAAGGTCAGCTAGGGTTATAATTAATGATCAATTGAACTTCACAGACCACATTGCTAGAACTGCCTGGTCCTGCAGATTTGCCTTGCACAACATTAGGAGGATCAGGCCCTTCCTAGCAGAGCATGCTACACAACTCCTTGTCCAAGTGCTTGTTTTATCGAGACTGGACTATTGTAATGCTCTCCTGGCTGGTCTTCCAGCTTGCTCTGTCAAACCTCTACAACTGATCCAGATGCTGCAGCCGGAGTGGTCTTTAATGAGCCGAAGAGAGCACACGTCACTTCTCTCCTCACAAGATTGCACTGGCTGCCAGTTGCCGCTTGTATTAAATTCAAGTCACTGACTTTTGCTTACAGAACCACCACTGCTGCTCCCTCTTACCTAAACTCATTACTTCAGACTTATGTGCCATACAGAAACTTGTGCTCTGCTAGCGAATGTCATCTTGTGGTACCATCATAAAAGAGGCAGAAATCTCTTTCTCAGACCTTCACCATGGCTGTTCCCTGCTGGTGGAATGATCTGCCTAACTCAACCAGAGCTACGGAGTCAGTCGCCACTTTCAATAAACTGCTGAAGATGTATCTTTTTTGACAGCACTTGATCCAGTAACACTAACACTTTCTCTTTTTTAGTCTATTCTATTCTTTAAAAAAAATGCAATAAATTAAACTGAGAGGGGTCATAGCACTTACGTATTGTTGTCCTACTGTTAGTTTAACAGCTTCTATTGTTATCACTTGTAAGTCGCTTTGGATAAAAGCATCTGTTAAGTGAATAAATGTAAATGTAAAGGGATAGTTCACCCAAAAAATGAAAGTTACCCCATACTATAAGTGCGGGGGAACAGGACCGTAAAATAAAGTGCTACCAGTAATAAAGAGTTGTAAAATTGAAGAGTTGCGAAAACAGTTTAGCCAATTTAGCCAATCCATCAATGACTAAGTCTGACAGGGGTGTGTGTGTGACCTTGGCGTGTGCCTTCTGGCCGGGGTCCTCTCGGGGTTTGAGGGCACCGATGCCCACGGTTGGCAGTTGTGTCTGGAAGACTGAAATGCGCCCGCCGGTGGGAGACAAAAGCTTAAACCCGGCCTGGAGCGCCGGACCCAGACCAGACTGAGTCTCCATCGTCCTGCTGAACATCTGCGGCAGACCCGTCAGCAGGTCCTGGACCAGCTGCAACACAGACACACACACACTGAACATCTGAAGCAAACCCATCAGCAGGTCCTGGACCAGCTGCAACACACACACACACACGCTTCACTCCATTCAATAGCTGGGACACGTCGTTTGTTAACAAACATGTAGTCATTATTTCAATAAGCTCATTGATTCTGCCTTGAATTATTACGGTTTAAATGAATACATTTTTAGGTAACTCGATTTGTATGATTTGTGATTTGTATATGTACATTTCTGAAATCCAGAAATCTCAATCTCCTCTGATTACAGATCACTCTAAACTGTAATGCGGACTCATGCACTTTCTATAAAGCTGCTTTGAAACGATGTGTATTGTGAAAAGCGCTATACGTAAAAACGGTAATATTAATATTATAACACGGTTACCCCACAATACAAATATTAAAGCCAAAAATATATGCATCACTGCGATTTTTATAAAGTAAACTCCCTAAAATGCTTTTTTTCACAGGAAAAAATAGCTCCTGAAGCAAGAAGCAAGACACAACTGACAAATGACTAGCGTGTCGGGGAAAAAAAACCCTTAACTGTAAAAAGAACAAGATATCGCAGAGGATATTTTAACGGATATTTTATTATGAATATAGGACTGACCTGAAGGAAATGCTATATCTACTGCAAATGCAGGTACACACAATCTCTCACAACACTCACTCATTTAAAAAGCTTCAATGAACAACATCAATGAGAACATTTGTTTGTGGTTATAAGAGTGGTTGCTAGGGGTGTTGTGTCGTGATACAGAGAACCATTAGGTGAAGCGGTTTATTGTGAATAAAACAGTTATTGACCAGTCAGAATCAAGGACGGGAAATAATGTGAATTGAATAGGATGAACCCGAGCACTCGCTCACCTCCTTGCACTCGCTCAGGTTCACTAACAGGCTGTCTGGAGTCGGCAGGAACACATCTGAGGAGGAACAGAACCGTGTCACTTCTGAACATCACTGAACATCATTTGCGTTTATTGATGGGAAACAGCATCTTACCGTCAATGTCTGACACGACGAGCATCTGCGGCTGCGACAGCCCTTCCTGCAGATTGTAGAAGTGGATAGTGCTGTCAAACGTGATGAAGCCGATCTTCGTGCGGGAGTCTCCAGGGAGCCTTTATTACGAAACAAACACGTGACACTCATCAGCGGGTTACACACGCCTGACACACCGAACAGCGGGTTACACACGCCTGACTCGCCGAACAGCGGGTTACACACGCCTGACGCGCCGAACAGCAGGTTACACACGCGTGACGCACCGAACAGCGGGTTACACACGCCTGACGCGCCGAACAGCGGGTCACACACGCCTGACGCGCCGAACAGCGGGTCACACACGCCTGACGCGCCGAACAGCGGGTCACACACGCCTGAAGCGCCGAACAGCGGGTTACACACGCGTGACACGCCGAACAGCAGGTTACACACGCGTGACACGCCGAACAGCAGGTTACACACGCGTGACACGCCGAACAGCAGGTTACACACGCGTGACACGCCGAACAGCAGGTTACACACGCGTGACACGCCGAACAGCAGGTTACACACGCGTGACACGCCGAACAGCAGGTTACACACGCGTGACACGCCGAACAGCAGGTTACACACGCGTGACACGCCGAACAGCAGGTTACACACGCGTGACGCTCCGAACAGCGGGTTACACACGCGTGACGCACCGAACAGCGGGTTACACACGCGTGACGCTCCGAACAGCGGGTTACACACGCGTGACGCACCGAACAGCGGGTTACACACGCGTGACGCGCCGAACAGCGGGTTACACACGCGTGACGCGCCGAACAGCGGGTTACACACGCGTGACGCGCCGAACAGCGGGTTACACACGCGTGACGCGCCGAACAGCGGGTTACACACGCGTGACGCGCCGAACAGCGGGTTACACACGCGTGACGCGCCGAACAGCGGGTTACACACGCGTGACGCGCCGAACAGCGGGTTACACACGCGTGACGCGCCGAACAGCGGGTTACACACGCGTGACGCGCCGAACAGCGGGTTACACACGCGTGACGCGCCGAACAGCGGGTTACACACGCGTGACGCGCCGAACAGCGGGTTACACACGCGTGACGCGCCGAACAGCGGGTTACACACGCGTGACGCGCCGAACAGCGGGTTACACACGCGTGACGCGCCGAACAGCGGGTTACACATGCCTGACGCGCCGAACAGCGGGTTACACACGCCTGACGCGCCGAACAACGGGTTACACACGCGTGACGCGCCGAACAGCGGGTTACACACGCCTGACACGCCGAACAGCGGGTTACACACGCCTGACGCGCCGAACAGCGGGTTACACACGCCTGACACGCCGAACAGCGGGTTACACACGCCTGACGCACCGAACAGCGGGTTACACACGCCTGACGCGCCGAACAGCGGGTTACACACGCCTGACGCGCCGAACAGCGGGTTACACACGCCTGACGCGCCGAACAGCGGGTTACACACGCCTGACGCGCCGAACAGCGGGTTACACACGCCTGACACGCCGAACAGCGGGTTACACACGCCTGACGCGCCGAACAGCGGGTTACACACGCCTGACGCACCGAACAGCGGGTTACACACGCCTGACGCGCCGAACAGCGGGTTACACACGCCTGACGCGCCGAACAGCGGGTTACACACGCCTGACGCGCCGAACAGCGGGTTACACACGCCTGACACGCCGAACAGCGGGTTACACACGCCTGACACGCCGAACAGCGGGTTACACACGCCTGACGCGCCGAACAGCGGGTTACACACGCCTGACGCACCGAACAGCGGGTTACACACGCCTGACGCGCCGAACAGCGGGTTACACACGCCTGACGCACCGAACAGCGGGTTACACACGCCTGACACGCCGAACAGCGGGTTACACACGCCTGACGCGCCGAACAGCGGGTTACACACGCGTGACACACCGAACAGCGGGTTACACACGCCTGACGCACCGAACAGCGGGTTACACACGCCTGACGCACCGAACAGCGGGTTACACACGCCTGACGCACCGAACAGCGGGTTACACACGCGTGACGCACCGAACAGCGGGTTACACACGCCTGACGCACCGAACAGCGGGTTACACACGCGTGACGCACCAAACAGCGGGTTACACACGCGTGACGCACCGAACAGCGGGTTACACAGAGAGCTGTCAAATAAAACTTTGAATTAAAAAAAACCTTGCATTTAAATTTTTGGTGTCAAGAGGTGAGTGGCATGATGGGTTCACCGTAACCCATTTAAAAAAGGTAATTTCATTTCATTTCAATAAATGCAATGCTTGGTTTGGTTTTGGAGTTGGTTTAATTTTGCTCATTGCCCTCGCTTGCACCCTCTTGTGGGCATAGGAGAACATTAAGGATCGCCTTTAGAATTTGAATATAATTTTAAATTTTTGCTAATATTAAATGAAGAAATTTGCATGAAGCTTTTCAGCCATTTTGACGGCCCAAGTGGACAGTGGCTCGATGACGCTCACTTACGAGTCAAGGTTCTCTAGCAGCGACTGACAGACGACATCCAGATACCCAGTCTCCACGGCATTGTGGGACACGTCGAGGACGAACAGGTAGACAGCGGGCTGAGGCGGCCTGAGCTGAGGACACAACACACACACACACACATCATATACATGTTCAGGGAGACATCTGCATATACATATATATACACTACCAGTCAAAAGTTTCTTCCAAGGTTCTTTCAAGTATCTTCTTTCTCATCTCTTCAGCATTTATCTGAAATATAGTCTTTTGTAACATTAAACACTACTGTTCAAAATTTTGAGATCAGTAAGTTTTTTTTGGGGGGGGTTAAAAATGTTAAAAAATGTTCTATTTCAAATAAATGCTGTTCTTTTGAACTTTCTATTCATCAAAGAATCCTGAAATAATGTAAATGACTGTTTAACATAATGAGAAATTAGAGTTTGAGCATTAAATCATCATATTAGAAGGGTCATGTGACACTGAAGACTGGAGTAATGATGCTGAAAACTCAGCTTTGATCACAGGTATAAATTAAACTTTACTAGATATTCTCAGCTGATTTCCATTATTATAATATTTCATTGTTCAGCCTTGGTGAGCAGAAGGGACTGCTTTTTAAAACAAAAATCGTATCGATGCAGAACTTCTGTCTGTTAGTGACGATCTGTGTATTATAATGCAATCCTCCAGCTGTTGACGGTCAGGGTTTAGCCGTATAGGACGTTTCTGCTTCAGACGTGACATCATCACAGCATCAGGTCATTGGGCCGTACCATGTATTCTGACGGGGCGATGAACTCGATGGTGGCGTTCTGGACCTCGGGTCTCTTGTGAGGCGCTCCGTACGACCTGCTGACCGGATTATACATGAACTCCTCTGGAACTGATGAAACACACATTCAGAAACGCTCTCGTCAGTGTACAGCGACTCGTGACTGAAGAAGAGTGTGTACGCCACTCACCATCGTTGACTCGGTGACACAGATTACACTTCCATCTCCTGGCGTCCACGAAGGTCACGAACGGGTTGATGTACGTCCGACAGGAGCGACAGCGCACAATGTTACTGGAGGTCACCACGGGGAGTTGCTGCAGACAGAACAGACGTGTCATGAGGGGACATGAATGATCAGATAAATTAATAATTGGGGTCAGAGGTGATGTGTGGAGGGTCAGAGGTCAGTTCTGGAGAGGTTCAGAGGTCAGGTCTGGATAGGGTCAGAGGTCAGGACGGGGTCAGAGGTCAGGTCTGGAGTTCAGGGTTGGAGGTTAGGTGTGGACAGGGTCAGAGGTCAGGTCACTCACGGAGAGATCCTTGAAGGGGTGCAGCAGGAGGCCGAGGGGAAGCTTGGCTTTGTTCAGCAGAGCCTGTGTCTGAGGGATGCTGGTCAGAGTACAGCGGAAGACCCTGAGGACGACACATGTAGTGAGCGGAGGGCAGAACACACACACACACACACACACACACACACACACACACTGACTCTGGGCTGCAGTTGATCTTCTGCAGGTCCTGTGGGAGGCAGGGAGTGGGCGGAGTCACGGCTCCCGGGGGGAGGAGGTTGCGCTCCTGAAGGAGGTTCACCACCCGAAGGGCTTCTGGCGTCTGGGACTGCAGACTCATCGCTGCCAGAGACGGACTGAGCTGAGCCGCGCCGCCCGCCGGCTGGACCTGACGGACAACAGGACAGGACAGATCTCACCCCTATTCATTAGATGTAAATCTCTGGTGATCCCAGTTCTCCGCCTATGTAACATAATTAGATACTTTAGTGATCAATAACAGTAAAATGTTGTGTGTGTGGTACCTGTGTGTAGAGCTGTGGAGACGGGTACGAGGAGGCCGCTGGTCGGGTCATCTGCGCGGGCTGAGCCTGATAGAGTCCTGCGGGAGCAACACACGCTTCTGAATGTTAGCGGAGACGTTTGTGTAGAGTCACACTGAACATCTCCTCATCATGTTGAACTCTTCCACAAGTGTTTATAAGACAGCGGTGACATGTTCTGCTCAATAGTGTTCAGTGTCTTCTGTGCTGACCACAGAACAGTTTCAGGCTCAGCTGGATCTTCTCCATCCGTTAGAACTGGGCTCTGTCGGCGCTTGTAAATGTGCAGATTAATATTATAATAAGACCTTCATAAGTCAGAAGAGGAGGAAATCTGATCGGCTTATTTACTGGGTTTCACTTCTCATGTTCTCTGTGTCGGTAGAAGCGCCGGATTACAGCACACACACACACACGGGGAAGTCATCAACATCTGAAGCGGATCAAAAACTGTCAGAGTTACACATGTATTTTGAACAATACCCGTTCTGGTCTCAGGACAACTTTGATGAACTTGTTGATGTTGATTCAAATGTTCAAATGTTGATAACTGTTTCTCTCTTTAGTTACTCTGGCGTGCACACACACACACACACACACACACGTGAGATTAACAGTCTTTTTTATCTATTTTTTTTACTTTGTATTTTTTCCACATGCTTTTGCAACAGGAGGCGGCGTGTGCGGCGCTGCGCTATAAAACCCTTTAATTTCAAGTGCGAGGACGTTGTGTCGTTTCGTTGACCAGAACGCAAGCGCAGCGGCACACACACCGCGGTCAATTCTAAACAGTTCAACTTTAGCCGCTGTGACGATTACCAGCGTGGCCAACACAAACGTTTTGGCATCCAAAAAGCTTTGAAAACTGGCGTAGCGCATTCCACATCCTCTTCCAGCTCCGGATCTAGCTAGACCGGACACACACTTGTTGCGAGCCGGCCAAATATTACGGTAGTGTCACGCTTCTAGTGGATGATCGAGACGCCAGAACGGATGCCAAGAAGATTCTGAATTAAAAAAAGTTTACTTTTAAAAAGCAAAATGGTTATATTTACAAGACCAAAGTGAACTGAGCTATCGTCATCGCAGCGTGTCCTGTCGCTTGCTACGATAGTCAGTGTTACCGGTGTTACGGGTTTAGTCGCAGCACCGGTTTCATCACTTGCCCACCGCGGCAACACTAGAAAAAACTTTTCTTTTTAAAGCAATTACACAGTATCCGTTCAATCCTGCCTGTATCACACACACACACACACACACACACACACAACCCACAGAACAGACGTGCATCAGTATCGAGTTCTCGTTCGGGCTTGAACAAATCATTACACACAAATTATGGCAAAATGTCCGTTTTGTCAAATGTCCTCATAAGAGCTGTCTAAAATTATTTAAATGAAGTCTTAAATGAACATTTGTGAGAAAATGTGACGCGTGTCAGATCGCGTCTCTGTCCCACATTGCACTGCATTAGCGTGTAGCCTACAGCTTATGCTCAATCCGCTCACTCGTTGTCATTCACTCCTTCAAGTGAACAGTATTAGTGGACTAACTTAGGGAATGAGGGTTTAGGGGGCGATTTCGGATTCAACCTATGTTCTCAAGCAGAGAAAAATAGAGAAACCAATGAAGAAAACCGGAAAGTAAAACATTCTAATCATTAAAGTAAATCATTTTATAATTAAATATGCAAAAAAGGATTGATACTTGGTGCCCGTATATCGATACAGTATTTCCACAGAAAATATCGCGATACTATGCTGTATCGATTACCCCCCGTGTTCCCGACCCGAGTCTATTAGCCCCACACGCCATTTAAAGCCTGCTCGCTCTGGCCCGACAGGGGCTAGTTTGTGTGTGTGTGTGTGTGTGTGAGTCCGTACCGTGCTGCAGGGCTGTCGGAGGCTGCATGGTGTTCTGGAAGACAGGAGGTGTTCTGGTGCCAGTGCTGGACGGGCCTGGGCCAGTGTGGTTCCCCACAGGAGGCGGAGCTACAGGGGCTGGGGTGCCCCCGCTCCAGCTGCTGGTGGGCGGAGCCAAAGGGGTCGGTGTGACCCCAGGCTGCGGAGGATGCTGGGAGTAGCTGCTGGTGGGCGGAGCCAAAGGGGTCGGTGTGACCCCAGGCAGCTGAGGATGCTGGGAGTAGGTGCTTGGGGGCGGAGCCACAGGGGGCGGCGTGACCCCAGGCTGCGGAGGATGCTGGGAGTAGCTGCTTGGGGGCGGACCCACAGGGGGTGGCGTGACCCCAGGCTGCTGAGGATGCTGGGAGTATCTGCTTGGAGGGGCAGCCACAGGGGGCGGCGTGACCCCAGGCTGCGGAGGATGCTGGGAGTAGCTGCTTGGGGGCGGACCCACAGGGGGCGGCGTGACCCCAGGCTGCAGAGGATGCTGGGAGTAGCTGCTTGGAGGCGGAGCCACAGGGGGCGGCGTGACCCCGGGATGTTGATGATGCAGGGAGTAGGAGTTTGGGGGCGGAGCCACCCCACTCCAACTGCTGGGGGGCGGAGCCACAGGTGAGGGCTGGTACCGGCCAGTGCTGTACGTGTTCGGGCCGGCTGGAGGCGGGGCTTTGGTGGTCAGGCTGTTCATGAAGCCCGTCAGTGGTGGAGCCATCAGGCCCTGGTTAGAGGAGTAAACACCCACGGGATTCTGAGACGGACCTGCAGCACAAACAAACATTACACGGTGATGAATGATTAAAACAGCAAATAATTACAGGGAATTAACAGGTCATCAGTTACTAGTCTTTAACTCTGATCCTCTTACGGAGGCTCTGCCCCCTTCTGGAGTTCCCGCCCCTCTTACGGAGGCTCTGCCCCCTTCTGGAGTTCCCGCCCCTCTTACGGAGGCTCTGCCCCCTTCTGGAGTTCCCGCCCCTCTTACGGAGGCTCTGCCCCCTTCTGGAGTTCCCCCGCCTCTTATGGAGGCTCTGCCCCCTTCTGGAGTTCCCGCCCCTCTTACGGAGGCTCTGCCCCCTTCTGGAGTTCCCGCCCCTCTTACGGAGGCTCTGCCCCCTTCTGGAGTTCCCCCGCCTCTTACGGAGGCTCTGCCCCTTCTGGAGTTCCCCGCCTCTTACGGAGGCTCTGCCCCCTTCTGGAGTTCCCGCCCCTCTTACGGAGGCTCTGCCCCCTTCTGGAGTTCCCGCCCCTCTTACGGAGGCTCTGCCACCTTCTGGAGTTCCCCCGCCTCTTACGGAGGCTCTGCCCCCTTCTGGAGTTCCCGCCCCTCTTACGGAGGCTCTGCCCCCTTCTGGAGTTCCCCGCCTCTTACGGAGACTCTGCCCCCTTCTGGAGTTCCCGCCCCTTTTACGGAGGCTCTGCCCCCTTCTGGAGTTCCCCCCCCCCTCTTACGGAGGCTCTGCCCCCTTCTGGAGTTCCCCCCCCCCTCTTACGGAGGCTCTGCCCCCTTCTGGAGTTCCCCCGCCTCTTACGGAGGCTCTGCCCCCTTCTGGAGTTCCCCGCCTCTTATGGAGGCTCTGCCCCCTTCTGGAGTTCCCCCGCCTCTTATGGAGGCTCTGCCTTCTTCTGGAGTTCCCGCCCCTCTTACGGAGGCTCTGCCCCCTTCTGGAGTTCCCGTCCCTCTTACGGAGACTCTGCCCCCTTCTGGAGTTCCCCCGCCTCTTACGGAGGCTCTGCCCCCTTCTGGAGTTCCCCGCCTCTTACGGAGGCTCTGCCCCCTTCTGGAGTTCCCCCGCCTCTTACGGAGGCTCTGCCCCCTTCTGGAGTTCCCCGCCTCTTACGGAGGCTCTGCCCCCTTCTGGAGTTCCCCCCTCTTACGGAGGCTCTGCCCCCTTCTGGAGTTCCCCGCCTCTTACGGAGGCTCTGCCCCCTTCTGGAGTTCCCCGCCTCTTACGGAGGCTCTGCCCCCTTCTGGAGTTCCCCGCCTCTTACGGAGGCTCTGCCACCTTCTGGAGTTCCCCGCCTCTTACGGAGACTCTGCCCCCTTCTGGAGTTCCCAGCCTCTTACGGAGACTCTGCCCCCTTCTGGAGTTCCCAGCCTCTTACGGAGGCTCTGCCCCCTTCTGGAGTTCCCCGCCTCTTACGGAGGCTCTGCCACCTTCTGGAGTTCCCCGCCTCTTACGGAGGCTCTGCCACCTTCTGGAGTTCCCCGCCTCTTACGGAGACTCTGCCCCCTTCTGGAGTTCCCCGCCTCTTACGGAGGCTCTGCCCCTTCTGGAGTTCCCCGCCTCTTACGGAGACTCTGCCCCCTTCTGGAGTTCCCAGCCTCTTACGGAGGCTCTGCCCCCTTCTGGAGTTCCCCGCCTCTTACGGAGGCTCTGCCACCTTCTGGAGTTCCCCGCCTCTTACAGAGACTCTGCCCCCTTCTGGAGTTCCCCGCCTCTTACGGAGACTCTGCCCCCTTCTGGAGTTCCCCGCCTCTTACGGAGGCTCTGCCCCCATCTGGAGTTCCCGCCCCTCTTCAGGAGATCAGACCTCATGGCCTGATCTGCTCTAAAGCACTACGGCCAGAAAGACTAGAGTTCTTTCTTGAAATTAATCGATTGTCATCTTGATAATGATATTGAGACATCAATTCCTGTTTTCAGTTGATGTGTGAACAAAACTTCACTGAACATTATTCATAGCTCCTGTCATCCAATAATCACATTAATCTTTGCGATTTGATACTTACATATGAAACAAAGTTTGAGCTTTTTCATTTGTGTGTCAGATCACTGTATCATCTCAGTTGAACCAGTTCTACAATATTCAATCCATGTTTCAATAATTTTGTCATTAAAACAATTATGACAGCCACCATTTAAATGTCTAAAATTCAATATTAAATTGGAGAAGGAACATAATTATTCCATTAAATACATATAATGTTATTACTGTAATAAAAGCTGCCTAACGTGCAATTTAACTGTCTGTATGTATGGAGATCAGTTGTTGTTGGTTTCAACCTGTAATATTATAGAAATATAGTGATTGACAGGTTCCCTGTATAGTTTACATCATTAATTCATGAAGATTATTTACTTGAAAGGAAATATCATGTACTTTAGAGCTGAACTATAACCAAACAAGATCAGAACTGAACCGACTCCCACTCTTGTGAATCGAAATAGAAACGAATCGATAAATCAGTGTCAAGCCCTGAGAGAAACTCTGAATCTCTCGTGACTCTGACAGCGGTGGATCAGACCGAACCAGCATTGAAGACCGAGCCGTTCTGCTGAGTCGGTTCAGCCGTGTGTTCGGATCAGCTCTGACGGGTCGTTCTGAAGTTATGAACTTTACTCGGTTGATGATAACAGGTTTTGGCCTTCATCGAGCGACGCGACGCACTGGAACGCTCCGGCTCGTCGCGTCAGTGAAGTGACCAAACTCTGAAGACCGCGGCCTACGAGCACCTGACGCGTTCAACACAAGCGTTCACTACCCCGACAACACAAGCGTTCACTACCCCGACAACACAAGCGTTCACTACGACGCGTTCAGACGCGACAGCAGCGCGAGCAATAGCGAGTTCACTCACCGTTGGTGTACGAGCCTCCGGCGCCGTTCTGTGCCGCGAAGCCGCCGCTGGACATGCTGACAGACGCTCGCGTTCCTCGAGTTGACAAGCGTGTGTGAGTGTGCGATCACAGGCCCGCGGCTCCGGCCATTCTCTCGACGCGCTGGATAGCGTTGCGCTCCTGAAGATATAAACCAGCGCCTTCCTCTCACCGGAAGTCAAGCGTAAGCTAGCTCTGAGCACGCGCATGCGCACTTGGTACACGTGGCATTTCCTGTGGAAATCCGATTTCGTCCGTACTAGAAACACGTCCCATTAGTAATAGTCAAAGCAGAGGGTTCGTTTAAATGGGACATTTTCCTGCATTATTAAAAACATTCCAAACATTTAACATCATCAAGCTAAAGCGGAGAATCCATATATCTTTCAATTCCTGCACACACACTTTTTCAAAAGACAGTGTTGTATCTTGATCAATATGTTTTCGTGGATCGTGAAAGGTTAAGCCTTAAGAACAATTTATAATCGATGTCAACACACCTCAAAACTAAAAAAAACAAAAACAAAAGCTACTTATACTAAATATATAAACATATACGTGTGTATATAAAATACAATCTATATAAGTATATAAAGTATAATCTTTAAATGTAATCTATATTGGTCTGAAGGTCTCTGCATATGTACTTTAATGAATTGTTTCGTGAATAACCCGTCGCGTCGCGGTTGTTTACCTGATGTTTAAGTGGTTGTTTCCGCCCCGGGCGGTTTCGGTTGTGACACACGCCGGAAGTGCCGCCATTGCTGTGTGTCGTGGCTGTGAGCTGTGAGCGGAGTGTGTTCACTCGACTGGACTCCTGTATTCTCTCGTTCATCTGCATTCGGAAGAGCCACACTCACCTGTACACACACTCGAGGTGAGTGTTCACCTGCCCAGGTGTTTCTCCGTGTGCTCATCGGTGTGTTCCCGCGCGGGTTCCGTGTTGCCGGGCGCTGGCGCTCAGGCTAACGGCAGACTGTAGTTGTGTAACGCCGAACTGCGCTTATTAAACTCGAATAATATCGTGGCATCACCACAGCGTCGGTCCTGAGTTCTGTTGGGTCAGTTTGCCGTGTCGTGGAGAGTGCGGGCGACGGTTTCGCGGTTCGGGTGTTGACAGCGTTAGCCCGGTTAGCATCAGCAGTGACACGTACATCAAACTCCGATAGCGACTCCAGATCATATTCATAATTATATCTCACTCACATCGCGCTGCTGTCAGCTGGGCTGAAGAAAACAAACAGGAGATTAAAACACGTTTCATCAGAAATATTGTGTGTGTTAAACCTTTAATGCCGTTTTAAAGGAATGTCTTGGGCAACAGCGCTTGGTTTAACGTCACATAAACAGTCATATTCATAATACACATATGGACATGGTTATTTTCCTCAACCGTATGCATTTAGTTTATCAAAAGCGGCTGACAGGAAAAAGCAATTGACTTCAAGTTGTTCAACATAATCTGTCATTATTATTTAATTGTTTCTCTTGTTTTTAGCATGTTCTTTTCTGTTGGCGCTATCTGTCGTGTTTCATTGCGTTTTCATCACGAATAAAACAAACACAACTGTGTAATGTGATTGCAAAATCTTTAACACATTTTAATATCATTTGAATATATGTTGGAGATGTAGGCCGGGCTTCAGTGTGTGTTTATAACAGCCAGGCCTCCACTATGGCAGACTGAGCTGAGATAGCCTGAGCCAGTGTGATGACCCCAGTGCGGTGACCCCAGTGTAGTGACCCCAGGAGCACAGCTGTCTATAAGTGTCCTGATTCAGTAAGGCCTAACCCCGGGTTAATCTAGCTCCTATAGATCAGTGTGTGTTCCTGAACTCGCCCAGTGTATGGGTTTAGTGTTAGTGGTGTACTCTTTAACCCTTTATCTTTCAGTCTGAGGGTCGATGTGACATCATTGTCAGCTGACTGGTCTCTGATTGGTCCAGCATGTTACGCCACATGACTAATTTGGCGTAGAAAAGTTGTTGATGTTGGTAAGCAGTGAGTGGTTAAGAGACGGTCTCGAGATCTCAGTCCTGAACGCCAGCCATTCGGGTGTGTGACGTGACGGTGAACACTCAGGTGGAGCCGGTGTGTGTCGTCATGTTGTGTTGTGTATGACCCTGTGTCGGTGAACACTCAGAGAGTGTGTGTGTGTGTGTACAGTAGCTTTACGCTTCTAATAAAGATGTTGTATTACACGTTACACCAGCAGGGGGAGACCCGAGACTGTCGGACGGAGTGAGTCATTGAATCATTCACACTGATTATAACACTTATTGTTATAAAATTAAATCAATTAAACATTTAAAATAGACTGCAGCAATTAACATGTGTCAGAGCCTTTAGTTACTGTGTAATAGTGCGTTCGGGTGTGTCTGTTCCAGGATCAGCTGTGCCTCAGGCCTTCTGATTATGATGAGCCTGTTTCTTCAGTCATTAGTTGTGCTTTTGAAAAGTATAGATAGATACGGGGCTTAAAGTAGTCCAGCTCCGTGCCCGATCTCTGGCGTGCTGCCGTGAGGGAAAAATGATTATTTTCACGTTTCATTTTTGTCCAACTTTAACGTGTTAAATTATTAAATGCAAACACAGCATCTGTTATTTCTGTCATCTTTGAGCTAGGGTTATGACCACGCTCTTATTCACGCCAGTGCTTTAAACCACTCATGCATGGCAAGACAAAACACACACGCACGCACAAAAAGACGTGCTACGGTATCGAGTTCTCTTCTACGCGGGAACGAACAATAACACACACTTAGTTTTGTCGAGCATCCTCTCAAGAACAGTCTTAAATGAGTTCAATAAAATCTTAAATGGAAGTGAATAGCCGTGAGAGGATGAGATCCTGTCAGCAGCGGCAGATCTTAAAGAGACAGGAGTCTGTCAGTGCGGTTAACCTAATGAACGGAGAGCATTACTAACTGCACTTGACTAAAGAACGCCTTTAGCTTTGATAAGGATTAATGTATATTTCATTTATAATTTATTATTATACTGTTTTACTGGACTGTTTTATAATCTTATGCAATTTCTGTACGGTACAGGTAAATGACATTTATTATGGGTATAATTGAGAAATGAGAAGTTCACTTAAATTAAATTTTTTTATATTTTTTAAAGCCTAATGTTTAAAATGCGGTCACATTCAAATCAGTAGCTATTATTAGTGATGCTGGCTTACATTCATAAAAAAATGACATTAAGCAGGGACGTGCACAGGATTTTTTAGCCCCCCTCATGGGCTAAATGAAGGACTGAGAATAACAGGGTCTTTATTTAAATATTTGCACACAAAGAAGTAAAAAACTGAAATACAGTACTCAATCACCTTAACTACTACTAATATTAACACAGAAAAACATGAAAATTTCTACATTAATGTCCCAATCAGTATCCTATCAAGTCACAACTTAAATGCCACCAAAATACACATGAGAAAAAGAGTTCCTCATATTATTGTTCATTGTTTTTTTTAATTATTAGTATTTATTTATTTTTTAAATTGGTAAGAAATAATCTGTATTGAATTGACAGATGGGAAAAAACTCACTTCTAATAAAAATAAAAATTTAAAAACGCTTATATTTCGGAAGAAAATACAATCCTTTTTAACCTTTTGGCTTCCCGTACATAGGCAGCCCTGGTCTGATGGTACATATGAACTGGTAGGAGGGGTAACGCAAGCACGGCGACGGGCTTTATAGCGCCATCACTAGACGTAGCGCGGCCACATACAACAACAAAAACAAACCTGCCTTGCCGTGACCTTAATAACGGAGAACGAACGGCAGCGTTTAAAGATTATGCTTGAGTTCTGTACTGAGAAACACAGACGAAGGCTCCAGCGGTATATGAAGTAATATGATGGAAGAAGATAAAAGAGCCGAGCGCAGGAGGCAAACAGTTTAGCTATTATTAGCAATCAGCTGGTTGAATGCGTTATGTTTGTCTTAATCTTAGTTGTAATGTTTTGCAAGAACACACCGCGTATGGCCGACAGCGCGCTAGCTCCGTGTTGACAGTGGGCATGACTTGAGTTGAACCAATCAGCGTAGACCTCGGGAAAGGGAACTAAAAAAGTCCTCGCTGTAGACTAGGTACTGAAAGAGTTATAGGAACTACAGTCTGAGGAACTACAAAATACCCAATTTAGTCCGGTGGGAACACGAGAAAAAAAGGGTTCTAGGAACTGCAAAAGTCCCTCCGGTCGGAAAGCGGCTTATGTGATCATGCGTTGTGGACAGGGTCCGAAATGAACTTTGGCTCGTCTGCCACGGGGACTGGTAGATGAAAAATCCACCGGCCAAAATAATGAACAACCTTTTTATGTCACATGTACATTCACAAAGCTGTTATCACATATACAAAGCTGAACCTGATGGTAGGGTCAGGGGTTCTGTGGGTCAAGGGTCAGGTACAGGTGTTCTGTAGGTCAGGGTTAAAGGTCAGGTACAGGTGTTCTGTAGGTCAGGGTCAAGGGTCAGGTACAGGTGTTCTGTAGGTCAGGGTTAAAGGTCAGGTACAGGTGTTCTGTAGGTCAGGGTCAAGGGTCAGGTACAGGTGTTCTGTAGGTCAGGGCTAAAGGTCAGGTACAGGTGTTCTGTAGGTCAGGGTCAAGGGTCAGGTACAGGTGTTCTGTAGGTCAGGGTCAAGTTCACCATCTAACTGTGCCTTTGACTCAAGTGACCTGTCATGCACACAGACAGGAATCACTATCATTTATTCCTCTTAAAGTCAAGGGGTACAAGTTCTACTTTCTTTTGGACAAAGATGGGACACTGAATAATCCTAAACTATTTGATATTACTGTTGGGGCCTACAGACCTTTATAATGTCCTTTTTCCTGATTGCCTTGTCCTTGTGTGTGATCATCAGGCGCTGTGTGTGGTTACGTTAAATGAAGTGCTCATCTGTGCCGTTCATTCACACAAGCAGAAAGTGCAGGGTTCACATTTAAATAGTCTTTTTACAGTTTAATACACACACACACACACACACATCAGCAGCGCCGCCGGTCGCCATGTCTCGGTTATCGTGACGCTTAACAGTTTTTAGTACCGACTTTGTACCGAAGTACCGAACATTTTGACAACACTAATCTGTACTTGTGTGTGTGTGTGTGTGTGTGTGAGATTGCTGACGTGTGTATCAGGCGTGTCCTTCACCTTTACCGCTGCTGTTCTTTACTCTAGTTTACACACACACACACACACACACGTCACACACACTGATTCATCTTCCTCAGTGTGTGTGTGAGCATCTACTCTCCTGAAGTCGACTCTTATACTCTGATGCTGCTGTAATGACTGAGGTTATTCTCACTGCGACACACACACACACACACACACACACACACATCCTGCTGCTCTCCAAGAGTGGGTCATGGTTCACATGTTTATGATCATATCTCTCACGTTGCCCCTCTTCTCCTCTGGAGTCTTCAGGTGAACACAACACGTCACCGTGTGTGTGTGTGTGTGTTTGTATGTGTGTGTGTTTGATTAATTGCAGTTATTCTTTATTGAAATGTTTATTTGTTCTTGGTTGTATTGCATCTGTAATGATAAAGATATATATATATATATTGCTTTAATATCTAATATGTGTGTGTCACTCACTCACCGACGCTCGTCACACACACACACACACACACACACACCTGTGACTGTATGATTTATGCTCATATTTCATAAAGCATCATGACAGAAATGTGTGGAGATGACAGATGTTGTTGGAACGGTTAAAGAAAGACGTTAGTTTCACTCATAAGTTAAACTTGTTTTTTCTGATACATCTGTGTGTGTGTGTGTGTGTGTATGAGCCAAAACTCTGTTCAGGCGAATAAAAACACAGTCAGAACATGTACATTATTTCACAATAAGACTCTCCTCACGACTGACAGAGATCATGATCACACACACCGAAGCAGAGAGTGTGTGTGTGTGTGTGTGTGTGTGTGTGTGCTCTTCAGCTGGAGAGATTAATGCCGTGTGTGTGCTCCTCTCTTCCAGATCTCCCCGGCCCGGACATGTCCTTCATATTCGACTGGATCTATAGTGGTTTCAGTAGCGTTCTGCAGTTCCTCGGTGAGTTCATCTCTGTGTGTGTGTGTCTGTGTGTGTGTGCGTGTGTGTGTGTGCGTGTGTGTGTGTGTGTGTGTGTACGCGCAGGGTTGGGAGGGTTACTTAAAAAATTTATTCCATTACAGTTATAAATTACTTAAAAGTATTCACTAACATTATCCAACTACCACAATATGAAATATGATTACTTTTGGATTACCTTAAAGTCAAATATATAAATAGTCACACAATAAGAAAAACATATGTAATTTTATTTATTTATTTTTACTTTTTACTTTTACTTTTATTTTTACTTTTTATTTTTATTTTTACTTTTAATTTTTATTTATTTATTTAAGTATTTAGTCCGGTGTACAATATTTGCAGAAGATGGCCTATGTAAGAGCATGTGATAGAGCTGTAAGTAACCGTTATCTAACTGAACCGGCTCGGGTCCAACCCGTCTGCTCGTGTTTGTTCTGCTCTAGTCTTAGTTTAACTTGTTAACCTATAAAAACTAAGCAATCATGTCCCATTTCCACAACTGTGTAACACTCATGAGTTTGTATGTTGAAGGCTATAATAAAAACACAACATATAATATAAAATTCTACATATTGGTTTATTTAAAAATAGGCCTACATGTTGACTAAAGCCGTGATCTTAATTAGCCTGACTGTAATGACTAATTAGCCAGTTCCCCGTCCGTGAGAAGAGATGGAGGAGCTCAGCTCAACAAGCTGTCTTCTAGATTACAGCATCGCTACAAAACTCATGCATCCACTGAGTTTGAAAGCTGTATAACCCCTGAAACAGGAAGTGTTCTGGTTGCTGGAAGGCACAGTTTGCACTGTGTTTGCGTTTTATTATTCTATGAAAACAAAATAGCAGTGGAATATTCATGAATTGAAAGCGTTTTTACCCGCGGGCCGCATCGGTTCTGCTAGCAGCGGCTCCGTCTGTACCTGAGGAGATTGTAGACGCTGCTATTAGCGCACGCCAGTCATGACTGCCGCCAGAACCAGGAACTGTTTTATAATCAAGCAGCGCTTAATACTGTTATCATGCCAAAATATGGATTTATTTAGTTTTAAATGAAGCCATTGTCATCCTGAAAGTATTCCCCTTTTATCAAAATGCAAACTAATACGATTACGTTTTTTGACGTTACTGTAACAAATTGACCGTTCGCAAAAGCCACGCCCCCTAGATATTGTTAGTTACAGATTTAACCCGCACAGAGGATTTTATCAGCGGGTCCAGTGGCTGTTTGGAGTTAGAAATGTATAACTCGCGCTGCATAATTAGTAATTTTGCCTCTGATACAGGATTATACATTCGCTTTAACGAGCAGGATGTTCATTTCCACGGCAACCGTTTGCGTGTCTTGCTGAATGCGATTTTTTTGTTTGTTTGTTTAAAGAGATGGAAAGATGCAGATAACCATACACTAAGTAAGGTTATTTCTATTCGTTACGATATTGATATGAACTGATGTTGTGAAGTCAGCTTCATACTTTCCCCGTTGCGAGCATGATTTAAAATAGTGATTTTCTATTTTAAAGGGTTTGTTCACCCAAAAATGAAAATGATGTCATTAATGACTCTCCCTCGTGTCGTTCCAAGACCGTCAGACCTCTGCTCATCTACGGGACAGTTTAAGATATTTCAGATTTAGTCTGAGATCTTCCTGTCCTTCCATTGAACATGTGTGTACGGTATAGATAAAGACATCATTAAAGTAGTCCATGTGGCCTCAGTGGGTTAGCTAGAATGTTTTGAAGCATTGAAAATTCGTTTTGGTTCAAAAATAACAAAAACTACGACTTTTTCAGCATTGTATTGCCGTCCGGTTCTGTTGTGGATCCGGGCCAGATCCGCGTCTTCTGGTGCTGCCAGATGCCGATTGGTCGGTGTATCAGGCCTCGTTTACACTGTCAGTGAAATGTGACCCAATTCCGATTTTTTTACTGATATGCGACACAGATCGGATGCGTTCTATGACAGTGTAAACAGGACACAAATGCATGCATTCGGATATTTCCAGATCAGTTTCAGGCCTCGTTCATATGTGGAAATAAATCAGATAACAATCCGATATGTGCCAGTGCGACCCGTGTAAACAGGCAGATCAGATTTTTCTGATTTCTTAATGACGAGAGGAACCCCGTCCCGCATCTGATTGCCGGGAGACTGTATCTAACCACACGTACCACACTGATACAGCAGGTGAGAACGCGCTCCTGTGGAGGGATGTGGGTACTGTAGTTCCAGACCAGCTCGTTCGAGCCTCCTCAGAAAATACAGCCTTTGCTGAGCCTGTTTTACACGGCTACTACAGTCAGTTTCCCAATTGAAGTTGTCGTTGATGTGTAGAACGGCAATGGCAACGAGGTGCAGGTGACGTAACCCATAGCAACAACTTGCGTAGTAACCCATAACAACGAAGTGCAGGGTAACCCATAGCAACGACGCACAGGTGACGTGACCCACCGCAGCCCACAACTGCTACTCATCGCCGGGAGGAAGTGTTTGAATGTATGAGCCGGAGATTAGCTTCAGCGCGGGCGAGTCTGTGTGTGTGTGTGTCCTCGCTGTGGATCAGTGTGTGTGTGCAGATCAGCTGAACTGACGGACTGTGTTTCAGGGCTGTACAAGAAATCTGGGAAGTTGGTATTCCTCGGCCTGGACAATGCTGGCAAGACCACACTACTGCACATGCTCAAAGATGACCGGCTGGGCCAGCACGTGCCAACCCTACACCCCAGTGAGTGAACACCACACACACGCACACACACACACAACCCTACACCCCAGTGAGTGAACACCACACACACACACACACGCACACACACACACGACCCTACAGGCCTGTATATTCCGTTAATGCTCATTATGGTTTAGTATTCTCTCTCCAGTATACATTTAAGTAATATAAATATGCGATTAGACTAATGGCTTAAATGAACAACTACTAATGAACTAATAAAACTGTAGGCAGTAGCTGGGCCTTCTGGGTAGAGTAGTGTCCTGCACACACTAGTGGACAAATATATTAAATATATATATATATGTATATGGTGTCTGAATCATTCTTGCTCTGACTGTATACTGAAATATTTCTGTGTACTTTCTTAGGCAGGCCAAAATAAATATGAATGTTTATTGAAGTGATTTCAGTCAGATCTGATGTGTGTGTGTGTGTGTGTGTGTCCCTCAGCCTCAGAGGAGCTGACGATCGCTGGCATGACCTTCACTACCTTTGACCTGGGTGGCCACGCTCAGGGTGAGTAGATGATCCACGCCTCACTGATGTGTGTGTGTGTGTCAGACCCTCTGAGCTTGTGTGTGTGTGTGTGTGTGTGTGTGTTCTCTACAGCTCGGCGTGTGTGGAAGAACTACCTCCCAGCCATTAATGGCATCGTGTTCCTGGTGGACTGTGTAGACCACAACAGACTGGCGGAGTCCAAGACAGAGCTAGACGTGAGCTTCATCCTGTCACACACACACACACACAGTGTGTCACAAATATCACAACCTGCTGTGCGTCTGAGCAATAAGCGATCTATCGACACGTGACCTAGCAGCGAATACAAACAAAGTGAAAGTGGAACTAAAATACGCAACTCATATCGGCTATGCTTCACGGACCGTTGGCGTTTTTATTAGGTTGGACCAATAATAGACAGAGCAGCGCATAGTGGAGCCCCCCGAACCACCGACAGTAGGCTAATAAAGCCCCGAACTTGCCAGTCGCGGGCCGATCTCGATCACGCGACACTGTTACTAGCAGATCCAGTGAATAAATCCATTGACTTCACCTCAGAATTAATAACATCATCACTACGAGATCCAGTGAGAAACACTCCGATTACAGAAGGCTTTCAGTCCACAAATCAGCAACTTATCAGCATGGCAAATAGTAAGTTAACTCTAACCATAAATATGATGTGACAGAAATACGGTAGTCAAACACTTACAACACATCTTTGTCCTGCTCTTCAAAACTATAATATCATATAAAGTTAAATGTTTTATTTGTTGTATTTTTTTGTGATGATCAACACATTTTTTTTTCATCCTTTAAAGATTTTCCTAAAACTAAAATTTTTTAAGATGTTTGAAAACTCTTATTTAAACATTAAAATTATTATTATTTTTTAAATTAAAAATTAAACAGTAGGATGTTTATTGGCTATTTTCACTCCAAGTCCTTATACATGTTCTCTGTTTTGTTTAATTAATATTAAGACATTATAAGTGATAATAACTAAAGTTAACTTCATCTACAGCCTAAATTAATCTGAGTGATTTATTGTCAGCCCCAGTGCTACCTGTTTTTTGTTTTGTTTTTGTATAACTCGTGTGAGTTCTGATTTGAGGTGGTGCTGCCCTCATATTTGAGTCTGGAGCCCTGTGAACTTAAAATAAAACAGCATATCATAATGTTAAGTCTATTTATTATTAAAGAACTTGTCAGTATTACAGTTATTTTGGGGGAAATTTGAATAATTGCATTGCGAGCTGATTTAAGGTGTGCCCCTAAATTTTCTGCTTGCACTCCTAAAATTTTCAGTCAGGGGCAACAGCGCACCTAGTAAAAAAAGTTAGTCTGGACCCCTGTAGGCTCAAAAATAATGTTTATTTAACTATAAATGATAAGACAAAAACAAAATAATGAAATTAAACCAGTTAAAGAAAATAAAAGTGTTTCTGTAGTTATCAGCTAAATCAGTGTGTAGAGCACGGGGCATGGTTGAAAGTGTAAGACGATGTTGAGGTTTGAAATGGGAACGCAAAAAGCAACAAAATACCACTAAAGCAAAGTCCAAAACCAAAAGCCCTCTCCCTTGGCTCAGATGGTGATCTAAGGTCACAGGTGTTTCCAGTATTGAGGCAATTATTAGGCAATTTGATGCAATTAGTGGGCTCAGGTACCAACTGCAATGCTCAAGACCAACAGCAGGGGTCGTCACAAAATATAGAAATAAGGCTTTAAATGTAAACTGTGCTGCGCTCGTTCACTGAAGTCTGAGTTTAACACTCACTTCCTGTCAGGATGAGTCTGACCGTGAAATGGAAAAACTAGTATATTCCTTTAACATTTACACAAGAATATAAGTGTGATATGAGTGTATATGTGCTGAGGAGAGCGCTGTGATGTGTTCAGTGCAGGGCGAACCCTAACACTAATGCACCCGTGTGTGTGTGCGCCTCAATAACAGGCACTCATGACAGACGAGACCATCGGGAACGTGCCTATCCTGATCCTCGGCAACAAGATCGACAAGCCCGAGGCCATCAGCGAGGAGAAGCTGCGCGAGATCTTCGGCCTCTACGGGCAGACCACAGGCAAGGTACAGTCACAAACACACACACACACACTCCTGTGTGAGCACATTAGTGTTACTACGTTGCTTGGCGGAAGAATAAATGTCATAACATATTTTTTGTTTCTGGTGTTAATATTAATAATTATTCAATTATTAATATTAATGATCTAAATATTCAAAAGAATATTTCTGGGGAGTAACCGTTTTGTAAAAGCAATAGCCCACAGTAGCACCTCACTGCAGTACACGAGATCCAGGGGGCGGAGTCGGATCCAGATCTGAGGGGCGGAGTTGGGTAGGTTTAGGGGTGGGGTTAGTGATCAGGGGGTGGAGCTGGGTGGTTTAGGGGTGGGGTTAGTGATCAGGGGGTGGAGCTGGGTGGTTTAGGTATATGTAAGGTGGGAGGGGTTGGATCTGACTCCTCCCCGTGGACTTCATGTTCTGCAGTGAGGACCATCTCCGCTGAGGGGGTTAGCCTCGCGTCAGTCCGACAGCGCCGCTAGCGGTCCCTAACTCACTGGAGATCTCATTATAAAATAGTTGCAAAATGAAACAAAATAAAATAGTGTATAATTTTCAGGCTTCAGGTGATTTTGACCCGATGGCAAGATGAGGTTTTGATGATGAAGGTCCTGATGTGTGTGTGTGTGTGTGTGTGTGTGTGTGCAGGGCACCATCGCAGTGAAGGATCTGAACACGCGGCCGCTCGAGGTCTTCATGTGCAGTGTGTTGAAGAGACAGGGTTACGGAGAGGGCTTCCGCTGGCTCTCACAGTACATCGACTAGAGGAACACACACACACACACACACACACACACTCTTCAACCGCTTTCTCACATTACTTCTCCCCCAGATCAGAAGCCCGCAGTGATTCTGCACACGTCAGGTTTATAAACTCTGTAATTGGATGTTCATCAGTTAATGATTCCTCACGCCGCCTCGTTCCTGCACACAGGAAGTGCTCTGACCTCCGCTGCGTGTCACTTCCTGTGGGACGAGGCTCTGAGATGAAGCGCTGGCTGCTGATGTCCATCTTCATATCTGTCTATGGTTTGCCCAAACTCACACTGCCACTTCCTGAAGCTCATTCCCATTGGCTGCCGCCGGTCCCGACCAATCCATGTCGTGTTTTAATGAGGCGTAATTGGAGCCGGTGAAGCAGTGACATCACTGATTATATGCTAATGTCGAGTAACACACACACGTTTAACAGAGCTTGCCTTGATCAGAAGCATCGGGACAGCTATTAATCGGTGACATGGACAAATGTAATTTATGTAAATGCGTATATGGATTTTTTAAAGCTGTCCTCGAGTAGCTCTTCATTTGAGCGAGAGGGATGATGACATCATTATGCATGCCTTGTTCATGATTATTATTAATCATTTTTGTTAGTGTTTTTTTTAAGGAAACACAAATAACGTAGTGTAAAGCATCCAGATGCCCGGCCTGTGTGTGTGTGGCGTCGCGGTGGAACGGCACATGCGTCACTCTGAGCTGTCCCAGCATGCATCACTGCCGTTCCCCGCTCCATCTGTGACGGGTCAGCTGTGTCCATCAGAACCTGTAATAAATGTTTGCAATTAAAGCAAGCCATGTTCAGATCACTTCTTTTGCTGAATGAAATAAATATTTTGGATGTCAGTTTTTGGTCGTCTTTACACACACACGGAGAGAGAGAGAGAGAGAGAGACATAGAGAGAGCGGGGCTCACCTGCAGCAACACCACTACAACTCAAACACGAGTGAACATTAGCCCGTCCTCCTGCTGTGAGATGAGCACATGACCTCAGTTCTATGGCAAGCCATTTTAGCATTTAAAACCTAAGTCTGACTATCCGGATTTAATATTGTAGATATCAACAACGTCTTTCTGACTAGTCGTAATTACAGTTTGGATAGTTGGAATTGTCATTCAAGATATCTGTAACGTAATTGTGATTTAGTCAAAACTACAGATAAAGATATCTGTTATTGAGTTTAGACTAGGAAAAACTCAATTAGAGATATCAGCAATGACATCATTAAAAACGACATTTAACTCGTCACACATCTTGTATGACAATTGCAGTTATCTGTAATTCAGTTTTGACTAGAATGAAAGTTAAAAATATCTCAAACATCATTATAACTAGTGCAAATTATTGTGCATGACATTTTGTAATTTCCCCTCCATAATCAAAGAAGAAGTGGGTTAATTTCCTTATTTCTATGAGTGGAAGAAGAAAGATCTGTCATAATCGAAATAATAATAAAAAAAACCACCAGAAAATGTTTCCAGCATTAAAAAAGTGTACTCATTAGCATTAGCCTGTAGGTTTCTCAAAAATATTGGCAACATGCAGTGTTTGCCATGTATTTATGATCATGCTTATAATTAGCCTAGGTTATTGTTGATGTAGGATTTACGCATGAGAGAGATTCACTTTAATAAAGATGCTTACATGCATGCTTTTCTTGCCATGGCAGTGCAATAACATTAATTTCTTTAGATGAGAAAAAAAGTTCCTAGTTCAGATTAGTTTTCTTTTTTTAGTTGTTTTTTATTTACAGTAAAAATCCATGATAACCTGTTGGTATTGATTTGAGGTTAAAACTAGCTAACAGCATTAAAAACATGCTCTGCTCCTGCCTAAAGTGTGATGCGGGCCTAATTTGCATACAGATATATGCAATGTCATTTTGCCTAGTCAAAACTGTACTTCAAGATATCTGTAGGCTAATTACATTTTGACTAAAAAGTTAAAGTTACTATAAAAGTTACAGAGATCTCAAATTTCAGACATCTCTAATCAAAATTCATTTCAAGATATCTATAACTTGATAATAGATACAGTATCTACAATTAAATTATGACCATCCCTAACTCCAGTTTGAGATATCTACAACGCCATTTTGACTAGTCATTATTCCAGTTACAGATCTCTACAAAGTCATTTCGCCTCGTCAAAACTTAATTTAAGATATCTGAAATGGAACATGTAGATTTCTTGAATTGAGGTTGCAACAGTCAAATCTGTGTACATGTTTTTTTTTTTTCTGTTTTGTTTTTTTGGGGTTGTAATTGTACTACACACCTTGAGGGGGCACCAAGAGCTAATACTATCAGGCATAAAACAGGTGGAGAGAGTAGAAGAAGCCGATGGGTAATGGTGGAGTAAGCATGTCTTATGAATTCAAATGATCAATGGTCCTGTTTGGGAAACTAAGTGTTTTATGCTCAATTGGAAGTAAGCAGTGTTTTCTTTTCCTTATGTTGACTGGTGGATGTATATGAATTTATTTGCCTAATTTAATGATTTTGTTTTGTAGAAGGACTTCAAGTTCTGGGGGTTTTGTCCTTCTGTTGCTCATGCCTGACTGAGTGTGTTTGAAACTACATGAAGTGAGTTTGGAAAGTCATATGTCCTACTTCTGTTGATCCTGAAATTGGATTATACCTGCACAGTTGTGGATTATGAAGCTGTATTACATCATCTATGTGATTTTGGATCAACAATAAGATGGACAATGGGAAGATGTGGAATTTGTCTTCTTTGTTCTGAGATTTCCATTGAGTTTGAGATATAGATCAATGAACTTTCAGCTTCATTATCTTTGGCATCGTCTCCTTTGTCATCATTACCATCATTCAAAAACAGATAATAGGCTACTTTCATTTATATGTAACTGGTTATTGAGTAAAAAAAAAACCTGTAAGAAGTTTTGTGTGTCCATAAGAAGGTTACAAAAGAAAAAATATAGCTGCAAGCAGCCATTACCGGGGCCAAGCGCAAGAAGCGGCAACATATGCCAAAATGGCAAGGAGTGGCAGACCAACTGCAGCAAGGAGCAATTAAGGGCATTTTGAGAGAACTTTGGGCAAATGGCTAAGAAAATCACATAAACATTAACTTATAAGATGATTTAATGGGTTATCACTTTCGAACAATAGGTGGCGCAGTTACGAAATAGATGTGATGTGGTCAGAGTGAGGTGACAATGACACATGCAAAGTTTGGTGTCAAAATGCGAAGGCATTGCAGAGATAAAGCCTAAATAGTAATTTTGGCAGCATGCCTAAACTTTGATGTTGTATTATACAAAAACGGTTTTGTCTATCATCGTGCAATTCATAACTTTTAGTCGGCACGGTCTGGAGATGATACCATTCAATTTTCGTGAAAATCGGACAAACGGTCTAGGAGGAGTTCGAAAAAGAAGGTTTTTCAAAGAAATAAAGATGGCGAACAGGAAGTTTGGCTTATTATGCAAAACCTGATATCTATGTTTTCGGCATAACCGAAGGAATCTATTAAGATCAGTTTCATTGCAATAGGCAAATTTATTCAAAAGTTATTAGCGTTCTCAGAAATTAATTATAACTTTTGACCAACAGGTGGCGCTGTCTCAAAATCTTTTGAGTACCTTCAGGGCATGCTGCTTATGGCACACACTGAGTTTTGTAATATTACACCAATGCATTTGTTTAGTATAGCATTTTATTTCACAAAACTCTATTGAAGTCAATGGGAATTTCATGTTTTGTTCTATTATAGCGCCACCAAGAGGCTCAGTCCCAAAATTTTTTTTATGTGTCCTCAGAGTGACCCCATACATATGTGTGTCAATTTTGGTGCAAATATCTCAATTCACTTCCGAGTTATAAACATTTATATGAAAAAACACGTAAAAAATGACTGACACATGACTTTGTTTGAATTTTACTACCCCTTACTATCAATATTTTCGCATTTGGGCATTTGCATTTAGTTAACAAGCTATGATTCCGTGTTTCTGGCGGTGGTTTCGTCTCGATCGGAACAGCGGTTTTGAAGATATCGCCAAGTGTTTTTTTCGCGCTAAATCGCTACGCTACACCAACCGTAACACGAAACCCAGCATGTTTAGTATCGTTGGACTCGGCAACGATTCAGGAACTCAAAAAGATGACTCCCGTGAAAATAAGTGTACCACACCCAAAGTTATAAGCGTTTGAAAAAAAACAATTCACCACTAGGTGGCACTGTTTCGAAACTTCTCAGGCTTCTTCAGGGCATCGTACTGATGACCCATACCGAGTTTCGTAACAATTCGTTCATGCGTTCAAAAAATACAGCATTTTAGCACATAATTCAAAATGGCCGACAGCCAAAATGGCCGATCTGGGAAAATTGGATATCAGTCGACTCGGCATGATGCCCTGAATCTAACGAGATGAAGTTTATGATTTTTGGACAAACCGTTCAGAAGTTACGAGCAAAAATAGCCATTTTTCATATCTCCGGACCACTAGGTGGCGCTGCGCCGAAACGCAGCACGTAGCCTCAGGTCATGCTTGTGATGACACGTACAAAGTTTGGTCTGAAAACGAGTAAGCGTTGCGGAGATACAGCCTCACGTCTGTTTTCGCAAGCGCTACGTAAAATTAGTTTGCGCGCTTATCGAAAACGGTTATTCGAATCATCTTGAATTCCATAACTTTTTGTCAGCACTGCCTGGAGATGATCCGGTGCGATTTTGGTGAAAATCGGACAAACCGTCTAGGACGAGTTCGCAAAAGTAGGTTTTTTGGAAAATTCAAAATGGCGGCCGTTTTTTTATGACGGAAAATGACGTCATAGGGTGCGATCGAATCGGCATGAGCTCAGGAACAAGAGGAAAAAAGAATTTTGTTGATAGGCCTTACGGTTCAAAAGTTATTAGCATAATAAAAGTGAAACTTTGGACAGTTGGTGGCGCTAGAGGGAATGAGTTAGAGACACCAAAATTGGTGTATTTAAAGTTGGGACTGTCCTCTATCAGAATGTCAAACCAAAACAACTTTCCCGCAAACCGGTCTATGGGCTGCCATAGACGCCCAGTCGGAAACGGAAGAAGAATAATAATAAAAAGAAACGGAACAGATACAATAGGTGCCTCCGCACCTTCGGTGCTTGGCCCCTAATAATAATAATAAGAACCGGCACAGATACAATAGGTGCCTCCGCACCTTCGGTGCTTGGCCCCTAAAAAAGAGCAAAGAATGAGAAGTATCTGTTTATTATTGTTTTGCATGTCACAGATTGGTAAAAAGCATTTTTTTTGTGTACCTCAAATAACATATAGTTAGTGAAACCCACCCTATAAAAACAGATTTATAACTAATTCTTTTGTGAGGTGAAGGAAACAGTTATAAGGTTAATTAAAGGTATCTTGAACCAGAGTTATGACTAGCCAGAATCAAATTGTAGATATCTCAAACTGGAAATACAGAGATCTACAATTGAGTTGCAGATATCCGTAATTCACATAATGGATATCTCCAACTGAATTGTAGATAGCCTATCTGTAATGATAAACCCCATAAAAAATGAACTGGAAAAAGTGATTTAATTTGGCTTTGTGGATATCTGAAATGACAATTATGTATGGCAAGCCGTTTTAACATTTAATCATTTTAACCAACTAGTCTCTATTTTCATGCTACTAGTCCTTATTCATTAGCTAGTAGTACTTAATCATTAGATACTAGTAAATTCTCATTAGATGCTAGTCCTTATTCATTAGATACTAGTACTTAATCATTAGATACTAGTTCTTAATCATTAGATACTAGTACTTAATCATTAGATACTAGTACTTAATCATTAGATACTAGTACTTAATCATTAGATACTAGTACT